GTGCATCCCACCGTAAGGTGAAAGCTAAAAAAATTAACGAATGGCAGCCGTCCCCAATCTTCATTCCCAACGCTCTCTCTCTCTCTTATACATATGAACAAAATATTTGTTTAAATTATAAGGATTGTTTATAACGTATACGGGTCTCCAAAATATCTGGCGAAGAGGCCCGATTGGGGATCTGACGCGGTCTCGAGGGTTAGAAAATAAATGAGACAGGAATGAGGAAATACTAAATAGATAAATATACCTAAATCAGCACTTCAATAGGAATATTGAAACGAGCAAAATTTAGGAAAAAAAAAAGGTAATGTGTATGATACAGATACTGGATTTTTATATCCAACGTGTTGCTAAATATGGCATTACAAAATAAAGGCGACCCATAGAACTCACCGGGCATGAATCAAGGCGCGCAGGAACTTTGACATACTCAGACACAGGGCAGACGACCAAAATGACAATGGTAGATCTGATGATGCCATAGTTATTATGACACATGGCACCAAGTAAAATATATGCATAAGAACACAAAGGAATTTCACATTGTTACACGGTCGTGAAACATATGGAACTGCGAATGGTAAAGGTGATGATGACAGTTACTACAAAGAGTTATGTGGTTTAGAGAATCCTCTTTTGGACGCACTGTCCTCTCATTCTTTCTAATATCATCTACGCTTTTAATGCGCGTTGCAACGCCACTTCTTTTTTTTTTCACGTGCGCGCCGGTTTTTGCGATGGTAGCAGGCGCGGGTTTTGGGCTATAGGCGTTACTTGAAATACCGCGGTCATCCAGCGCGGGCCGGCCGCAACGCCTCCGCGGGCCGGGTTTCGGATACCTCTCGTTTATAATCAATATGATGATCAACAGGGTCCTTGGGTAGTGGGTCGGTCACATAGATCGTTACGTTCATATTTTATAGTCTATATTTTAAAATATAGACTATAAATACTATAAAATATGAACTATCGTTCATATTTTAAGTCTATAGACTACAGACTATGTTTTCAGAGTTTATTTCTCGCGAAATTCGGAAGGTGTTTTTCGGAGTTTCTATCTCGCTGAAACTTTGACGTTTACCGAAGTTTATTCTTTTCTCTCTCTCTCTCTCTCTTTTCCTTTTTTTTAGATTCCCAATTCCCTGAAATTCCTAGCTTATCTCACTGTGTTCCCGATCTTGAAAAATTCAAAAACCAAATATACAAAGTTCCGAGTACCATGACCCGTTGTCCTGAAGGAACCTCGACATGCTAAAAGGCAAATCACAATAATTCCAGATTTCAAAGGCAACTGAAGTGGCATCTCCGTATAAAGTTTATTAATGCGTAAGCATTAATGCATTAGGTATACCTACATGACAGCGAAAAGCTAACGGCGTCCGTCTGTGATCGAAACAGTGGAGAGGGAATCGCGCCGCGTAGAGAAGAGGATTGGAGGTCAAAGGCGAAAGGGAGGTGACGTCACGGGGCGGCAGCCAATCCGAGCGGGCGAACGAGAGCCAAAGCTACAGCGGGAGAGAGAGCGTATGCCAACCTGTTCAAGAGGAGGGAAAGGAGGACAGAAGGGCTGGGATACCCCCGTTCCTCCTTTCGCTCCCCTTGATACACTCTCTCCCCTGTAGCTTTGGCTGTGCTGCACGGTTTTAGTGAGAAATGCTGCGCAAGAAGCGGCGCAAGACGACGCGGGTCTGCGTGCGAAGCTGGCTCGGCGGCCCGCTTCGCCGGAAGGAAAGTAAACTGAAGGAAGATCCATTGGTGGATTTTTATGGAATCCGTTAGCATGACCCTTCGGAAACGCCACACGCCCTCTTTTGGGAAATGCTAACACTGAGCGTCATGCCATTCCATAAAGATTCGCCAATGGATCTTCCTTTATTTTAAGAAACACCTTTTATTTTTTATGCTGTACTTGTGATTTTGAAATTCAGAGTGCTTCAGACAATTGGATTAAGATAAAAATTTGGGCCAGTTGGTTCACGATCGAAGACAGGCGTCGAAAAAACACAAGGACAAGAAAAGACGTAAACATTTACGTCTCTTTTTGTTCTTTTTTTGGCACCTGTCTTTGATTTTTCAAACAAATCCGAATTGATGAAAAATTTACCGCCAACTGTTTTTCGAATTTACCCGAAAACACGGAATTCTACTTATGATCTATACTGCTATCTTTTTTTCGTTATTTTTGTTTTATAATTTATAGTGCGTGTGGTGAATATCAAACAATATTACTCTTCATCAAATTCACGCTGGCTACAACGCGTACACATCAAGGAGCATTATTGCAAACTTCGTTGTTTTTCTTCGTTCATCAAGAGAGATTTATATAAGAAATATTGTCATGGCTACTCGCAACAAGATAAACGAAGAACAAGATGAAGAAGAAGTCGAGCACTAGCATAGGGCCATGGACACAGCGCCGGGCACTGGCGACCTCCAAGGCCACGATAAATCGCCTGAAGTCACCGAGACATCATGCGGAGGAGTGTCCGGCATCGCAGGCTCGGGATCCTGGCAGAGAATCTTCTCCGCCATCAGCCAGGTCATCGGCGGCAAGACATACACCCTGCCGTCGTCCAGTAGTAACAACGTCGACGACATCATCGAGAACACCTACACCATTGCGTCAAAAGTTCCAGAAGATGGCACGTACTCCCTGGTCCAACCCTCGCCTAAGGTGGGCCATCACGACCTCGACCCATGTTCTGCAAGCCCGGACTCTACCTTCGTGTACGTCAGCGACCGAAATTTCCAGCAGCGACGACAGCCTTCCAAAGCCGCACCGGCGACAACAAAGACACTGGTCAGTGTTACGAGACCTCAGCGACACGGTCGTAAGCGGCCCAACGATCGGCGATTCGACCACCTTCGACCCGGTCAACTCGACGACAGCCAGTTCGATCTCAGCCGACTGGATGGAGTACCAGCGGACAGACACGGAGCAGCCGCGTACAGACAAGACGTACAAAACGTTCCACGCGGCCACGGGCTCCGTTCTCTGAGCGCGCCGCTCTTATTGACCCGTCGGCAGCTCTTCTTTTATCCACTCGCGGTGGCCGCCGCACTCGCCTTCTTGGCATCCCTGCTGGCGCTCGTGCCGTTTGCCAACCGGCTATCCTCCGAAACTCGTCATGAAAGAGATGCGGAACCTCCTCCGATCGGGGGCAGCATTCTGCAAGGGCGATCACTCGATTCAAAACGTTGTACGTCCGCCCCATGCCGACGTGACGGTGCATTTCTGTCCCACCAGCTGGCGTTGTTCAGTGAACGCCCATGTCAAAACTTCGGACGCTTCGTCTGCCTTCACTGGCGTCCCCGCGAAGGTTCAGGAGCACGCTCATCGGCAGAGGACGAGGTCTTGAATTTAGAAGCACTCGCTCTTGGCTGGCTGCGAGCACGACCGGAATTATCTTCCCTGCTGAACTCGTGCATCCGAGATCGGCAAGACGGCGACAAGGCGTTGCGCGGGTTTCTACTCCCCGCGGTATCCCTGGAAAACTTCCCGTACTCCGGCTCCAATCTTGGTTCCGTGGCAATCTGGAGGGCGGCCGGTCGCGTTCTGCTCCTAACCAACTGCGCCACCTTGGTCTCTGCAGAGGTCGCGTCCGACGGCTCGCCCGCTCTGGGATTGCCGCAGACACTCGGCGACGGAGGCACACAGAGCGAGAAGGCCTACCGTGCCCTGACAACAGCCGCTGGAGAACTGAGCGGTTCGCAGTCAGAAGCAGTCGTTCAGTTCGCCGTACGACTCGAGAAGGCGGCACGTCTTGGCGCCGGCGGCCCTCCGCGACGCATACCTGCCTCGCAGCTCGCCGAACTTTGGGCCTTCCTCGGCCAACTTCGCCGTGGGCTAGCCAGCGGCGCTTTGGTGACCTTACTCGCGCCGGGTTACGTCCGCCGCGTACGCGACCTGGTACGGCACTTCCCAGCGGACGCTGTGCTAAACTACCTTGCGTTGCGGTTGCATCTACAAGTGGCACCACTGCTGCCGGTCACCGATGCCTTGCCCGGCGTTTACGCCAAGCTGACCGGACGCCAACAACGCTGGCGCCAATGCTTCAACCTCGCGCTGTCTTTCGCACCGACCGCGGTTCTCGAAGCCACCCGAAGCGTGACGGGAGCTTCTTTTCAGGTCCTCGAAGCCCTCGACCTCGCCGATGCGATACGGGACGAGGTCGGCACGCTTGTACGCGAGTCCCCCGAACTCAGGGACGCCACGCAGAGACTCAGCGCGCTCGGCGAAGCGGGGCTTCAAGCCTTTGGGCCACCGTGGATGCAAGAACCCGGCGCCACGTCTCGGTTCCTGAGCTCCGCGCCCCAAATTCGGGCGGGCGCTCCCGCACTACGGTCCTGGTCGGCCCTGGCTACCTACGAAGTACGTGATCGACTGGTCCGGGAGTCCTGGCCTGGGGAGTGGGCCCTGGAACGGTCTTGTCGCTTGGACGCTGCCTCTGGACGGATCGCCATCCCTCCCTTACTTTTCAATGAAACCCTTCCGGGTGGTCTTAGCGGCCCTCTACAGCTGGCACGCGCGGGGTCACGCCTCGCGGCCTGCCTTCTTCGCGGTCTGCTGTCTTCGACAGACTCAACCATGGCTAGCTGGCCTCCTCAAGCCGCGGCGCACCTCCGAAGCTCCAGAGCCTGCCTGGACGCCCAGAGACGCGACATGGTACGAGACGCTCTACCCGAATGGGCCGCGCTGCGACCGGCGCTTCGCCTTTTTCTGCATCGCGGCGGCGAAGACCTGTCCATAGACGGTTTAACGCAGATCACGGGAACCCAGCTCTTCTTCGTCTACTGGGCCCTCGACCGTTGCGGTTTCGATGACACCCCCGGCAGCGGGACAGTCACAGCCCTACCCAATGCCGCACTGGCCAACGAGCCCGCCTTCCACGAAGCTTTCCTCTGCCAACCGCAGAGCTCTATGAATCCTCTTCCTCGGTGTTCACTGTGGCTCATGCGAAGCCTTCGACGTTGACGAGGTATGCACGCGTACTCACCTAGCCGCGGCCTCCGGCGTACCCGCAGGCAGACGGTCCTCGAGCGGATGCATTGGTGAATGTGTGCGATCACCTCAGTGTGAGTGCAATCGTCGAGTGAGCGCCCGTTCACCTCAAGGATCTCGTCGCCTACCTCGAGGTCTGCTCTGTCCGCTGGGGAGCCTGCGATTGAAAACGAAGAAAAAAATGAAAACCGCACGTCACGACCACAAGTTATAGCGTTGCCTGCTCATAGACTCGGAGAACTCAAGTCGGAGGCTTTGCCTGGACAGTGGACTAGCTCGCGCTTGTGAACTTGGCGTGAACTCAATTGCTAAAGGTCCGGTCCGCTTACGAAGCTCGCTTTCCCTCTGGGGCGCCCTCGCGCCCCAGTGGGAAAGTAGGGACCAGCAATAGCAATATCTATATATACATATGTCAATACACCGTGGAGACCCGCGTTTGAGCGCGCGGCTGCACGTGTGTTGTTGGGACCGTCGTCATCGATCCCGAGCCCGCGGCCGACGCCACGTGACCCTAAACGGGCCCGCGCGGGGAGGCCGCGACTCGGTCGTCCCCCAAACCGACGCAGAAAACGCCGAAACGCACAGGCTGCGAGACGGTCTCCATTCGGACCACTTTCCCGCCCAGCGCGCGAGAGGACGACCTCCGCGCGCGTTTCCGAAAAGCATTCACGCGTAGCGGCGCGCGCGGTTCCATGGTCGCGACGTTGTGTTCGAAACAAGCACGCAACCTCCTTCGCTGTGCTACGTCGTCGTTGACTCGCGCTCGTGTACGCACCGTAGAGGCGGATGCGGCGATCGGTGGTCTCGACGAGGACGATGACATATCCACCCAGGTCCACCATGACGTGGCTGATTCAGGTGGCCGCGGCTTGCGAGGCCACGGGCGACGCCGCCGCGACCAGCAGCATCGCCCGCGCGTTAGGCTTAGCGGGCTCTCCACTGCCTCCGAGGGCTTCCGCCTGACGCCGCGCCCCCCTCTGCCCACTGCGCATGCGCGTGACGTCATTCGCGGGTCAGACTCAGACCCCGGGTTTGCCTTTTTTTTTTTTTTTTTTTTTCTTAATATGTATATATTTTTAATTGGAATGCAGATTTCTCTTTTGTTTTGTCTCCAGCTTTTTCTCTTTCTATATTTATATATCGCCGAAATTGCATAAAGGCAATTATTCTCATGCACATTTAGAAAGAGTTATATACGTAAAGACAGGGGACGGGACAACTCAACTTTCAACAAACATGATTTATTGCCGGACGCTGAAAGTTAAAAGGAGGGGGAAGGGGAAGGAGGGGGCAAGACAAGGCCCCTCCTTTTAACTTTCCCTCTCCTATAGTGGAGATCCGAAGGCGAAGCGTCCAACAAGAAATCATTTGTTTGTTGAAAGTTGAAAGATGTGTTGTCCCGCCCCCTGTCTTTATGTATACAACTCTTTCCAAACTTACATAATTACCAACGCGCTCACTAACAAGCATCTCATGCACAGCACCTTTTTGAAAAGTGCCTGCACGCTTTATTAGCCCACAAAGAGACACCGTACTGAAATCATCTACCACGTCTCGTCATAACGAACTTGACAATCACATTCTTGTATGTCGCGTCGTTTCTACGACTGCATGGTCACTCACGTCGACAGAAATACGAGCGACTTTGACGGTGTTAGATTAAGTACAGGCCGCACAGAAGGCGGTTCCGCCCGTACACATGTGCCTATGCGGCCAGCTACATACACGATGATGGCGATGCGAGTTTTGTTGGCTTGAGACGTGTGGGATGATGATGATGATGATGGGATGGTGAAGAGGATGAAAGGTGAGGTGGGTGACGTTTGATGAGGTACGCGAGACATTCGTGGGTGTTAGTTTAGAGGTGTTTGGCTGCTGCCCTGCAGAGCTGTGATTTTGAGAACGCGTTAACTCTCCAAGAAGCTATCCAACTAGACCAATCACAAAAAACGTCGGGGCTCCAATCCACACTGTGAAGGCAGTTGGCCAGTGAAGCTGTGGTATCACCAGCAACGATTGCTCACTGTGCATAGTACCAAAACTTTTTCTATACAGGGTGTTTCACGTAAGAGTGACCAAAACTCCTAAAATTAGTGTATTCGAGGTGAAAGAACCGGATTACTCGTGGCGGCGGTCGTCAAAAAATGAGCGATACTTACCAATTAGTTTGCTAATTAACGAAACATGACTAATTAACTTTTTAATGAGTGAAACTAGACGTATGGTTCCAATGAGAAGCTTGCTGAGCGACAAACAACCCCAAATCAGTCTTTCTCACAAAGATATTAAGCGCACGTAGTTCACTAAAGTTACCACTTGTGGAGCAGGTAAAAGACTGACGGTTGCGGTAAGGTGCCCGCGCGATTTTTCCGTTTCTGATGGGAGCCACTGCTCCACGAGTGGCAACTTTAGCGCACTAATGCGCTTTTCACGCGCTCAAAGTATTTCTGAAAATGTCTAATTTAGCGGTTTTCGATGACGTTCAGCAAGTTTCTAATCGAAACCATATGTCTATTTTCACCAATTAAAAAGTTGATTAGTAATGTTTAGTTAATTAGCAAACTAATAAGTAAGTGTCGCGCATTTTCTGAGGTCCGCCACTACGAGTAATGCGGTCCCGAGAAAATGATCCTTTTACCTCGAATACACAAATTTTAGGAATTTTTGTCACTCTTACGTGAAACACCCGGCATGAAAGGCTAGTGACGTCATTCCCCACGTCGCAAGCTTCCGTCGCCGCGGCAGCTTGCGCAGCAATAATCTTTACCGTGAAACGTATGCGGTGAGCGCTACGTGCTTCGCATTGTTATCAGGAGCGCCTTATCATCAATTTTCTGGTTCGGATGCTTGTTTTCTTGTTTTGTGCTTGTTCTTTATTGAAACGAATAACGTTATTTATGTTGTATACGTTATATGCACTTTTCGCTTCAATCGCTGTAGATTTTTTTTTTTTTTTTTTAAAGGCCCGTTCACATTCTTGCAACCGAGTACGACCGATAGAGACCAGATCGGTTTATAAGCTAGTTGCGACCTCTTTGGACCAGCTCCGCTCTAGCGCATCCGGTCCTAAGTGGTCGCAAGAGGCTTAAAAACCGGTCTGGTCTCTTTCGGTCTTACAAGAGTGTGAGTTATATCTTCGCTGTAAAACTGCGAATCATATCTTCGCTGTAAAAAAAACACAAAAAAAAAACGCGGGATTGCGGCGTTTGTTCCCACAACTCGGTGCAAGCTTGACCCACTTTGGATTTTGTGCTGAGCCAGGCATATGCACCGTGCATGCTGCATTGTTCATGCAGACTGGAGCGCTATGGGAGAAAGGATGCCCAGAGGATTTAGTGGGGGGCGACCTTCTGAACACGAGTCGTTCTCCGGCGAGAACGACCTTTGTATCACGGCGGCAGGGATTCTAATACCCGTGCCACACGGGCAACTCGAATGCCGTTTACAACGAATGACATTTGAGCGGACGGCCAATCAGCGCGCAACACTCCGGGCGTGGCGCATTCCACGAGCGACCGATTGCAAGCTGATTCGCCGCCCACACAAATGTCATTCGTTGTAAATGGCATTCGAGTTGCCCGTGTGGCACGGGTATAAGAAGCCCTTCACTTTCCCCCACCTCAGCCTCTTACATGCCATGTACCCTACAGTATACCCCACAAACAAATGTCCCCTGTGCACCGAAAAGGCTTCATTATATCACATCACGTGGGCATGCCCTAAGATTCAGGCTGCCCCCCCAGTTCCCAACCCAAACGCCGAGCAGTGGGAAGCTGCGCCAGGGCCGGTCCTACACCATCACGCGCCCTGGGCGAACTCCGGCCGAGGCGCCTCCACCCTCCCCTCCCCCCCCCCCCCCCCCCCGGTCCCTTTTTATACGCCCCTATCTACTAGGGACGACATCTTGTTAGTAAACACGTGAGTAGCGGCCCAACATTAGCGTTTTGTCAGACAAGAACCGTATTTCAAAAAGCAATGGCAAGCGTCGTGTCAAACGCCGTGTTAAAAAAAAAAAAAAAAAAAAAAATCCAGAAATCAAAAATTCAAAAGGGAGGCGCGGCGGCTCCCCCTTTTTGATGGCGCCCTGGGCGACCGCCCAGGTCGCCCATCCCTAGGGCCGGCTCTGAGCTGCGCTGTCCAGCTGGGATCAAGACCAGCGTAATCTGGTCTCGCGGGCCCGTGCCGCAGCGACAGCTACAGGGGCCCTGGAATGAGGGCTCCTCTCGCCTCGGAAGAGCCAAACTAATTGTTTATTAAAAGTTTTTTTTCTCTCTCTCCACCTCAGGCGACCGGAGAACACGAACGCCAGCCGAACGATGACACGGCGTTCGGTTGTCAGCCGCGCGCTGAGTCTTTGCTATTTGTTATCCCCATCCGCGTAGTTCTAAAGCTAGCCGCTTGGGGCGCCACGGTCTGATCTGCGCGAAAACAACGAGCGCGTGACGATGTACTTTTGGTGCTGCTTGATAGCGGTTACTCGTGACGTCACGGAAAGGAACCATAAGGGGGCGCCACCGAAACATCTCGGCGCTTAAAGATCAGCAGACGTCGCGCTTCACCGGCTACATTATTGCCCCTCATCGGCGCTGAGAGAACTCGTCTCATTCCATGCTAGATTAAGAATTCAATCGATTTGTCTCTGACTTTCGTTCGCCGCGGAACGGAAACGTATATGTACTACAGGAAGAACGATTATTCTTAAAACGTTTTTCACGATCCCAGTTTTACGTTCGAGAAAGAAGAGGCACTGGAAAATGTTAAAGTTGGTTTCAATAACTTGTTACAGAAAGAATAAGCAAAAAGGGCGGCCAAAAAAGGACATCTTACGTGTTCAGAGTCGAAATATGTCCGTCCTGTTTGATCCTTCTTTCTGTAACAAATTAGAAAAGCTTACTTTATTTTTGCGCTAGGATAATAATTGGGAGGGGGGGGGGGGGGGTTGTGTGGACATTTATACAGCGTGTAGTTGGTCAGCCATTTCAAAGTTGCGACCAGTCAGTCGCTGTAGATGAGCAATTTAGCCAGATAAGATGAGCTTAGCATGCCGGTACGACGCATATCCAGATCGAAACGGGCACAAGTAAAGGCCCGTTCACACTCTTGCAACCGAGTGCGACCGAGAGAGACCAAACCGGTTTTTAAGCCTCTTGCGATCTCTTAGGACCAGCTCCGCTCAGTGCATCCGGTCCCAAGAAGTCTTTCTCGGTCGTACTCGGTTGCAAGAGTGTGAACGCGCCTTAAGGATTGAACCCAGGATCCTGGGTTCTGCAGTGCGAGCTTTTACTCCACGTGCTCCGAACTGGTGTGCTCTAGCCCACTCAGCCATCAATCCCCCGTGCGCTAAGATCTAGGGGAAAAAAGGTGCGTCCGCGAATGCTGACAGAAAACCAAGTGAATAAATAAAAATAAAGAGGGGTCAACCAGCGCGAGTCAGCCTTCCCCTGATCTCTTGTTATCATCTCTAGGCATCGTCCATGAGGTCGTTCTAAAAGTCGTCCTAAAAGTCGTCCTTGAGGTCATCCCAGACGTTGTATTCTAGGCATCGCCCTAGACGTCGTTAAAATAACAGCCTCGCTGGTCTATCTTCACGTGAAGGGGAAGGGCTGTACACCTTTTTTGTATAGAACTTTCATTTTATTTTTTTATTTTCTCCCAGGGCATTACAAAGAAAAAACAATAAAGAGGCAAAAAAACACATACACACAGAAAAAAAAAAATGAAAGCCGTTTACAACTCCCTGTAAGGCCGAATTAGAGCGCAGCTCTTGAGGAGGAAGAGGGGAGGGTGTGCCCCTCCTCCTCCGTCCTCCTCCCTCGTGACGTCACTCGTGAAGGTCGTGGTCTTCATCGTGACCTTCGTGACGTCACTCGTGATTTCACGTGTGACGTCATTATGGGGAACGTTCCATAATGCAATGCGCGGTTACGCCTATGGCGACGCCGACGCCGCTCAAGCTGGAAACAGGCGCCTAAGAGCTGCGCTCTCAAACATTATGACGGATCATGTAAAAAATTAGTAATTGAAACTCTAAAATCATCAGTGTCAGTAATCGCGACAATGGCTGTGGGAAGATGAGGGTGTACGCTTGCTTCGTGCCTGCTTAATTAATTGGGGTTGTGTGGATATTCAGGCAGCGTGTAGTTAATAATAATTTATTTTCCTTTTTTTTACAAAGGAGGGAGATAGGGCAAAAAGCTGCGTGGCTTGCAGCTTGACGAGGCCCTACTCCGTGTGGTCAGCCATTTCAAAGTTGTGACGAGTCACTCGCCGTAGATGAGCAATTTAGCCAGTGCAGTACAACCGCTAGCCTGGGGTCTTTAACGTGCATCACGCAGTAGCGATACACGACCGCACGCCGGTACGATGCCCATCCAGATCGGAACGGGCAGGGGTGGGGACTGAACCCAGGATCCCTGGGTTCTGCAGCGCGAACTTTCGCTCCGCGTATTACGTGCCTGCTTCTTGTGGAGGGATTGCGGTGACGTCAGAAAGCAGAGCTCTGATTGGAAGGCTAGTGGGTAGACCTCACTTCTGGCTGCCTCGAGGTCTACCCACTATCCTTCCAATCAGAGCCAATGAGAGCTCGGTGTTCTGACGTCAGGACCGTAACCAGGGGGGGGGGGGGGGGGGGGGGTTAGGGGGTTCTGACCCCCCCCCCCCCCCCGAAATTTTTTTCTGGGTACGGCCCTGGTCGGTGCACTTGCAGCCAGCCGATTTTAATCTCCACCTCTGCGCACGCGCAGTGGCACCGGTCGGCTACCGGGTACCAAACCGGGACCGGTTCTTCGGTTTGCTATAACTCTCCATTATATGCCACCGATGCACATGATTCATAGGCGAAAATAAGACAAAATGGCCGCCGTTGTCCCCGAAACCCCCCCCCCCCCCCCCCCCCCCCCCCCGAAATTTTTTTTCTGGGTACGGCCCTGTCTGACGTCACCACAACCCCTGCGCAAGAAACAGACGAACTTGCGCTCCGATTTGCTCACTTCCCCCACCTTCCCTTCCTTCTTTTCATGCGCTGTGACGTACGGCAGTAATGGGCACGTTACTGCTATAAAAACTAACTGGGCTTAGTTACTCGAGGGAAAACAGGAACCCTGTTACAGTTACGCAATTGAAAGGGAAACTTGTTACAGTTACAAAACTGAAAAAGGTAACTTGTTACAGGTACTGCAAAAATGTAACGGCGTTGCCCTTTCGTTATTTACAAAAAAAAAAAAAAAAAAGAGAAGGAAAACATTTATGAGGTACCTTGGTCAATTACTATGTTTCTGTTCTTCTCAAAGCTGAATGCTGGGCTAGCGTGTATATATGCCTCATTTCCATGTTGATTAAATAGTTGCAGTCAGCGCTCGTGTCTGTCTCGTCTTTCTTTCTTTTGTCCTCGTCCAAAAAAGCGCTACCATGCCTCTGTTCTTCGCTGTAATAAATCTTGTTTTTCTTTCTGAGAAACTGAGGTTTCCAACAGTCAATATTCTCATGTTTAGTTCTCCCCCCCCCCCCCCCCCCCCCCTTTTCTGGTTCCTCTTATTTCAACTCTGACTCAGGTCATAACGTAGAGCAGTATTCCGGTAATTTCACTGCGAGACGAGACGTCGATAAAACGTATTCTTAGCTTTTTTTTGTGTGTGTGAAAAATTACAGGCGATTTTAATTTGTTTCTATTGTGAGCCAGCCGATAATTCATGCGCTGCCACCATACCATTAGGTCAACTAACGTCGGATCGCGGGACACTATGAGGCGACAGTGCCATTATGGCGCCGCGTGACAAGCGTCACGCTGATGTAACGCTATTTCGATGATAACGTCACGGTAAACCTTAAAAAAAAAAAAATATTGCTGATATGGCGTTACGTGAACGCCGTTATGCCCATCGAGGCTACATGCTAAGAACAAAAACGCGCTAAAAACGTCCCACAACTGCTATGCACAAAAAAGAAAGAAATAAAGAAAAGGTAGGAGTATTTTTTGCGTTCGAATCGATAAATCAGTGACCCAGTAATTTTCAATCTTTTTTTGCTTGCAAAGTGACGCCGTAAGAGCAAACAACGAACAACAATAGATACACCAAGATAAAAAAGGAGCCGTACAACGAGTAAACTTCTCCAGCCATTGCAGCGTTTTCAAAATACCCGGCACAGCCTGGCGGAAGACGGGGTTTTAGGATTCCCAGCATAAAAACAACGTACGTCACCAGGAAGGAGAGGGAAGAAGCGTCTTTGAACGAACTTGGGGCAGCTCAGGCTGCTCAGTCTGGGTCTCACACCGTGGTCCAGGTCACTGCAGCTCAATCAATCCTGTAAACGTTACGCAAAAAAAAAAAAAAAAAAAAAGTAGGGCTAGGTGGCGCAAGCTGCCGCCCGTTACAAAAGGTATCGCCATTATCATCCATCCATCCATTACAATTACTCTAGGTGAAAAAGTATTCAATTAGATTACTCCATTACTTGAGAACAAAAGTAATTGGCCGTTAAGAGAAAAAAAAAAAGTAACCGTTACTGTTCCGATTACTTCAGTTTTTCAAAATGAGAGGTGTTCTGACGGTCTTAAAAGTGGTAACTCGTACTGTCCTACTTTCCTAATTCACCAAATCTGGAAAGCCATCCTTCTCTCGGAGAGATGGGTAAAAAATTTTCTCAATAAAAAACTTGCACAAAAAAAAACAAAAATGGCGTCATTAGAAAGTGGAGGGAAAATAGTGGCGGTTACAAGTAATTGTAGTACTTCCAAAGTAATCAAATTACTTCCTAATGATGGTAATAAAATAATATATATATATATATATATATATATATATATATATATATATACACACACCAAGAAGTAATTTATCACGAGTAATTTGATTACTTAGGGCTGGGCATTTATTCGATTAACCTACCGATTAATCAATTAATCCTTTAATCACGATTAACGTTTTACACCAGTTAAACTTAAAAAAAAGGTGAAATTTTAATGCTTTTGTTACGGAAACGTGGACGAGCACGCCCGTATGAAGGCAAACTTTGGGTGACCTCTTGACATATATAAAGTAAGCTGTAGTGGCGAGATTTTTAACTTGCCGGCCACTTCAACGCCGTGCGAGTGTCCGTTTAGCACAGCTGCAGGAGAGACTACTGCGAAAAAATTGGGTTGTGTGTATGTTTATTCAGCCTAGAACTTGGGCTGCCTCAACGGGCGACTTGTCTCCCAGCTGTAGATGAGCAATTTAGCCAGTGCGGTAGAACCGCTAGTGAAACACTACCGCACGCCGCTACGATGCTCATCCAGATCGAAACGGGCAGGGGTGGGGAAGACTGGGGAAGATCCACTGTGAACAATCAGAGGAGTTCGCTATTGCCGGCGTTGAAGTGGTCGAAACACATATAACCTTGATCAGAGTTAAAAATCTATTAATTTGTGAGTGCGGTTGTCTTTTGACTGTTCTCAACTGGACATCAAGGTTGAATTAAAACACGGAATCGTACATCGCACCGTGTATAACAAATTCAGCAAAACAACAACAAAAAAACACTCAAAAGTAACATTTTTTGAACAATGGCGATGCATGAAAATGAACGAAACCGATGAATTAATCGATTAATCGGGTTAACATTTTTAATTGATACCCAGCTCTACAATGAGTACCGCACATGTCTAAGCTCGATGGAGGCCAGCAGGATCTCCACCCTGATCCTGGGAATGCCCGCGCTAGCATGAACACGTGCTCGCGCAGCTTCATAACAGAATACCAAAACGTGACCAGACCCTCCTGAAACAGTGACGGAACGCATTTAGAAAAGTTTGCACCGTGGTTTGCAGGGCTTGCAATCCTCCGTGTGGATCTTCGGTCTCTCTGCCTTCGCCAGCACGCCAGCATCGCTCAGTGGCTCAGTGCGAACAAATACGAACATTATCAAGTTTGAAGAGGTTAACCTTCCCGCTCTTTCTTACTCGTCCCGCAACGCAAGAAGGCGACAAATGAAAATGTTTCAGAGGGCGCCACACGTTTTTTTAATTTAAACTAATTTTCTGTTTGGTCTTTTGCTTTGTCCACTTACTTAATAAATAAAAATTTGTCTCGCTATTTCTTTACATATTTTTAGTAACATTGAGCAACACTATTAACAAGGGGAAACTGCAGAGCTTTTCATTCATATAGTATTATTTTGAATTTAAAAAAAATTACAACATAAATGGCAATTATAAAAGGCTTAAAAATAAACATAAGTATTTATTAAGAACAAGCGAGTTTATTAGTAAAACTAATAGTTGACGAATTATCGGACTTGCAGCGCCATTAGGTTTTCATACAGGTGAGGTGCGTCTAGGTGGAACAAAGGGCTACCAGGCGCGTTCTTCAAAAAGCCGGATCAAACGGTCGAATGCTTCTTCATTAATCAAACGCTCGTTCTTGCTACATTTGTGCAATCACCTGAACCACCCTGCCATGGCCGCGAAGGACGATTCCCTGAACCATCTCGGCGAGCGGCTCGACTTGATGAACCAGCTGGTCCGTCTGTCCAACCTGACCGTTGACGACCACTACATGCTCCAGGAATGCCACCAGAGGCTACGAAACGTCGACAAGCTTCAGGCCGAGCTACACTCTCTCATCGGCGTCTACGAAGAACAGAGGCGCGAGATGAGTGCCTTGCCCCCCAAAATCGAGCAGCTTCAGAGCCTGGCCAGCTACGTGAACGTTGCCGTGGCTAAGGCCGCCGAGGCCAAGAAATCACGAGCGCCGCTGCCGACTCCCAAGCCCGGTCAAGCCGTTCCCTTCGCCGAAGCCGCCAACATGGGGGTCGCGTACATCACGAACGAAGAATTTGAGCACGTGCCGAAATACATGAAGGGCCGACAGACCGTCGATTCGCTAAACCGGTGTGTCGACGTGTTTAACAAGGCCGTGGCGGCCAAGTACGAACTCCTCGCCCGCCCGAAAGCGCAGCTACGAGAAGCTCAGTGGGCGAAGGTGAACGCCTTCAGGAGGCAGGAGTCCAACGAGACGAAAAAGGTCAAGTTCGTCGTAGAGGGCGACATCAGGTCCAAAGGCGGCCTCCTCGATACGGCGAAAGCGGTCAACAACTTCGTCGTCATCATGCGGCACTGCGGCAGACTTCGCGAGATACGCGGGCAGGGCTTCGTGCGATTCGCCGTGATGTGAGGGGCGTGCTAACACCCCTTTCGTTCATCGCCCTAGTCTTCTTTACGACTTTGTTTTGCAACATATTTTAAACTAGACGGATTTTGCGACGACTGTACACCGACCCAATGTGTATAAAAGTTTTACAGATGGCTGTGAATGGTACGACGTCTCTGCATCAATTACAATATACCGTCACAAATTAGAGGCTCTTGTGCTTACCTCATGACATGGATTTTCTTTTGTAGATTTCTTATCTTTTGTTTTTTGCTTGTTGCATTTTTTAAAGTTCTTCCACCAAAGGGCCATTGTGGTTGTTTTAGGACGCTCTGAAACTGGTTATTACCAAGACTTTTTTTCTGCTGCCTTGATAAGCATAAATTAAAAAATCCCCCGTGCACAAAATAAAAACCAACGGCTCAAAAGCAATTCAACAGTTTTATTTGCTTCCTGTACACATCTTACAAATAGCGCTTCCTGTCAAAGTTCCGCAAAAATTTACAGCTTTCAAACGGCGTTCCAAGCCGCAGTGAATTTACTCGATCCAGTACCATGGCCTGGCTCATTATTGTGCTAGTCTAGTAGTAACGTCCAGCTTATCGGTGCCGGTCTACAGATTGCAGACACTGATAGAAACAGGTGCCAAAGGACGGAACACTTTGCTGGTGATTGTTCACTCTTTCGGTTGTTTATCCTGCAATCATCTCCCCGTACAACTCGCCTTGTTTTCCCACAGTTAAGAGCTGTCGCCTTGGCAGGAACATTATTAAAACGCGGCACTCGGAAGCGACTCGTTCGATTAGCGGATGTCGCCGCCTTAAAATCCGAAATTACCGATCCGACAAGAAAAAGAAGTAACAAGCAGTCGAGCTAAAGCTACTGCACTTGTCGCCCTCACTGGTGAAGACTAGCTGGCAAGCAAGGCACCAAAGCAGTCGCCATGTGGCGCTATCACATCTAAGGACTCTGCACCGATTCGGTAACATCACAGTGGGCAGTGCCCCTTCGAATGCCAGCACGCGGCCGACGGCATTGCAAAAGCTCAATCACACTAGCACGACACGACGGTGCACAAATTGCAACTGAAAACAGCTAAAACATTATTCCAAAATAAAGCCTACGGTATAAAAAACGGGGAATAACAAACAAATGACGCGACTAGTTGCGGGGTTCAGAGCTGACAAAGCACACCGCTGAGGGTAACGGTGCAGGCGTGCAACGATACGCTAGCAATCCGAACGGGCGGCTGCCACACCTTTCGTGATGAAGCAGCCACCTAAGTAGAAATAATGCACCCGAATGCACCTGCCCACTCGAAACAGTGCCCAACAAACGAGACGGATGCAAGCAAGCAACATATCACAAACGGTGCTAACAACTAGCACCGAGCTAGCTAAAAGTAAAGTTAAAAATTGGGGCCAGCACCCCATTCCATGTGGCCACACTACTGTGAATGCAGCCCTTCGTTATACCCAAAAGCGTACCCTAACGACGGCCTTCAGAACAGTCGCGGGTCGGAGGTCGTAGAACTAAAGGCTCGTTCACACGCGCAGCGTAGCTCTAAGACAACGCAAAGTCGGCGCTGCATCGACAGTACTGCAAGCGCTTATTTATTGCCGAGTCGGCGCTACATTGTGCGTGTACGCTGGAAAAGGTGGGATGACACATGGTGAAGCGCAGACACAGCACTGTGTCTATAGCGCTGAATTGGCACCGAGGAGCGTGTGTGAACGGGCCTTCAGTGTGCCGGGGATGAAAGACAGAGCGGGCGGTCGCCTTCGCTTCTTCAGATAGGAGGTGGTCCCTGCGGATAGCGCAGCATGGGGTCCAGCGAGCGTGCAAAGTTGTTGGTCAGCACGCAGCTGAAGTCCTGTTCGGACATGGGCAGCAGGCTGGCGGCTCCGAGCAGCACCAGCAGCAGCAGCTGAATGGGCAGGGCTGCCCGGGCCACGCGACCCCAGAATGCCGTCCACGGTCTTGCCGACGTCAGGCCAGCGCCGCTGCGAGTGAACGTGAATAGATGAGGAGTTGTTGGCGCCTGAAACCTTCTGAAAGTAATTCTGGGTTTCCCTGTTTTAAGTGCATACCATTCATAGGGCCCCAGCTCTTATACTCCGTCTCACTAAAACCGATGCACAGCCAAAGCTATGGGAGAGAGAGTGCATCCCGACCTGTTCAAGAGAAGGGAAAGAAGGAACCCGGGAATGCCAGCCCTTCTCTCCCATTCTTCCTTTCCCTCTTCGTGAACAGGTTGGCATATGCTCTCTCCCACGTAGCTTTGGCTGTACAGCACGGTTTTAGTGAGACGGAGTATACTGCTTTTTTGTCCATAGGATCCCTGATGGTGACATCACAATGTTCATGCGACGTCACTTAGGTCTCCTGTGACGTGACATCACGTCACAGGAGACCTAAAATGCTTTGCACTTAGAGCGTCTCTTGGATATGGTACCTAAGAGAAAGGCACTTTGCTGTGTTGGTAGAGAACCTGACGACTGCAGTGTGTTGGTACCTCCCATTTCCAACGTCGCAACTTCAGTGAATGAATATGAATGCTCATTTACATTTAGAGCTTCTGCCAATGTGCGTGCGATTTCTGAAACTAGAGGCAGACCATTTTCCCAAAGCAGGGATTGAACATTTTGCACATGGATGTCAAAGAAAGAGCACCATTATCTACAAAAACGATAATCATCCTCTCTTCGTCTTAACGTGAATTGGAGGGTGTGTTTATTACATGAGATTGTTGTCAATCTTGCTTTGAGCAAACTGCTTAAATTCTCTTCTTTTCATCTCCAATTTTACCTCACAATAATAAAAAAAAAAAGAAAAAAACACACTAATTTTTCCTTTAAATACTAAGCATATGCTTAGATATGCTTCTGCTGTTGCCAAGAGTGAGCACACAAAACACTTACCTTGTGGTCTCATCTTGTAGAGTTGAAGACACAACCTCTTCTGGGCCGAGCAGAGGCTGCGAAAACAAAGAAGTGCACATAGGCATCAAAGTTACACAAGAAAAACATTTAGTGTTTTTTAAAGATACTCATAATGTGTCGCAAGACTGATGGGCTTTTTCACCTCACTGGTATAATGACTGATCATTTGTTCAGCTGACCGAGAGACTCATCATCACACTGGAGGACCATTTAATTCATTAATTTAAAAAGCAGCATATAAAAATGAACTGTCTGAGTGGGTGATCAGCTGACTGGATAATCATAATTACTTGGTATTTCAAACGAGTGCCCTGTTAATACTAAAAATCTGGCACCGACCAAAGAGAGGGATTAGAAGACCAATTGCTCATAGACAACTCACAAAATCCCTGGGTTAACTGGCAAGATAAGTAACTGATTAATCAGAAAACCAGTACCATAACTACCGCGCTAAAATCTGGCACCTCCAATCGCATAACTACCGAAGAAGCCCGACGACTTGCATACCCCATGGGCAAATTGATTGAGAAGGCTGGGGCTGCCTTACCAGTGCGACGCCAGCTCGGGCGAGGTCTTGTCTGAGCGACGTCAGTCGAAGGGCGCACAGCGCCAGCAGAGATCGCAGCAGGGCCAGGACTTCGTTCGCATCTCTGGTCTTCCCCTTCTGTCGCTGCGTCCCGTCTCCGGATGCGCCGTTGTCCGAGGGTCCCGAGGCCTGGACTTCCCGCAGGGCCTCCAGTCTCGGTACGAAGAGAATCAGCTGTTGCTGCAGCACCTGCGCGCCAAAGAGGTGCTCGATTAGAAGACTGACCAATCAATTGATCGGTTTGCACTTTCGTAAATTACCACCTGGTTGACTGATCGACAAAAAAGCTCTCCAGTGAACATGCACATGGGGAAACTTTTTTTTTTTTATTATGTACAATATTGAAAAGAAGTTTTCACACTTTATGGTGCTTAATCTTCTCTTTATAAATCTGATGTTAGATTTGACATAGCTCATTTTTTTAGGTTCTGGATGCAAAGTACATGTAGAAAAAACCATGTTCTTGTGCACACGTGAGGCATGGCAACACAGTTAAGAAAGCCTGGCAAGACAAACTAATTTGCTCTTTTTATACCGCTGAGTGCCATGAAAAACAAAATAATGTGTCCGACGTTTCTTTTATTTTAATATAACTAAAATAGCAAAAATGTAATTTCAAGGGGCTAACAAAAATTCCTTAAATTTTTCATTAAAAAAAAAATTCTAGCCATACTTAGATATAGTTGCATTCTACATATTCTGAAGATTATGCATGCCAAATTTGGTTGTGATAGGACAACATTAAGAACAGAAATTCTTGTGCATAAACTGTGAATATGCCCCAATTACCTAAATATAGAAGCGTTTGAATGTTACTATAGATGTATAGCTATACTCTTTCACGGTACGGAAGATAATATTTTATTAATAAATTGCTGTGAAAAACTGAAGCTACAGAAGACTGCAATGGAGATGAGACAGATAAGTCAACGTAAATGTGATGGCGGGCGACAACAACCTGAAGAACCAGGCAGAGAAAAATGGCTCAAATTCATGCCTCTTTGGGTTGCCTGGAGGTCTTAAGGTATGTATTTGACTAATTTCGCGATCATAACCGGCGCTAAGTATTTTTATACATCAAATATAAAGATTCGAAAGTAATGAACCCCACAAAACCCAAAATTATACGTTTTGCAATAAGTTGCCGGCTTTTGTCCCATTGAGCTGGGGCTATGTGTTGAATCTATCTAAACTGGAATAAAGATTTTTGAAGGAAAGAAGAACTTCATTTTTTTTAAATATAATAACCACATGTTATAAGAAGCCTCTTTTAAGCTCCAATCTAGCTTCCCCACAGTACTGCCGCATGTTGCAGAAAAGCCAGCACTAACGGGGAGTTCAATGTCCTCCCCGTCAATTTCTGTATAAATGAACGTTGCATTAGCAGATATTTATGGAATCACAAATACATTATGTTTCTAAAACAAAGCCAGTTAGCGGCTGTACAACACTAGTCAAACACCACCTGTACATAGTAAAAAAACATACAGTGCCTTTTTAGGGCAGAATAACTTCCCACTGTAAAATCAATCATCCGTACAACAATTCACATACACAAGCATGCTGCTACATGAATGGAGCAAAATTTGTCCCCTCTAACTGGTAACCATACAAGTTTCGCAGTCTGCATAGAAATCTCTCTCAACCGAAATTCTGCCTCTGCTCGACGATCCCACGACTCGAAGTGTTGCACACGATACGTCCCGGCTATCCCGTGCCCGAAATTACAGCGTGAGAAGGAAGGAGCAGGGACGACGAAAAACACAAATCAAAATACGGTGCCCCATTCCGACTTCGGCGCTACTCTTCCTTGCGGCGACTCCACCCTACCACCGGGGCAATGGTGTCTGGAACACGTCTTTGACTGGTGCGTTTAGCGTCCCGCACTGCCCACGCATAGAAAGTGGTCCCAACGTAGCAACAGATCACGCCGGAGAAATCTGTGGCACATTGAGTCGCTTGTTGTAGCACTGTCGTTTAGCCGTAAAAGTGCTGGCGAACAAGGCTGCTGCCAACATTCTCTCCCATGGCCTTTCTACAATGTGACCAACACGAGCAAGCAAGGTCTGTGGAGGGCAGTTATGTAAAGTTGTCGCTTTAAAACAAAGACGTGGCAAACATGCTGGTCGAGGAGGCGTTTCAGGCTCCACACCGGGGCTACACGAGAGTGTACTGACCAGTATCTGGCGGTATCGGGCGGCCAGCAGCCGTGGCGGGAGCCCGTCCCCTTGCTCGGGGGTCCTCAGCCAGTTCCGGGTTGCCAGCATCCACGAGTAGAGCTGGCTCAGCGCGTTGCCGTACTGCGGGCAGCGCAGCAGTGCGGCACGCAGCTGTTCTTGGAACGTCCAGGCATCCTCGCAGATCTTGTCCCACTTCGTGCTAGCAATCTGTGGAGCCATGAGTGCGCGGGTGCACTATTTAGTGTGCCGTTCATGCGGACAAATGCGGGACGGGGCGGTGCAACGATTTTGGACTTGGGCCAATTAATTGTGAGAACCAGTCGACGTAACCTACAGAACAAAAAACGGAAAACCATTTTTAAAGCAGCTTTCTCGGTGACACTTTGCAGGGGTTTCAGTGTCGGCGTTTCTTGTCTGTCGTCGCAGTGGAGACACAAAAACCTTTCTTCTTTGCCCTCATGGTGCAAGGAGAGAGAAGTGGGGTGGTCCCGTTTGCCACGCCATGCAAAGAGGGTGGAAAGGAGAGCTTTGATGACTCGCCGATAACGACACAACGACAAGGAAGCGTCGTCTGCTAACGATAACTTCGAAACAGGCGTTTTCAAAAGTTACTCGCGTCATACGAAATCCCACTTTGTCAGTATCTAGTTGTTATGCATAATGTTGGAGCGTTTTTGAAACTTCCACCGCTTTCAGTTTCACTATAACATCTCTACTCTCGAATGCAACACGAAACACAAAATACGTTCTGCCGAAACTCGTTGCCTTGCGCCTGGTTTCTCCCGTAGAGCTATAAAGGTCGTGGCGAGTGATCGGGATAAAAAACAGTCTGCATCGGGAAATATGGTTAGGGTAGCTGCGGAGTGGAAATGGTTTTGTTGACTTCCGACAGATGGCACTGCAAAAGCTTGTGTGCTCCAAACAATTCTACACTGTGATGACCGCCAAATGCGTTTGCAGATAGAAAATGTTGTCTTTTCGCCCATAATCTGCGAGGAAAAGAAAGCTATAGCACGGTCGTGCAGTGCAAGTGGAATGGTGCCGTCACATAGCTGAGGAAGGAGGTGCGACGTGGTTCATTCTCATAGTGATCCGTGAAGTAAATGGGTAAGCGCGGTGCAAGCTTCTAAAACGATCCAACATTGCGCGTAGCAACTGGGAAAAGTTTGGAAAACACCGTTTTGAGCAGACGACAGGAAGACTCTCCCTTCGTCGCGTCGTTTTTGGCGGAGACGGCAGGGCTGCCCTCTTTGCTCTCCTCGCGCGGAACGGCCGACAGAAAATCCCGACTTCCCTCTTCTCGCGCCGAGAGGGGAGAGAAAAAGGGTTTTTCCATAGCGTCGATGACAGACCATAAGCTTGAAATCTCCGCAAAGTGTTGCCCGCAAAGCTATCGCTTTAAAAAGATAACATTTTTTTTCCTTCGCAGTTCTGCAGCGAGATCTCAAAATTTCGGGGGAAGGTGGCACATTTTCTCTTACTTGTGTCGAGATAAACGGTACAAAAAAATACGAGTCCCAAATTCTTTTAAACATTAAAATTGTTGCACTGCCCTTTCGAAGGGGAGCTCAGGCAAATAACCTTGCTCGCCCCCACATCATGCCCCATCCTCAAATGACGCACACTTCCTCTGCACTCGCCTGGAGTCTCTTTCGAAGTCGGGAGTCCTTAATGTCCTGCGCCTGAAGCCAGTCCAGGAGGAACTTCTTCCGGTGACATTCGGCCAGGAATTCCTGCGCAACGGCCGCGGCGGTTAGGAAAGTTGCGGTCGGTTGCCGTGCTGTGAACGCTGCTGCAGGCACTGGCAGCTTAGAAAACTCGAAGAATGGCTCCTTACGTTCACGCTTCTTCCTTCGTGATTCGTTTCTCTGCCTTGTTGTCGGCTAAGGACGCTACACCATTGGCTGCGTTATGTTCACAAGGCACTCGGAACTGGCCATGCCTTATGAATCGTAAACACTCAAAGACTCCAGTTTAATTGCGACCAAGCTTCCATCATAAAATCTCTGGCTCACACCGAGGTACCTCTACATTGAATTCAAAATCTCTATTCCTCCACAGACTGCAGGTTGCAGATGCAACATACAACCTGAATCCCGAGACTTAAAAAATGTGCACATGTTTTTTATAAGTAATATAAATATATAATAATATAAAATATAAATATTGCAGGAATATTAATCTCTTTCTCGGGATGCCTTTTTATTTTTAGGCCCTATAACTGCACCCTCTGTCCCTGAACGTGCCAACATAAAATGCCACGACGGGAGACCACGTAAGAAATCACAGGCCACTTCACTGCAAGCGTCGTCGCTTTCTACGTCAACATTTCACGGCTGTCAGAGTGCAACTCGCTCGACCTAATCCACTGCACTGGAACACGTTTTTGCACACTGGGTCTGTGCCATTCATTCGTTTTTTCCCGCGATGCCTGCTTTCCCTTTAACGGCTACTGACATAAGTTTATACAGTATAGACCACTTACAACGTAACCGCTTATAGTGCAGTACCGGGTATAACGCGGTTTTTTTAAACCACCGGTTCGCCTCCCATAGAACTCCATGTATTTACATACCGCTTAAAATGCAGGAGCGCGAAGGGAAATACCGGTTATAGTGCGGTTTTTGGCACAGCCCGCCGACCGCGCCGACGACCAGAGCAGCGAGTACGCTTCCATGTGCGACACTAGATAACGGCGCTGACGGCGCAGGGCGAGGATGTTGCTCGAAGAAGTGGGGAGAAGCGAAGAGAGAGGCTTCAGTAGGGACGCACGCACGTGTCGTTCACGTGCGTGCTTCCTTCCGCCCCTCCGCTGCGTGAAAACAAAGAAACAAACAACCGCACCGACAGACCAATCGCAGATCGAGGAGAAGTGTTCGCGCGCGTTGCATGCCGGTCGCGGGCCGGCTGCTCCTATCACTTCTATCCACAAATATGGCGTCGGCTGTGATCGTCGTCGTAGAAGGCGTTCATCTCATCGTTCTGCGTAAAAGCGCTATCCTTGACTGTGAATTTTCGTTGTGTGTCGCTATAACCCAGCACATACTAAAAGGGAAGATCCACCTACTCGTGTGGCGATGTCGTGGCGGCGCTCTCAAAACGGCAGAAACGCCCGTGTCGTCGTGTTTGTTTACTTGGACTACAGCGGTGATTTCTAAGCATTTGTGTCCTCGAACATCGCCCGGATTTCTTATTTGGTGCATTTCATGCGTGTGCTCAAGTTCGAGGTATTACTGGCGCGTACCGTATGAAGGATGCGAATTTTCACGCGTTTTCATCTCCGGAGAAAAGTGATTAGGATTAGCAATCCTGACCGCTCGGAACGTCCGTCCGCAACTTGCGACGCCGTTAAAAGGCTGCGCCAGGCAAAAGCCGCTCATTTCTTTCAAAATGTGTGACACATTTGAGACAGAACTGTACTAGTCTGGTGAAATAAAGACTTTCCTCAAACTAAGCTTTATTTTTCATCTAACATAAAATAAATTCATTTACAAAGGTAAGTTGCCGGATGGCATGTATTTTGGCCTGAAAAATTGATGTTTTGGTTATAGCGCGGTACCGCTTATAGTGTGGATTTTCACGACTCCCGCGACATACGTTACATGCGGTCTACACTGTATTTTATGTCACCAATACCAAGCACGACTGAGCTCGTGAAACAATGAGGGCTACAGCTGAAACAATTGGCTACACATACACACAGACCAGGTGCTTACCCTATGAGATGCAATGAGAGGGCTGAGCTGCTCCAGATCGTCTGGCACCTGGATCGGCTCTAGTCGACAACAGGCCGAGTCGAGCCAGGTTTCGAGCTCGGCCAGTCCCTGTTCCACAGAGGAAGGCTTCTGCTTCTGTTCCGGTACGCTGTCTGGGAATACCTGCTCCAACAGGCCGGCCAGCTCATCTGAAAAACGGCAACCCAACACACTGAGTCCTTCTCACTCTAGGTGGACCAGCAAACGCCAAAGTAAAATGCATTTGAAGTCCACTACCCCCTATAGTAGTTATATTTTACTACTACTAACATCACAGAGGCCACGAAAATACTTTTTCACTGTCTCACAAACTCTCGAATTGTATCAATCTTACAAGCAGGTCTGACAGGAGAAAACAGCACTGATTCAGTTCCACCACAGAAATAAACTACAACTTGAAAAGAATGCGAAAGAACAGGTGCACAAACCTCCGCCATCACCTTCGTCCGGCTCTTGCAACGATGTTCGTATTCTTTCCAGCTGCCGACCGTTGTCCACGTTTGTGGCACACACAATCACCACGTGTTGCTGCGAGAAAAAAGTCTCTTGTAAGAAAAAATCAGAAAAAAAAGAAAGAAAAGTGCACCTCCCTAAAACGACAAACAAAAAATGATTAGCATTTATATGTACTCCGTGATGTGTGTATGACACAGTGTCACTGATGTCACATGACCATGAGGAAAGCACATGATCACGTTCATGTGATGAGACATCACAGTGTCACATGTGACATGGTATCACATGCGACAGGTGTCACGTGATGTCAACATTGTCACATGTAACAACAGTATCCCGTGATGTCACAGTGTCACATATAAAACAATGACTCGAGACTCTCCTCTCTTGGGAATCGTCACCGTTCCAGCCCCATAGTCAGACACCAACTGATGAGAACACCGTGGCGTCATCAGCGCGACACCTTCATCGAGGCTGCATTCTAGACGTAGACAAGGAGACCCTAAGGGGTCGCCTTATAAATGCTGAGCATTCAATACAAAACAAGGCCAAGGGGATAAAAGTTGGGGCTTACCAGGTTTTCGGATGCTGCACCGCTCAAGGGGAGCCTCCCAGGAAGCGTCCCCGGTAGCTCGCTCGCCAGCAGGCTGCTCGCTGCAGATGCACCTTGGAAGATTGAAATAGAAATTTTCAATTTTCAGAGTTAATGAATAATGCTACGACCAATTATGCGCGTGCACAACTGGCTTTAACAGAGCAGGAGCAGCCCGTCTCAACTCACCACTGAGTTCCTGCTGAGCTGGCACGATGCACTCTTGAGAAGATTCTTGGTCCTGTAAAGCATGAGAGGCCTTCTTTGCCAAGTGTCCTCAGGAATAGAAAAAAACTTAAGCTCGACCATTAGAAACTGGCGCATTTCATATATCTAATCAGGAAAAGTTTAGCCAGCTGTGCTTGTTGCTTGTGCAGCGTTCGTGTCGCGGGCCAAGGATTAGACGTTTACTGATCATTGGGAATGGAATGGCTCCACACAGATACAAAAAAAGTCGGCTCTGCATTTGATGCATCGTTCATTTATCTAGTTGTCTAGCCAGAGGTAGGAAAAAGGGCGCTCGCGATATCAGGCACGAGAAAAACTGAAATATAAAATGGTGCCCAATCTTATCAGCAGCCTAAAGCAGAATCAGCTCATAGTTCTTTTTGTGTTTAATGGCAAGAACATGCTCATTTGGAGCTTGCTAAAGCAGCGTGTGACAGGCGTTCTCCACTAATTCAGGGGCCCACAAACTGTTCTTGTCCGCAAAATTTTACCTAATATAGCACAAAGTTGAAAGAACATTTTACAATACGCCACTAAACCAAACACAAAAATCCCTAGGCCTTTCTGACCAAGCCGATGTTTTGCGACAACCCCTCTATAGAACATTATAATAGCCCACCCTCAGCACGTGCAAAGCAGTAATGCACATAGCTATTACGGTCAGCGAATGTTGTAAATTTCTTTATTTTTGCGGGCGTTGGTGGAGTATATGCATTCGTTGACGAATTCGCACAATAAATTTCTTTGCAACATTTTTCTGATCGCCAATTTCACAAAATGAGCTTATTGTAAAAATGAGGTAAATTACATTACACCCTATCACAATCGGAGGCCGTTGGCAACAAACAAAAAGCACCGTTCATTTTCGAGTGTTTTTCAAACCAGAACCAAACATAATACAAACCAATACAGTAGCATGCTGTTTCTACAGTTAAAGGGACAATAAAGACCATTTTATTTAATTTTTTTAAATGGTGTTTTTATGCTTCTTGGGAACATAGCATGCTGCCCAATTTTTTGTAGCCATTTGTGACGCTTATTTCTGTGCCTACGAAAAAAGTAAAGAAACCGAAACTGAACCATCTCCATTCTCGTTTCTGGGCCTCCAAAAACGGAGGTGACGTAGGGAGTGACGTCAAGTGTGAATAGTCGGTATCGGTAGTATTTATGAGATCGAGATTCTGGTTACCGCGGTGGGTTATATCAGCGCGGTGGCGCGTTCGTTTCGTTGAATCTGTCAACATGGACGGCAATGCCGCTCTCGCGAGCGAGTTCGAGCTTCCGTTCAGTAACCCAACACAAACGGAACGGGAGCACGTGTGTGGCGGCCTCCGCCGTCACCCGACGGAGACCGCCCAGCCGGTAACGAGCGGCCCACATGCCGAAGTGCCCATAGTTGCTCGTTGGCCGTTTCGCGTCCAGCGTAGCAAAGAAAAAAAACAATTATGCTGCTTTATTTACAGGTTAGTAATTCTTTTCGCTCCGATTTATACTTTTCATGATTATTCAAGCGGAAATTAGAACAGTATTCCTAAAAACCGAGAACCAAAACGTGACCGAGGGCGCGTCTCTCGTTTCGACCAATCGCTGAAACGTCTCTTGTGACGTCGCGCTTCTTGGCCTCGCATCGGTCACGTGAGCTCCGCTTCTCTTGGCTTCTCCCGCAACTCTCGGGGCATCGCCCCAGTCGATCCCGGTACGATTATTACCGCGACTGTTTAATTGATTTGCGCGGCACACAAGCGCCGGTTTCGGCTGAAATTTGGGCAACGTGGCCTGAGACGTGCCTGGAACCCAGTTCAATCGCCAAAGAGATGTCCGAAATTGCCTTCATTGTCCCTTTAACTACAGTAGTTATATTTTTACAATAAACTGAAAGGAAATTATTCGAAGTTTCAAGTCCAATGCATAGAGCCAAAGCATAACGCCTTTGTGGCATCACTAACCGATTCCCCTAGAGGTCGCCTTCCTGTTGCGAGGGCGGCGGCACGTAGGCAGAGGTCGTGCCAGTAGAGGCGCAGTTCCCCCAGGGCGGGGCCCATGGTGATGCCGGCCAGGAAGCAGCCATGTTGCTCCTCCCCCAGTTTCTCCAACTCCTCCAGCCGCGGACCCCCAAGACGGAGTTCCTCTTCGAGTTCCTGAAGAAGCGGCATCGTGCCTTACATTAAATTTCCGTTAAATTTAGTGACCACGGTGAAGTCGCTCGACAGATTTTTTGCCGTTCTTGTGAGGCATGGCACTGCATATTGACACGACCTTGGTGAGACTTGGTAGTTTCAAACATAAAATATGCGTATTAATACTAGAGTTGAACGTAAACCATCCACCTGATTAGGAATACTAGAGTTGCAACCTATCTCGTGTAGCGTGCCTTCAGCATACCCTTTAAACAGCGATGACACAGGGTGAAGGCTGAGGACAAGTGGTAGGACTGGACGGGAAAGGAAATATCTGACGTTTTGACCGAAGAAAATGACGCATAAAAAATTGAGTGAAAATAAAGATTAAAAAAGGAGAAAAAAAAAGCCCATTTGGTACAAACTCTTAGACCATCTTGGGGAGTAATTTGTTTCCCTTTCGCTGGACATTGACTCAGAACACGTAAACATGCACAATCTTTAGACAAAGTACTACAGTCTAAGCTCGTTATAACAGATCTTGAATTTAACCAAGGTTTTGGTCTGTTGTAAAAGGGGTATGTTGTATGCAGATATGAAGTTGAGTCAATGGTGCATAGAGGGAAACGAACCAAACTTCACAAATCGGTATGTTATATCCAAGTATCTGTTGTAACCAGGTCTGTTATAATGAGCTTAGACTGGTCTGGAAATTTCGGCAGTTTCCACCCTAATAAGTTTTGTCACTAAAAACGTTAAATCCTGTAAAAAAAAAAAAAAAAAAAACTGTAGAATATTGCGCATCCGCCCATTCCATATTAAAGGGGCCCTGCAACAACTTTTTGACTGGTTTTAATTGGCACCGAAACTGAGCGTACTGAACATAGTAACTTAAACAAACTTTTCTTTTCTCAAATTTCGCTTTATTTTAAAAGTTATAGGCAAATTAGAATTACAAAAACAAGCAAAAAATAACCTCCTTCATGATGTCGTAGGTCCTGGTTTGAGTGGCCGTGAACTAGAGGAAGGGTAGTGAGCTCATCGAGCGCTTACGGCTGCCGTACTCCGTGTCAACGGCTCGAGAGGGCGCCACTAAAGCACGTGTTGGATAGGCTGTACGAAGCGGGCGGCCAGGGCGGCTCGCATTGCATTTGCTGCGTGATTAAAGACTAATTCGGCATAACACTTCACTGGCCACAAATGACAGCAAACACGGGGTAAAGATCAGTTCAGAATGGGAGCCACTTCGCGCTGCCATACGGCCAAATCGCCAGCCAAGCTCGCGCCGAAAGCCTTCGGAATGCTTGGAACCGGTCGAATCCTCGAGCCGGTATACGACCGCAGCGCCGCCGCGTACATCCGGGACCTTTCTACGCTAGCCGTTCGTCGGAGCCTCGTCCCACTAGCGCTTTCTAGTATGCGCTGCTTTTTCCGCCACTTGGTGGCGGGTTTGTCGACGGGTCATTTCTTGTTTCCGTACTTCATAAACTGCATTTGTTTATTTTCTGATCTAAAATACTGAACAAAAACTATTTTCATACATAATTGAAAAGGTTCGCAAAACTTATACTTCGTATCTCGACTAAAAAAAAAAAGCTTTTAGCGGCTCTGACCAGTAGTAAGCCCAGGTCCAAAGACGTCAAATATTGCACGCTTTCGGCAAAGCGGGTCGCCCTCGTAGGTGGAGGAGGTTTCCGCGCCGTCCGGTTAAAATATGATGCACTGATATTTAGTTACTCTCTCCGTGCCCGCTGGCTTGCGCGAACCCCAAGAGAAGTGGAAACCACAAATAAGGTAGACGCTTAAATATGATTGCAGGGCCCCTTTAAGCGCCCATTCCCAAATCTGTAAGATCTGAGAAAATATGCACAGTACATTTATATATAAAATTGATGACCGGACAAGCGCCCGTCTCCCATTTTTTTTTTTTTTCGATTATCTCCAAAGTTTGAGTGGCCGCTTGCCCGGTATTTTACGGTATATACATATATAATTGTGTTGCACTTTTCATCTAAGTCTCGAGTATAGATGGCGTTTCCAATTGTCCATATTTCTGACGGATTTGTGGGGCTTTAGGGAAGAGTAGACACACCCAGCAACTTTCTTTATGGTGGCTTCTCCAAACCCACGTCCACCACATGTTAGGTTCTAAAAGCGATCCAATTGGCTGATCTCTTTATGTCAGCAGCATGCCTCTCATGTTTCATTTTGTCCCTAAAGAAAACTCTTCCCTAATAGTCACTGAAAAGGTGAAAAAGGCAGGGAGGAGTTTCTGTTGTCCTGCCTCTGACGTAAACTTCCTACCGTCGACAATGCTTTGGCGTCTCGCGCAGCTCCAGCGCGTGTGCTGAGCCAAGGTACAGCGCAAAGCAAGGAACGCGGGCAGGGGGTTGCAGAAAGCGGCCTCCGGTCCGCGTCGTACCGCAGACCACAGGCGAGAATGCGATGCAAACTAAAACGAGCGAAACCGAGCCCGCTACCTCGGGTACGTCGTCGTCGTTTCCGTGCCCCATTTCGATTCTCGTGAGGGCCAGGTCCTTCTCCGTGAGCCAGAGCAACAGCTGCTCCCGGAGCGCGTCCCAGCGGTTCAGGGCGACCAGGACCTTCCGGAGTCGCTCTAATTCCTGCTCCACGGAGCGGGCGCTGGAGCGCCGGTCCTCGAAGCCTCGCGCCAGGGACGCGTGGATCGTGTCGTCGATGGGCCCGCCCTGAGCCAGCTCCCGGTACCGGAGCAAGATGGTGTTCAGGGAGGAACCCACTTCCTCGAGTTCGGGCTGCAAGGCCTGCCGAGAGAAAGGAGGAAGGCTCAGTGGACCTCCGAGAACCCAATTGTGGCATGATTCGGCGCTTCAAGTTGTCGCCGTAGAGGGGCAACTGGTTCTGTGCAGAAAGACTTCCAGCTTAGCCTCTCTTGTATCTCGTGCAATGAAGATTATGCGAAAGGCTGCTGGTACAATGTCTAAATGAGATGTGCGACATTGCCTGATGTCATCTCTAGCTGCGACTCGGGCATGATCACATTACTGCCTGCGCATAATACAAATGCTCGACAAAAGCGTGGGGTAGAAACCCATCTCCTGAGCTCCAGGTGTTCCGTACAGGCTTTCAGTGGATGATCTCCGAGCGCAAGAGTGCTGGCTGACATCTCAAGGATAATGAAAACACCATGCCTGCGCTATTCACGAAGTAGCAGAGGGGCCTACCTCGGATAATTAATTAATACATAGATGGGCCGTGTTTGTGCTTTTCGTTTTTTTGGGCTACAGCAATTGAAAGATACGTTTGCATCGGCTCGTTACTCTGCCGCTTCACCACAGTGCATCGAAAAACGACGAAAAATGCTCTCTCTAAGATCCATAGAGCTTCAGAGACTTTGAGGACCCGAGTCCATTCTTCTGGCACGTATCTTCCAATAAGAACACGGAGCCATGCTTAGCGCATCAAGCAGACGAAGTTCTTTGAGCTAGAAAGGCGACGGGAATGCACACCTCCAGATCTTTGATGGTCTGGCGGAGGTCTTGGAGACTGTCCTGGTCGGCGTTGCTTCCTGCGTCGACCAGCTGACACTCCCTTGAGCGCAGCTCGGCGAGTCTTCTTAGGAGCCTCTGCAGGTCCTTCCACAGCGTTCGAGCAGTCAAAATTCTGAAGAGTAGAGAAAAGTCTAGTTGTGCCCAACACGAATACACAACAAGTTTTCAAGCCAGGCTCCTTAGGACCCAGAGGAACCCAGACGCAAACTAATTCACCACATTTAAGTGCAATGTGTGAGGTTATTCCCTCCTTTTGTAGAAGACAACAATCGAATCATAAATATACCATCAAGGTATTTCCTTATGCACAGTCCAGACTCGCTTATAAAATGGGTTCATGCCTCTACTTCTCCGCAGATTATGCACGAGCCAATCGCTGCGATTTAAGGAAGGAGACTAGCGAATGAGGCGGCACAGAAGACACTCAAAACAGCAAGCTGCACAGGTTATACTGCTAGGAAGAACAACTGGCACAACCAATACTGCACCATTTTTTAACCTGAGATGAATTGCAGCAGATGCTGGAAGCCCTCGGAGCCAATCGAGTGATGAGAGAGTGTCAGGTGCTTCTCTGGCTCAAAGCAGTGATGCGTAGAGAGCAAAGTCACGTGACACGCTCCCAGCTCTCGATTGGTTCGGATGGTTTGTAGCACTGGCTGCGGCCCAACTTGAGATAAGACAGCAACAACGATGCTAGAACAAAAGAACAAAGAGGACTTCCGCGGACGCACCTGGCTAACCGTAGTTCCAGAAGCGGTCCGAGGGCTTTCCAGCGCCGCTCGGCGTCCTTGAGCTCTTCCCTCATCTTGTCCTGTTTTGCCAGAGGCACGATGTCGTGGTAGTACTTGAGAAGGGCGTCCGATGTGGTCCGCAGTTGTTCCAGGGACTCCGATCGTTCGGCTACTTCTTGTTTCAGTGCCTACGTGGTGACGGGGAAAGTCCTTAAGTTTCTCCGAGGATGTTCTCGGCTTGAAGCGTAATTTATTTATTTGATTTATTTACAGAGTACCTACATCGCCTCGAGGGCATTATTGTAGGAGGGGCGGGAAATAACACGCATATATAAAATCTGTAATGCGTAGGCTAATGCGCCACAAGGGCTCCACACGTGATTAGTGGAGTAAAGTGCGTTGCTGGGGTAATTGGTGCATTTAAATACAGACAATATAGTGCATACAGGACAAGGAATGCATCTTCATAATTTTAGTTGTATTGAAATATGTGTAGTATCAGTCCTGTCTTGCTTAAACACTAGAATTGCAAGGGAAATTCTAGTTTCCTCAATTCCATTATCCTTACCTAGAACTTGGAACAAAGAAATGAAACCAAATATAAAATAAAACAGCAAAGAACGGCATGTTTGCTTCCAACTCAATATTCCAGCAAAAAGAAACAATGCTACGAATGTAGAAAACTTCATAATTCCCAGCAAATCAAGTCCAGACAAACAAGGCACTCACTTCCAATGCCGCTTGCTCACGCTCCGCATCCTCCGGTGCAATGGCGGCATTCAGGGCAGCTTCACCGCCATCCATCCAGAGGAGCAGAACCTTCAGCAGCGCGTCAAACTCCTGCTGCAAAGCCGCTGCTTCTTTCAACCTCTGAGAGCTGCACAAAAAAAAAAAAAAAAAAAAATTGCTTTCAGGAAGTGGTTTTGATGACAGTCCTCTCTGGACAGAATCCAGACGTCTTGATTTTCCCTAAAGCTTCATACAATAGATCAAATTGGATTGGACAAGATTTCTTTGGCTTCCCTTTGTAGTGGGTGATCACAAAACTTTGGATTCTAGGTCTAGACAGTGGGCTCTTGTGCAACTTCCACTTTCGCTGCCTCTTCGGCCTAAAGCCACACCACTAGTGTGTAGAATCAATGTTGCCAGTTCTCACCAGCTTTTGCCGACACGACGGATGTAAGATGCAAGAAGTGCTTTCGGATGCCCTGCTTGCTAAAACGGTTTACAACAGATCCAAACGACACTACGATGAGCTCCTAACACTGTTTCTGGCGCTCAAAAGTCTGCAATTTAGAACCGTGACGGCCGTAAACGTCGCAAACGTGCGACTCTAGGCACCAAAATGGCAGCACCCACGAGCTGTATTGGCACGTAAACCAACGTCATGTGACACAAACAGACGAAAAACAGTTTCAGAAGCGTCAGACAATGAGGGAAAAGAGTGCTGATATTCAGAGCGCGGCTTTCTAGTGACTAATTTTACCCGACTGGCCGACAGGTCCACCAGAGACGCTACGATTCGCTGAAGTCCCTCGGGCAACTTTTTTGGTGACAGTCACGTTACCACCTCCTTTGCCGTCGCACTTACTTTTTGCGTGAATCCTCTTCAATGCCGCTCCATGTCTGCCTGACCGTGGCCAGACGGCGTTCCAGGGGCTCTTGGTGTTCTGTGTCTCGCAGCAGCGTCATGAGGAATTCACCGGATCGCAGGACACTCTCATAGTCTCCCTCGTGCTGTTGCACTTCCTACAACGTCAAAATGACTTTTGGTAGTGCTCCAACCATGAATGAGAAAATGTCATACTATGACAAGGGTCAATATTTCAATATTTTGAAACTGTTGAAGGAACACCACGATAACGTTACAACATGATGTGAATACCACACCGGAGTAAGCATCAACAATTGATTAAAGCGATGGCTTTATAGGGCCAACTAGTGCCACTAAATAAGCTACGCTTCAGAACAACGACACTTGGCCATATTGTGTTTTAAAATCATGGTTGCCAGTTATCTGAAGCTTTATCTGAAATCACAGGAAACACTTTTTCGCCCTCCACAAATGTTTAAACAGTTCGCGACAGTGTAACGACCTTCCTAACACCAAACACGACCTTCCTAACACCGGATCTAATGCTGAGGAAGACATACTTTTGAACCATGACGATCGGCAGTTGCGTCTGCTCTGCATATGAGCCAAAATGGCGGCGCCCAGAACAATGTCGGGGAACGGAGTGCCGATACTCTAAGTGCAGCTCATTTAGTGGCTCTAGGGCCAACCAACCTCAGGAGCCACGTAAGCATGAAATGCATAGGTCGGTCAGTCCGTAACAGCTAAACGATCTTAGAAAAAAAGAAATGGTAACTGGTGCCAGCGATCCAACCCTGGTCACCGGCATGGAAGCCGAGTGTGCTGCTGAGTGAGCTACGGACCCAGCACACAGAAACGAGAGGAGCAGAAGCAGGTGGTGTGAGAAAGTGCATAAAGCGGAGAGGGGTGGAAAGGGCAAGAAAGAGAGGAGCACAAACAGATGGGGTAGAGAGAGCACGCTGAACAACGAGGAGTGGAAAGGGCAGAAGAGTGCAGTTCCCTCTCTTGGTGACCCAGAAAATCAGCGCAAAGGCTTTGTATCCGGGTGGTACCGAAGGGAAGCGTGCGCAGCACCACAGAGAGACAATGGTGTGGCGTAATCTGTTTCCATAGAAGACCCTGCTCTTGGCACCACCTTAACTAAAAGCACCACCCACCCAATAAAGCTACCGCATTTAAACGTGTTTGACAGATACCAAACATGTGGCCAATTTTATTTTTTTTGGGTAGGAAATGAGTCTCCAAATAATATCCTATTCATACCCTACTATGCAGCGGAAGGGAGGGAAGAGAGGCAAGTGTTAGCAGATCACAAGTTTTATTTTGGGACACTTGGTTGATGAAAATTGAACAGTTCCATTCATTCCGAAGCACCCGCGAACCGGAAAGTCGCATCAGAAGCGGAAGGCAGCGTGAGCAGGGTGGTTCGGGCAGCATGCATGCATACCCCAATCTCCGACACGGTAAGACGTTGAAACCGCCAAAAGGGAAATTGGCCCAGCAGGCGTGCCGTCTAACGCAAATGAGCGGAGCAGGATGTATTCCCCTATTTGGCAATGCTCTGTTACTGACCATTTCTCCACAGCCTTGTGTCTGCGATAAACATAGACACAAGCACGAGGTGTGTGCGGGGTCCCCATATGGAAATAACAGCTACACAAAATGACATACTAAAGAAGTCTGATTAAAAAGAGTCACCTCAGACAGCCTGTCGGCGCGAGCCTTGGGGTCTTCCATTCTCGTGGAAGGCGATGGTTCTGATTCCTTGACAGTTGGGACATGCAGTTCGTCGCAGGCCTTGTAGAAGGAGTCGAGGCACCTTTGTGCTCCCAGCTGCTGACCGGTCGAGAGCTGCCCTCGTCGCCTCAGGGCCTTGCCCGCTCTGTCGGCCAGCCGAAGGTGGCAGGCCGTGGATTCGGACTCGGTGCTGACACATTCCTTCTCGATGGTGGCCAAGCTTCCCCGGGCTGCCGTTACTGCTTGGCTCAGCTGGGCCAGACTTGCCTGTGCAGGTGACACACAAACTCGTGGCTCATGCTATCAAATAAAAGTTTCCTAATCACTCGCCCGTCAGAAATGCCTATTGTAGGTAATGAAATTGAAGCAAAACTGCAGTACACTGAGACAGTTGAACTGGTTCTTCCCAAAGTATGGAAGCCCAGTACATTTAATCAAACACCAGCTTCAAGCATTATATGTCATATAAGTTACACAGACTGTTTTTCTTTATTCGAGCCACACATAGACTGCCTTTAAAAGGATGACTTAAATTTGCCGAACAAGGGCAAATCGGTCAGTGTGGTCTATGGCTAATCTCCGTTTAACCTTAAGACGTGAAGCGGCAAAAGCGTACTTAGTTAGACGCTCCCACTGCGCCAAAATTTATGCAGCCGAGGCGCGCCCTTGAGCAAAAAGCCCGCGCTTGTAGCCCTCACTGCGGTACATCACGTTAATAAGGACCCCATTACTCCCAATACTGCACAGACAACACTTTCAGGGGCAAACAGGACAGATACACTCATTTGTTCTCGTTATTACGAACAACTTGCATTGCGAAAAATATTAATATAAAATAAAATATTAACGAGACACAACTGTATACAGCCTGATGTCTTCACCGTGAAAGAAGAGACCCTCCTTAAAGTATGAAGAAAAACATTGATGTCGCCATTTCTCAGGCACGAAGCATGCAATTAAATCAGAGTCCTCGCAGAACGCCAACGAAGCGCTCGCTTTGGATACGGACCGAGTCAAGTTTGTGCCAAATGCCGACGAAACCCTCGCATCCGATACAAGCTCGGGGTGTGTGCCCAAACAACAGCGGACAGCTGCTAGACGACGCACATTTTTGGTAACGGTCTCATGCCGGTGATTGCTGCACGAGGCGTTCCATACTAAAAGCTTCCGCACCTCCAGATGATCGTCCTTATCCTTCTCCGGACGAGAGCTCTGTTGCTGGTCCGAGGGAGGACCTCCACTCCGCGCTTCCAACGCTCCGGCTAGGCCGTCGTCCACCTCGGCCAGGTGCCACCTCAACTGGCTCCAGTGGGAAGACAGCGGTGCCAGGTTCTTTGTCCGGGCCACCAGGGCCTCCAGTCGCTGGTGGAGCTCCTGGGCCTGGCCCCGGGCTTGGTCCAGCCATGGCCCGGGCCTCCAGCCGCGGATCAGGGCGTCTTCGTGGCCCTGGAGGGCCTCCCATTGGCCGTCGGCTTCGGCCAACTGCTCCGGCAGGCGCTGCAGACGACGCGGAGTCACTAACGTTAGGATTCCTCATTCGTTGCACTTGGAAGATGAGAAAAAGTATTCCTAAAAAAAAATATTGTTTGAATGAAGATGATTAGATGCCCTTTTTTTCAGAGACAGTCCCGCTTAGAGGTTTGTTTTTGCCGTCCCGTCATTTTGTCTCAATGAAGCCTCATGTCCCGTTTTCGTAGGACCATAGTTGCGAAATCAGTACTAAGCGAGCGGAAGAAACACAAAAGAATGTTTACTCGTTGCAGAGATAATTTTATAAAATTAAACATATTATGAAATCGTTACCTGTCATAGAGTACAATTTTGAGGTCTTTCTGCATTTATATAGTGCCAATACATTTGGTTAGCATAAACATGTGCATGGAAGAGAGTTCCTTTTTTTCTGAGTGTGGCTTGCTTTGGTTGGCATCATTATATGTTAAAAAATGAAAATGAGTATGTCACTAATTTCACTAATCAAATGAGTATTTCACTAATTACACGATCATGGCCGGTCTTTATTATTTTTATAACTAAAATATCAAAATTCAAGGACAATAAAACACCGTAAAGCCCCAAATCACTATTTTGAAAAATATTGCCCTTTTCCGACCCGCATCTCGCGTTTGGTGAATATGGGTGCATGTTTTGCCGCTTTGGAACCACTTTTGGTGTATGGGCGGGATGGGACGCTAAACACACCAATTGGACACGTGTTCCAGGCACTGTACGTGTACGGCTCGCAGCTCCTTACCTCACGCTGGAAGAGGGCAAAGAGGAGCCGCAAATCCAAGACCGGAAGTGCGGCCAGCCGGAGCACTTCTGAGCACTCCAGGGCGCTCAGGCGCGCCTCCAGCGCCCAAAGGGCGTGCCGGAAAGCGAGCCACAACCGGCACGACCGCCACGCCTCGCCCATGCGCTGCTGCGTTGCCGCCAGCATCCTCTCCATTGACTCCTCTATTCCGTCGCACAAATCCCGGTGTTGTTCCGTCGATCCCCCGCGTCGGAGAGCCTCCAGGGCGGGCCGATAGGAGAGCAGCAGGAGCTGGAGCTGTCCGAGGTCCTCCAGCTGCTTCCTGCACGATGCCGGATCGTGGAAGGGCGGACCGGTCCGGGAGAGCAGCTCCCGTGCAGTCTGTCCGAGGCGGAGCAGGTCGGAGCAGTTGGCCTCCGGCGCTCTCTTCTGTTGAAGCAGTCTCCTGGCTCGGCCCCAGACAAGGAGTAGTCGTCTGCACGCCGCCTGCCATCGTGACAGGAGACGCCGGGAGTCTGCCGTTTCAGGGTAGGAAAGGTCCAGTCCAATAGGCAGGAGTGCGCGACTTGCGTCCTGCGAGGAAACAGTTTTTAAACCTTCAGACGGCACTGTTCATTGACAGTACTGGAGTTTCCTGCATATCCAGCAAAATTTCAGGACCTAAAATAAACTTGGAACCCCCATTCTTTTCTTAATTCTGGTCCTAGACAGTGTAGTCGAAACAAGGCGAGCCTGTCTTGCGTTCGGATTTCAAAACAAAAACAAGACTGCTTTTAGAACAAAAACATTGAGACTTTTACCCCGCATTGTCCTTCAGCATGAAAAGTGAAGTTAGCTCCAAGACAAGTTTTATCTAGAACTGGAGAAAAAACCAGCGAACTTGAATGTGTATCTTCTCTTTTTTTCTGCCTTATTTTTTGGCTTTTTCAAATTGTGGGTGCTTGTGTTGTTCTAGAATGCTGCATGCTATCTTCATCAATGCAAGTGTGTGTTCTTTTTTTTTTTTTTTTAGGCGGCTGTTTTATTTTTTGATTTTTAAGATTAAATGAGAAGAAAACTCTCCTGTATGACAAGCCCTACAAGGGTCAGCAGTATTTATAAATAAAAAAAATAAATAATTAGAAACACAAAAACCAACAAAATCACAACATAGTATCTCAAGTTGCCTTGTGTGGCTTTCGGACATCTCAACACCCATCTAATGGCTTATTCACACGAGGCATCTTTGCAACGCGCCACAGTTTAGCGAAACCAAGATTTCGCGAAATCGGCCTGTTCACACGTGGAGATTGACGCGCGAAACCTGTGACGTATTGACTTGCGAGAATTTCGCCAAATTTTGTCATCTGCACCGGAAATACCTAGCGTTTCTCATCAAAATATGAAGTACGCACAGCGTGAAGAGACAGTCTGTTTTATTAATACCACTCAATGAACTTCGTCAGATTCAGCTCACTGGGTTTACTAGTCCTGCCAAACCCGGGAAAGACCGCGAACGTCTAAGAACAGGCAGATGATCTCGAAGCATTTCGGACATTTTTGCACCGCTAATAACGAAAGTTATTCCCAGTCACCAGGTTTATATCCGGTGCTTGCACTCGTCGCGACTATTGATGAATCTGTACTGCGCCACCAACCCGAACTGTAGGCGCCGTTCACACATTTGGAACCGAGTAGGATCAAGACTCGTCGCCCAAACGCACCGCGTCTCCGCTTGTCGCTCGCCATGTTTGTTTATCTTCTTTCGGCTTTGGCTCGGATACGGAATCGGCCGAAAATCAGACTCCTCCAAAAGCTCGCTCCTCCTCGTTGGTCAAACGTCATAGCGAAGTCCAGCGGCCATTGGCAGCGCCCGCGTTTCTCCTTCGGGTGATTGACAGGCCTCGGTGAGGTTTCAGCGAAAAATTGCTCCAGAAGCGAGGAAGACGCGCCACTTTTTTTCGGAGGCGCGCCACTTTTTCGGTTGCGTTCAGACGGGGAATTTGTTTCCGGAAACCTAGTTTCGCGACACAAGATTTGCCAACAAGATGCATCGTGTGAATAGACCTTAAGAAATCGCACTGCCACTTGCCTCAGCCGCTGAGCACAGTTTCTCCAGCCTTTCGATGCTCCAGTCATCCCTGGGCTCTTGAGGCAGCATCTGGCGAAAAAGAACACCCCACAGCATCACAAATGAAGCCTCGAGAGACAGACAGCCTCGTCGCCATTCAGCATACACCTCTACAGCACTGTTTCTGAATTATCTGCTGAGCAGCGATGTTTGAACTGATGGCTTTCCCCATTTGCCCGTTTGAATCTGCGAAGAAATGGACGTTGAGTGGCTTGAGGTCACGTGACTCAGTCAGGTGACATCGTTTCCCTGCCACATTTAGCAGAGGAGATCGAAGTCACGTGAAGTCGCTTACCTACTAAATTTAGGGGGTTAAATCGACGTTGCGCGGCGCCAGGTCGGGCAACGCTCCCAGCATGACGCCCGTTCGTGATGCTCGCTCTCACAAAAAACAACCCACAATAAACACATTCTACGTCAACTTAACGCCGTACCTTTTCGTTCTGACTTAACGCTTTCTCGAGATCCCTCAGTCGTTCGGGAGAGGACGCCGCCGGTGCCGTGGGCCGCTGCTGCGACGACGACGGATGGGGTTCGGCGAACGTCGGCAGAGCTGCGTGGAGGGCCTCGATGCGCCTGCAGAGCGGCGTTGCGTCCAGTAGCTCGCTGCTGGCCGTCGCGGCGGACAGCTCGCGCACCACCGACGTGAGGCCGGCGCGAGCCGCGGCCTGGGCGTAACTCAGCTCCGCCCCCGAGCGGTCCTCGCCATGGGGTTCTCTCAAGGCCCATTCGTAAAGTCTGTCTTCGGCGACCCTCCAGCGCTCCCAGAGGATGCTCAGCTTCAGCATGTCCTTGTGAAGGAGCGACGCCCGCTGCTTCAACGTCTGCCATCTGGTTGGCAGGGAGCAGGAGGTGTAGAAGCACATCAGAACCGTGAGCGAGCGTGGCGAATACGTCGGATACCACGGCTACAGTGCAGTCCACTTATAACGATATTGAGAAAACCGCAAAATCCAATCGTTATAGCCGATTATCGTTATATCTGGATCAAATCAAATCTAAAAAAATAGCGATCAAATCTAAAAAATTTGATCGCTATAAGCGATATATCGTTATATCTGGTATCGTTATAAGTGGATTACACTGTATAGCAATTGCCAACTTCACGTTGGCAGTTACTGTAACCGTGGTAGTAACGTGGCAAATACGACGATGCGTTGCCGGCTTAACGTTGGCAACGCGTCGCGACTACTTACGACGAGGAAACAGTATGGCACGCTGGCTCCATGTATCAGCTAGCACCGAAACCGTATATAGAACTAGACTGAAAGTTTCTCAGTATTTGCGAGATAAACTCTTTGCAGTATTTACGGGAAATGGTTGTTTATAATTAGGGTTTCGTGTTTTCGGGGTTTATTTTTCCTCAAATTCGGGGCGAGTTTTTTCGGGGATCGTGTTTTTACCACAAATTCGGCGTTTCCCGGTGTCAATATTCTGTGTCGGACGAGAAATCCGCGTTCGTCGGGTACTATCCCGAAGAAGCAAAACACGGGCATTGCAATTCCCAACCTCCGGAGAACGTTCTCGTGACCTGAGCACCTGAAAAACAACCCGTTATCGAGAAATGAAGGAAGCGAAATAAGGGGTCTGGTTTTTGAAGAAAGAAGTAGCCTCGTGGACAGTTCGGTGCCGCTGAGCTCGGGGTAAACTCAAAATAAAATTGCAGCCAAAATTTTTGTCCGGAAAACTCGGGTCTCTCTCGGCAAAGGAAAACTTCAATTCAGGCTTTTTCGGTTTTCCCCAAATTTGATAAAACCACCTTGGGCGTCAATTTTCGGGGTGTGTCAATATTTACTGAAAACACAGAGCCCTACGTATAACATTTTCAAAACTTTTTCAAGCCCCTTGGTGAAAGAATGATGCATTAAAAATTGGAAAACACACGCGAAATAGTTTAAGGGGCTATCCAACAGGTGGCGGCAGTGCAGTCTCTCGTCATAAGCAGTCACAAGCGCTTGCCACGCATTCAAATGCAAATGTGTGCCTTCTTAAGAACCGCGGAACATGACGGGTCTTAAACACCTTACTATCACTCCCATTAGTCGACGTCAAAGAAGGAGTCGCAAAGCAAGAAGTATGAAACTAAAAAAGTCACATCCTGCATTCCTTAAGCTGTTATTGAATACAGAGGCAAGGACTAGGGGTTTGTGTGCTCCAAATTGGCTATTAATCATATAATAATTTACAAGTACACAATGTAAGAAAAGCCCTGTCGAACTAACTAAATTTGTATTAAAATGCGCCCCCTAACCCAGCAACATACTTTACAAAATTTTAGTGCAAAATTATCTAAGGAAAAAGAAAAAAAACTTTTTCAGTCAACAGTTGGTCCTGCAGACAATACACCAAGCGCAGACTACAGCCAAGAAAAAAACAGTTTCACAGCTGCCGCTGTCAAACAGTGGACAGATGCGCTGGATCTGCGTGCCTTAATTATAAGCATACGAGCAAACGGCCGGCCTTATACCTTTCTCTGAGGGTCTGGGTTTCGTCCTGAGAAGGCTGCTTCACCCTCGCGCCAAGGGCAGAGACCATGGCAGCCTGGGCAGAGTCCAGGTTTCCAAGAAGAGAGTGTTCTCGCTTGTCCAGAGTCTGTAACAAAGCCTGCAGACAAAGCAGTTCAATCAGAGTAGCGTAGCTTTAGCCAGGTAAAGAGAGACACCTGCTCTAAAGCCCCATGCGCTTACGGTCTAGGGCGTTGGCCATGCGCTGGCATACACGTCCTAATCAGTGCCTCCACCGAGTTCGTCAAGAGGTTGGAAACGACACACTTTTTCTTTTACAAGTTTAGCAGGAACTCGAGCCTCAAGCAGAGTTTGGTTTTAAAAAGAAAGTTTGGCTTACCCAAAAAATGTGCTCATCTATCCGCAAAACATTTTTTCAATTACAGTGAAAGCTCGTTAGTTCATGCCTCATTAACTAAAATTTTTGGATAACTCAAACGAACTGCCATGGTCCAACCACGCACATAAGAAGTTGTACTAAGATCATATGACGGGCTACTTGGTTATACATGTTAAAGCACCGTCGGTACCCTTATTGGCAAAGGCACTGCACTAACAATGTTTCATCCGAGAACTTTGTTTCACTAGTGTAATTTTCAGGGACCTCCTTTCTTTCTTTCTTTTGTTTCATTAGAGTAGGTTTTCATTCACGTTTCGTGTTTGCTGGGGGAATGGTGGTCGAGTGGGCTAACGCACACCAGCTTGGAGCACGTGGAGCGAAAGCTTGCGCTGCAGAGCCTAGAGATCCTGGGCTCAATCCCCACCCCTGCCCTTTTCAATCTGGTTGGGCATCATACCGGCGTGCGGTCATGTATCACTACCGCATGGTGCACGTTAAAGACCCCTAGGTCAGCGGTTAAATTGCTCATCTACAGTGGGTTTACAATGGGCGCGTCCAGTAGCGCCTCCCTTGCCTCCGAACAGAGTGACTTGAGTCAGAGCTCTCAGGATTTTCTTGCCGGACGTCGTCGCCAGTCAGGAAACGACGTCATCTTTAGCTCCTTTGACTCTAGATGCACCGTCTATGGACTCGGAGCTTCGGAGTTTCACTTCGAAGCCCTGGAGTTATGTGGACCGGTAGTGACTTTTGGCCATCCAGTGGAAAGAATCAGTGACTCCTTGACTCCGGGGCCGCTACTGAACGCGCCCAATGTTGCCATGTTCTGGCAGACTAAATAAGCAACTGACGAGTAATTTGTCTATATTTGTTTTTCTGGTATCTGCTGCTTTTTATTTTTTTCCTTTTTCATGTAATATATTACTGCAATTTCATAATTTTCAATCCCGCTTCTTTTCTTGATTTTAAACTCAGAAACAATTTTCGCTTTCGTTTTTTTTTTAATCTTTTTTCTTATTTCATATATTTCCTCGCACTTTTGCTTTATCTTCCTTTGTTTCTTCCCTAAACGTCAATTGCGAGTCAGCGCTTGTCCGTGTCTTTTCTTCCACTAATCTTTGTCTTTTGTGCTACAGTTAAACCTCAATGTAACGAAGTCGGTAAAATTCGCAATTTACTTCGTTACATTGAAATTTCGCTAAATCGAAATTTGGCTTTAACATGCGAAAAAAAAATTCCGAAACATTTTACGGGTATGAAAACTCACCGAAAATGACATTTATTTAGGGGCAAAGTAGTCCGCTAGTTTTGCTTGCGCCTTGTCTGACAGTAGCAGTGGCGTCATACGGCCAATACGGCGTTCGAGCGCCCAGAGCGCTTGCACGGCATCTTGCTGCCCATGCGACGCCGTGTACCTCCTCAGTACGTCCATTGCGTCGAGCACTTCCCGAGTGCTCGTGATCTCGGCAGTTTCTTCAGGATGGCGTCCAAAACATTTGCTTTCTCATCCAAAGAAATAACTTTACGTTTACTTATGGCAGCAAGCACGTGAGTGAACCGCCCGGTTAAAAAATAAAGCTGTTTAGTTTAGGCGGTGCTAATGTTTCCAACCTACACAGCACTCTTGACCGCACAGTTTACTTGCCCCCTTGCGCCCACAGTGTGCTTGCGCCTTTGCTTTACATCACGCTCGCAAGACGATAATCGGTCTTCTCGGTCTTCTCCTAGATGGCACTGCCCGTGCGGTCGCGCGGTCGCACCATCACGTCGCTCCCCCGCTGAAGTTGGCTCCCGCGCTACCCGCGATACAGTGGACTATGATGATCAGTGAATGTCAGTGGTGATGCTGTTATGCCGTGTTAACTTTTTGCTCGGCATTTTCTGGCCAGCCCCGCGGAATGCGCTTTGCCGCATGCCTCGCCGGCGCTACCTGCGCCGCATCCTCGGGCAGCCTAGGAACGTTGGAAGGCCTGTCCCCGTGAAGTAACCTATCAAGCGATCGCGTTTGCGCATAATTTTTTTTTTTTTTTTTAGCCACAATTTTTTTGCGAAGTTGTTTTTTAGAGTTGATTTATTTATTGCCTTCTATGGCAATGGCGCTTCGTTATATTGAAATAGCAGCAAAATAGACTTCGTTATATAGAGACTAAAAATACATGGGGTCTATGGGCAAGAAATTATGAAAAATAAAATACTTCGTTAAATCGAGGATTTCGTTACATTGAAGTTCGTTATATCGAGGTTCGACTGTATCTTTATTTGTGTAACAACGTAAGAGATTCACATACGAACAAGATCCCCTGGCTTTGACGTTCCATCAAATGCAAGGAAGATACACAGTCCCGCGGTCTTACTACAGCGCGACCAACACTAACACGAGCAAGCAAGGTTCCTTAAGGGTTCCCATATAAAGTGAACGCTTTAAAACCATAACATCGCTCATGAGTCGGCTCCCTGAGCACAGTCGTGCCTTGGACGGCATATCACATTCCAGTGTACAGAGAGCTTGGCTACAGTGCGAGCACCAAAGGTGCACGGTACAACAGCTTACCTCCAGGGCCTGCAGGTAGCCGGGATAGAGCTCCGGTACGCAGTTGGAGTAACGCTGGAGGCAGTCCTCGGCCTGTACCAGGAACGATCGTGCCGCGTTGACGGCGCTGTCGTAGTCTGCGATGGCCTTCTTGCCCTCCCTGAGCGCATTCTGGGTCTTGGAGACTGCCCTCGCCAGATCCTTGAGCTCCTGGCGCAGTGCAGCCGCCGTCTCCGGCTGAATGGGTTCCAGTTGGGACAGGTCAGCCTTCTGAGAGGCAAGCTGCTCCTGAATCCACTGTGAGCAAAGAACAGAAAAAAAGATTTGCAGTATTGTTTTATATGGAGCTATGTTTCCTTCCCACATTTATGCTTACAGTACATCTTTTTGGGGTCTAGTTAGAACAGTTATCAAACCGGGTGTCACATACTAGACAAAGGCTGTTTGGCCAATTATTTGCACGAGTATGCTTGCGATCAACGAGAATAACCCTTGTTGATCCAACAAAAATACAATAACAACTATGAGCTGTAAACACGTGTATCACTTTTCTGAATCCCCAGTGTGAACCCTTTTAATAAACTTTTTTAAGCTTTTAGTAAGTGGGTTTTAAAGAAATGACATAATTTAACACTATATTAGGGTTGTGCACATATATTAGAAATTTCGAGCAGTAGTTTTGAATAATATACTATTTTATATTCGCCTCGAGATGGACTGCAATATTCATATTTTTCAAAGTGTTGATCGTGGCGGGTTAGCCACGTTGAGTGCGCTGCTTAGAAACACAGGTGCACTGCGGAGAAGCAACACCCACGAAAGCAAGCTCTGCGGGTGTTGCTTCTCCACAGTGCAACCGTGCTTGGTAAGAAGCTCACTTAACGGGGTAACCCCCTGCGATCAACACCTGGAAAAGTATGAATATTGCAATTACCGGCTTGAAAGAAAAGCACACTTTCAAAGTGGGATGATGCCTGCTTACGCCTGATGTACTTAAAAACAAGAGAAAACTTTGCGATTTGTGATATCTACATTGCAGAAAAATTTTCAAAATTAAACTGCGGCTGTTATGCGAGAGGCATCACATTTTTTGCGGTCACAGTTTATAAATATAGTTACTATAAAATACCGCAGAGGTGCCCACTATTAACATTTCTCCAAACTTGTCAATTCTGCAAAGTATACGTTAAGTGCCCGATTTGACTAGACAAGCGCCATTGTCTAGATTAACGCAGTTTTCAGTGGAAATGGAGTGGGCACTTGGCCGGTATATTACGGTATATTAAAGTTGGCTCATAAATGGACAAGTGGAATCTTGGAAAATTTAGCTGGGTCCTCGTTTGAGCACGGTGCAACAGTAGTGAACGGCTAGAACAAACTCTTCGATATTCGATTATTAAAATATTCGGCCAAAATCACTATTCTTCTTGAACTCGAAACCCACTACTATTCATACGTGACTGCTATATACATATATACAAACAAAATAAAATAAAGTTAGGGGTGACAACACACAAAGAAATGAGGCTGACCTGAAGCGCATGCAGGCAGGCAGCCGTGTGGAGTTCCTCCGTCGGCTTCTCGTCGGTCACACGGTTCAGAACGGCCCGGGTCGACTCCAGACCGAGGGACACGTCGTGACGAAGGGCAGACGCCCGTCTCTGTTCCTCGGTCTTTCGCCTGGCCTCCTTCGAGAACCTTTTCAAGATGGCCTCCAGCCTCAGCCACCTGTTCGTGAGGGCTAGCTGCCGCAGCGTTTCCTCCTCGCTCTCTTCGGGACGCTTGGACGCTGCAGATGTTGCAGGCAGGGCGGGTTTCGAGGCCTCCAGCTCTTCTTGGCACGCCTGGAGGCAAGGGCGGAAAATCGAGTGACACTGTGGCATAGATCTTTATTCAACATGAGGATAATAATCGCCAAGATATGCTGCCTCGTCTTGATGGTGGCAAGAGGTCTTTAATGCATATTGTGTGATAATACTTACTATATGAATGTGCTGGTAGACTGGCGGCGCATTTTAATATGTCGCATCAATATTCACCGACTGCTCTAGAGGAATGCTTTTCCACATGGCACGTGGCTCTGATGCGGCAAATCAAGATACGTGGAATCACAACCTTTGGTCCGCAAGTGTCGCTCTTTCGCAGTGCACGATGAGGACCACACTTAACGGAGCTAGCTAACCCGCCAGAACATACCACAAACAATATTAGGTATCGCGAAACCATCGAGGACTGCCTTTCAGTGCTCAATATAAGATCAAATCAAATTTGAAGCGCTAATTGAAAGTTTCTGATATTTCCGCGAGCCTACCGCTACATTTTGTCCGCGTAGCGACCCATTTCCTGACACAATGTTGGCGGAAATTCCTCACACCTCGGGGAAACGTAGCAGGATGTAGCAGGGTAGGTGCTTTGGCACAGTTTGGCACAAATAATGTACCAATCACATCACCGGACTAGCCTAGGTGACCTGAGCTACCGCCCGACACAAAGGGTACAGCCATTACCATTCATCCATCATCCATACTCACCAGAAGCAGGGGAAGGTCTCCCAGAGGTTCTTTCTCGACTGCCTCTTCGATGGCGCTGATGAGCGAAGTCAGCGGCTGCTCCAGGCTTCCGTCCTGACCCGGCGGAGACTTGCGTCGCCCGCGTCCCCAGTCTGGCCGCGCCTTCTGCAGTGCTTCCCGGACTTTGCCGATGCGCTGTTCCAGTTGCCTCGCGCTGGTGTCCAGGGCGTCGAGCGTGACGCGCTTTTCCTCGGGCGCTTCGGCGGCTGTCTCCAACTGCTGTTCAGCCTCTCGGACATGTCTAGCCACCTGGACAGAGAGGAGGATGGTCTTCAGCATTGGGTAGGGCTGCAGCCAGGCTCTCGAGTAAAGGCCGGTTTGCACGTGCAGCGCAGCGCTGAGACGGCGCAAAGCCAGCACTGCATTGTGTGTGCAAGCAGGAGAAGGCAGAGTCATGTGCAGCACGGTACCGATACAACGCCGATGTGCCAGAAAGTCAGCGCCGTAGTGTATGTGTGAACAGTCCTTTAATCTAAAAAGTGTAGCCATGTGCCTGCCAGACGTAAACTAACGAGTTCGTTTTTGCGTTTAGCGGCCGACTTTTGGTTCCAGGTTGCATAGATGGTGCGTGAACCAAATAGTTATGTTCCTGCGAAACAATCAATGTTTTTTCTGATAAGATTAGTAGTGAAGTGATTTTGGGCGGTAGAATGTCTCCAAATGGCTTCACAGGGCACCAAAGAAGATTCTCACAAAAGTGTGACAAATACAGCACAATGACAATGCAGAAGAAAGCTGCGATAATCAATGAAGTGGTTAATACAAAATGGAGTTACATGAGAAATTAATATTTCAACTGAAATTATATTCTTTCAGACTGCTTATTATTCCTACTGAGTCAGAAAAGTCAGTTGCCAGCTACATATACACAATTTCATATCCTCCCCCTCCTCCTCCTCCTCCTTTCGCCCCCTCCCCGCCTTATAGAATAGCTTGGTTTCTCACTCTCACTTTAGCATACATACATACTTAAATTTAAAAAAAAATTAAGTAATTACTATTACTACTGTCATTACCACAAGACACAACAATAATCAGATTCATACAAAAAAGTAAGCCTCTAACTTCAAGCAAAAAAGCGGTTACCATTTGGCATCAAGCTAACATTTCATATTGGTGTGAAATGTCTCTGCACTGATCACCACCAGAACAAACTGGGGATAACCATTAACAGAGTAGATAACTAACAAGCTCGCAAGAAAAGGCTCCAACTAAGAACTTTCCAGAAAGACGCTTTGAAATGCCACTCACACGCAAACATAAGCACCAGGAAAGAGACAACAATCAGCCCACCTTAAGGAGCCGGTGAACCTGGCCAGTCTGCAGCGGACCGTCCTTCAGGAGTTTCTCGGCTTCCAGCACCCTGGACGTGGCCGACGCAATCGCCTCCTTGGAGCGACGGAGTCGGACCACCTCTCGCTGGAGCCAGGCGGTCCTTTCCAGGAGCAGCAGCCAGTAGACGTTCCAGCTCCGGAGCAGTTGCAACGGCTGCTGCTCCGAGGGCGCTTCGTGTCCCACTGCGCCGTCCGCCAGCTCCCGGAGACGGTCCACGTAAGGCCGACGCATTCGTGCGCTTAGCTCCAGTTCCTGCAAAGAACGCACATTTTCCTTTTCACAAACAGGCACACATAGTCGGTTGAGATTCAATGTGCGCATTTACGGGCAAGTCATGTAAACAGTTTGGAGCTAGGAGTATAGAGCCTTTGTACGTCGTGTTTCTGCAGAAGTATGGGCACGCATAAAAACCATTAACGCAAAAAGTCTCATACGGTTGATTTGTTGCCATTTTTTGTAACATACTTTTCTAACAGAAGAGCGCCACACGAGCACTGCGTTAGCACGTCTCCCTCGTGTCCTCTTTGACCGAGCCCCAGCCGAAAACTGGCGCAGCCCTCGTATTTGATCTGTGCTCTGCACTCGATGGGTGACAAAAAATCTAGCACAATGGCCCTGTTGTTTAGGACATGTGGCAGGAAGTTATGCAGGGGGAGAGAAGAAAGGAAACAAACCCGCGCTTAGCAGAAAATGAAGAAATTCCGAGTAATGGTATCAAAGGGGAGGCGGGCGACCGCAAAAGATGCAAACTTCGCAATCCACTCCCACTCAAGCGCTGGCTTTGGCAGTGCTTTCTTTCGAAGATGCTACGCACGACAATGACATTGCCGTTGAGGCACAAAATGCACACCAAGTATGTCCGTGCAACATCGCTAAGAAACTGCGTTACCACGGCCTTCCTCCCGCGATGGTGCGGGAAACAACAAAATGTTCGGGAAGCCTTTGAGTGAGGTCATTATCCTACTTTCAACAGTCTTAAGGCCCATTCACACAGTACCGTTTCCTTACACTGTGTTAACTACATTGTTGCGTTAATTACGGAAGTCTATGTCTGCTTACGTAGCGAGTAATTGAGAAATTTGTGCGTCTATGAAGCGTGGCAACTTATTCAAAAAGCAGCTTTGCACCTGACATACAAAGCACGGATGTTCTGGCGACTCGTAGAGTCATTTAACGCACCAACAGCATCGACCCAATATATTAAAAAGTCTAAAGATGCCATAGCTAATACTGCATAACTAGGAGCCACTTTTGCTGTACTAATAATACCTTCACACATTCTTACTTTATTACAATTGTTTTGAAAACACTATTCATCTAATGTCTTAAAAATAAATAAATGAAAAACTAACTAGAATGGACAGCTGGGCTAGTTGGTACCAATGCATGATGAAAAATGGTGCAAATGAAGAACACAGAGGAAGATTGTGTTTCTCAATATAAGAAAGTTGACAGGCCGCACCTTGTCCCCTGTGTTTCTCTCCTCTGTGTTCTCGTATTTCCGCACTGTTTTCCATCATAAATAAACAACCTAATGTAAGAAAATGTAAGCAAACACCGCCGCGCAAATGGGCCTCTAGGGTCGTCCGAAAACCGAAGGAGCCGCTTACCCGCAGGAATCGCAGCGTCTGCTCCAGGGACTCCAAGGACTGGGGCGAGCTCACAGGCTCCCAGAGTGGATGCTCCTGCATCCAAGACTGGTGCTCCCTCGCCAGCCGATCCAGCCGCGTCCTGCGGTCCACGAGGCCCCGCAGTTCGGAGAGGCGGGCCTCGGCCAGCTTCTCCTTGGACGCGGCCCGCTCTTCGGCTGAGGCGTCCGCTCTTCCGGTCTGCTCCACCAGGGCGTCCCTGAGGGCATCCAGGAACTGTACCTCCTCGAGAGAGTCCTGAAAACGTGCAAGGGTGGCTAAGGCACGAGCTGAAGACTGCCGATAGACTGGCCACTCTCGAACATGGCCATTGTGAGACGTGTAGAGCGCAAGTTTGTCTGCTTCTTTTCCAGGGGCTGTGGTGACGTCAGAATGCCAATCTCTGATTGGCTCTGATTGAAGGATAGTAGGTAGACCTCAAAGCAAGCTGCCTTGAGGTCTACCCACTATCCTTCAATCAGAGCCAATCAGAGCTGGCATTCTGACGTCACCACAACCCCTGGAAAAGAAGCAAACAAACTTTCGCTCCACATAGAAACGAGGTGCTGTAGTCGCTTTCACTGACCTGAACGTCCCTTTGTGTGTCCTGCAGTTTCTCGAGGCTTCCCACGGGGGCAGAGGGCGACAGCAGGGGCTCGAGGAAGGCGAGCTGTCCCTCTGTAGCAGCTTTGCACCCAGCGAGCTGCCAGTTCAAAGCCTGGAGCCGCAACGCCTTCCTCAAGAGCTCCAGACCCTGGACGGGAAAATAAAGGAACAAAGTTGCATTGGGAGTTAAAGAACACATTCTCTTTCCAGCATTCATTGCCCTTCTAGTTGAAATGAAATCGGGAGTTTTGTTTTTTCGGGCAACTCGGAACTGCACCCGGCAATGTTCTTGACACATACTATTTCGGAATTATTCTGATAAACATTTTTTTTTCCAGACATCTCTGTTTAATATTTTTTATCATAATACAAATTGCAATACTCTTGGAAATCATGGAAACCGAAAACTTCGTTGAGAAGCCGGGAGAAGAAAAGTGTGATGTAACGGTTGGCGTCGACAGCCACAACTATGGCGGACAAATACGTCAAGCAGGCAATTCCTCTACTGGCACCGCATACATCGTCCATTGGCTGTTTAAACGAATTGTGAAGTGTGGCATCGTTCATCTGGATTACAGTTCGGTTTTCGTTGGCTAAAAACCTCCACTACACGCTTCCACATACTCTGAAATTCACAGCAGTCTCGCTTTAAAACATCACTCACAAAACATTTTGGTGACCAGGACACCTAGGACAGAGTTCACCCTGAATGATCAACCTTACGAGTGAAATCCCAGTACAACTAACATCACACGAGGAATCACAAACAAGCTTCTCCTAAACTTGCTCTCAGGAATTCAATACAATAAGTTGACAAAAATAAATAAAAAATGTACCACTCTTTCATGTAATGTCTGTAAGGGCCTTCAAAGATAATAAATGATGCCGATGATGAAGTCATGAGGGTTTTGCTCGCCTTCCAGATAATTTGCTTCTTGCGAATGCATAAAAAAAGAACTGCCTGTCTGTTTAGTATATACCAAAGTCGCTCTAAAAATGTCACCCGACATCACAATGTCACGTAACTGCGTGACGTGATCTGACATCACTGCACGTGACGCCATCATGTCACGGTGTCAAGTGACGGATGTCTAGCCGGTGACGTCACACAGACACTGTGACGTCATCACATGTGATGACGACGTGGTGAACCTCCGATGGCATGATCGGTGCGACGCCCCTATCCGGGCAACATGCTACCGACACGGAAGCACCGAGAGCTGGCCCTACAAATGCTCTGCACTTAAAATGACCCCAGGCAGGTGTGTTAAATGCCATACCTGGAACCACAGGACCTGCAGCCCGTCTCGGCATTGGTCGAGGCCAGTCGGGGTGGGCGGAGCCTCGGCTGCACCCTCTTTGCCAGCCTGCTGCGCGGGGGTCAGACTGTGCACCACGTCGTCCACTTCAGCCCGAGCACCACCGACGGCGGCAAAGTAGGCTTCCACCTGCGAGAAGGTCGGCGTCGTGCGTCTCCAAACCGGGTTTCTTACTGACCGACAGAACGCTGACATGTTCATTAAAATGCATAAATTAATGGAAGCAACTTGTTGCTCCCGCATTAGACTAAAGTATATGTGGAATGGGCCAATTAGATGTGATAGTCAGACATGACCGATTCGAAATCGTTTTCCATAATAAGCATCTAAAGAAAGTAAGAGTTCGGTGCCTGGAATGCTTCTTCAGCGGGTGTGTTTAGCACCTAAAACTGCCTATGCATAAAAAATGGGACCACTTTCGAAGCATGGTTGGGATAGGACGGTCAAAATACCGGTCGAAGACGAGTTTTAGGCACCATAGTTATAGGGCAGTTGCTCACCTGAGCAATCCAATTGGGGTCTCCCTGTTGCTGCTGTTGACGGAGACGAGTCAGTTCTGGTTCGAGCTCCCCGTCAATTTTTCGGCGCAGCGTGTCCACACGTTCCTGCGAAGAGACACGCCACTCCCGTATTAAAAAACACGAGGCTGGGAATAATAAAAAAACGGACAAACACCATCTTGGCTGTCCCGGTATTTTGATTCTATTACTAATAAATGTTTGGGAGGGAAGTCAATGTTTTGCTGAGGAACTTCTTCAGATTCTAGCGAGTTTCTTAAAGCCTCTTCACACAAACACACACACCACGGTGCTAATGCTGGCACTAATTTTGCACTACACTTGCACCACATTGGTGCTCTGATGCAAGTCGACCCGCCCTTTTCTTCTTTGCGCGCACAATGCACTCAACACTGGATCGGTGCTGAAAGTAACGCCGACACAGTGCTGACTTTGCATTATCTCAACATCGGGGTGCGTGTGAGAACCAGCCTTTAGCAAGACATTGGTCGTCATTCTGAGGCTTTCCGGAGTGTTCCTTTTCGATTTCTTATAAACTTTTGCACCCATCATCCTTTTTCTTTATTATAGACATCCAACAACTGCCTCACCTGCAACTTCTGCGACTGTTGTCGGAGAGCAGTCCGAGCTTTAACGGCGTCCCTTGTCTGAGAGTCAGCCTCCGCCAACCGTGACCTTGCTTGCCGGCCAAGGTCGTCCAAGACGGAATTCTCTTCAGGAGTCAGCCCAGAGCCACGGGTGGACGTGAGCTCGGACAACCTTGCCATGATCCTCGACGCCTCTTGCAGCTCGGCAGCGAGTGCCTGTGCGTGCAAAAAAAGTGGCTGCGTGTCGTGTGGGTATTTTTTGTTGCATTCTTGATGCCAAGCCAGAAATTCGGTATCTAAGGGGCACTACGGTCAATGACAGGCTAAAAATTTGGAAGAAGCATTAGCTCCAACACACACTTGTTGCCTTACACTGTAGACATAGAAGCGATGAAGTGATATCAAAGCCGGAAAGCTCACCCTGGACGCAGAGCAACTACTGTATTCATGACCCGCCGTTGACTGTATTTCGATATTATGGACAACTTTACTTTCGGAGGGTCGATACCTGGCTACTGGGATACAGTCACTGGCAGTATCGTCGTCTCTGCTGCCTTTGCGGCATTTGGTAAAGACACCGCAAGAGCGAGTGAGCGGAGACGGTGACACCGGCAGTAACTTTGGCTTTCGGCATTTACCGAGAGACAGTAACGAATGCGGACCTTGTAATATTTCGATGGACCAGTGGACTAGTGTTCCCTCCTAAAAACCTGCTACCATTAAGAATTCAGTGTTAACACTAGTCCCAATACGTCCAGAATTAAATTCTACAGAGCTGGGATGAATGTTAATGGTGGCCGTGGTAATGCTATCCTTTTGAAGACAAGCAATCAGAAAGGCTGATGAGGTTAAGCGAAAAAGATAATTTTCCGCATTTCATACCGATTAACTTGAGATTTCTTTGGTGCAAAAGTGTTTGTACCTTCACTCCTCTTCTTTGCTGATTACGTGTTGTGCAGTTGCTCCTACGTGAGGATAGATGCCGATAAATTTCGAGGTTGTCTCAGCAAAAGAAACGCCGAAAACGAAATATCCTAATTATAAATTGAGAAGCGGTTCGTAAGTATTTTCCGGGCGTCGAAAAAAATCGCACAAATAAAGAGTTAACAAGAAAATTGAGATGGCGACTCGTTACAGCAAATGAAATCAATCTCTTCACCTATTGGGTGACAGGATCCAATTCCAACCCCGTCAAGTTGCCACACTCATCTAAAAGTAACTGTGCTGTAGGCGTGTTTGGGCGGCAGGAAGCTACTAGTAGACCCAGCGGGTGTCTGACGCCTTCACCACAGATGAGAAATTCAGCCGGTACAGTACCACTGCTAGTCTGGGGCATCTTGCAATAGTGTTACGTGACCGCACGCTGGTACGACACACATATCTAGATCAGAAGGGGCAGAAATTGAACCTGTGATCCTTTGGCTCTGAAGCATCAGCTTTCACTCAACCTGCTGCGAGATGCGGTGCCTTCACAAGCTCGGCCACCAATCTCTTACCTGTTCAGACTGCGTGTCGCCACCTGCCGGAGCCAAGCGTCTGCTCCTCGACTGCTCGAGCCACAATGTGATGAGCCACACCACCCGCAGGTAGAGTATGTAGAACTTGTGAGGCTCTGTGGTGGCCTCCAAATGGTCGAGGCATGCTCTCAGCTGAGGCCAGGTGTCGCCGGGAGGCACTGACCCCAGTTGAGGTTGGAGTCCTTCGAGCCAGCGTGGAAGAGTCTGACCCTGAGGTGGAGGCATGCTTCGGGTGAATCTCTATCTTTCAAGCAAGTCAGTCACAACGAAAACCATTGCTGTTCAAATCAAACCCTAAGGCTAAAGTGCACAGGCACAAAAAAAAAAAAGAAACATGATTTTGAAGCCTTCTAGGCTTCATATGTATCTGCTCTTTCTGATTTGCACGACTCCCTTTAGGTTTGGCAACAACACTCCGTGTGTGTGCTGGCATTGATTCACTAAAATTGCGAGAAATAAACTTCATATTTCTACATTGAGCCTGTCTGAAAGTCGTCTGTTGGCATTGACTGTTAAAGTTTCAATAAGAAAGAGCACATGCTACTGTCATCTTCAAAAAATGTTTACTTAAATTTACAACCAAAAGTAATTTCTAAAAAAAAAAAAAAAAAAAAATTGAAGTTTAACAGCACAAACTCGCAAGCTCGCTTTGCATATGTTTACTGCATGCACCAATAAAACTTTTGAACAGAAAAAATTTTTTTTTTGAGTGGAACATTTTATTTTTGGCATTAAGGCCCACATAAAACAGACATACAAAAGAAACAAAAAAACAAAAACATATGGATGCACTGAAATACTGCATGCATCCACCTATCTACACGAGTTTGAAACATAATCTCAAGACACATATCAAACCTCTTCATAGTTAAGACTGACATTAGAAACATGGTAAACGTGTATATGTAGCAAAGTTAAAGCATGCTTTTAATGCTTGTACAGCTATTTAATCTATCGACATAGTAAGTACACTAACAAAGTAAAAACGTTTCCTATAAAAAAAAAAAAAAAAAAGATTGGTCTGGGCATAGGTTTACTATGCCGCATAAATTTACGTAGAACTATGGCTGCAGCTGAAGAAACGTCCACGGGCTTCTGCCGCATGACGACGTTTGGTACGCAAGAAGCAAATGCCCGTGGCTCGGAGCCCGTAGAGGCAAATGTGCAGCCCCCGCGCCGCCATCTACGAGGCGCATATGCGGAATTACGCGCAATTGTTTTTAACACTTCGCCGAGTCGCACAAGAGAGTCAAGTGCCCATGCAGTGGAGCATGCGAGCATGCGGGCTCGGATGCTGGGCCACTGTCCAAAGCGATGAGCGAAGATTGTGGAATCATGACTGCCGGAGCGGCGTCTATCACCATTTCAATCAGACAGGAGCATGTCACATTGAAGTGAGCAGCAAACGAGCAAGCCAACAAATAAAAAAGGATGCACGTGCGCACTGTGCGGTTCTAGCAGCAGCCGGCGAGTTGTCGGAGAGCGCGATGATGCAATTCAGTCGGCGCTTCGGTGGTATCGTAAGATGTCACTTCCATGCCGAAGTTTTCGCGACATCAATCTCCTAACTTTGCACCCCTCAAAAACGCAAAATAAGACATAATTCACTAAAAAAAAACAAAAAAAAACAAACACCTGATTTTTACCATAAAATGATTCACAAAAACCAGTTGACCTACATCAGAAGATACACGTTTCTGCAACGAGAAGCCTAGTTAAGTTGTTTTTTTTTGTACCAAACCCAGAGTTCAGCGAGGCTTCTGACGACGCGGGACAAATAAGGGTGTCGAAATAAATTAACCCCCAACATTCCCTCCGAGGCAAATCGAGCACAAGTGTTAAAGAAAGGATAGGGGGTCTGCTACTACAGTCTAAGCTCATTACAACAGACCTGGTTACAACAGACATTTGGATATAACATACCGATTTGTGAGGTTCGGTTGGTTTTCCTCTACATACCACTGACTCAACTTCATATCTGTATATAACATAATCCATTTACAACAGACCGAAATCTTGGTCAAAATCAAGGTCTGTTATAACGAGCTTAGACTGTATATAGATACGATGAGCTCACCTCAGACGGGCTGGACTCTCTCCGCAGTCGACGCAGAATCCACTCTGGGCTGCGTTCCTCTTCTTGTGGGCCCTGTGGCAGGGACTCCGGGCTCCTCAACAGCTCCAGGATGTTGCGCTCTTGGGTGTGCAACGCCTTGTCCAGTTCCTGCGACCGACACCTCTTGTAGCGCGTGTCGCCAAAACAAACTCCTGACCAACTTTACTGAACTCCGTTGCAGGTTAAGAAAGGCAGGAGAGGCTCACCCCGCGAGGCCCTTTGCTCTTTCCACTATAGTAAAGTGAATGCTTACGGGGAGGTGAGTCCACTAGCCTCCTCTCCAGCATTCATATTGCTATAGTGGAAAGGGTGGAGGGCATTATGGAAGGAACCTGTTCCACTTTTTGAACCTGCAACAGGGAACTATATGAACTGTTGGCCCTTTAAAGAGGCCGCATAAATTGGTTCTTTACCGCGTCGTGCTAAGACTTTGTACGGAGGTGACCAAATACGGTGCGTTTTGTGAATGAAAATTTCAAAAAATGAACTTGGCCGAGTAAAGAGTAAAAAATGAAGACCCCAATTTCGATACCTACGCCATCCGTCTTCTAAGAAAAGGTGTCCGACTGGCGCAACGTCAGACAGAGGGAGGCGTGTACGAGTGAGTGCAGACACTAATCTCCGATAGCAAACAACGTTATTGAGTCAAATGCGGCGAGGACTCTTTCGGCACAGTGCAATGATATCGTTATTCCTAAAATTAAACCCACTTAATGGACACAAAACCAATAACATCCTTTGCCGGGCAACTACGGCTACGCTTCAACAGCCGTCGGCAAAATCTCGGGTGTTGCCTCGCCCAGATGTCTCTTATTTGCAGATGATCGCCATATAGCTAGCGAATTCACAGTCTCAAATTTTGTTTTATTCTTTACTCGGGTAAGCTTGTTCTTTGAAGTTTTGATGCACTATCACAGACAATATGAGCTGAAACAGTGCTTCCTGCTTCTGTGGCACACCTGACAGTCTTTGAGAGAGATGTGGTCTGGTCTAGGAATGGAATGCAAAGCCAAGGTCCCATACTTTAGACTTTTTGACGAATTGAAAATTAATAAAGGTTGTGGGGACTGCATAAAAGAAAAAGGCTGGATCGGGTGTCTCACCTCACATTGTGCATGTGTTGAGGGGAGTAAAAAATGTGCTACCTTTGGCCACCTCTGCTCAATTTTAAGATGCAACCCATTGCGATGTACAACAACCGACAAAGCTCCGACCTACCTGCATGAACTGAAGCCGCGCGAGAGCTGCGTCGTCGCCGGAGGTCGAGAGCAGTTCCCGCTGGCTCTGCTCGTGCAGCGCGTCCTGGAGGCGGCCCTCGAGCACCTTCACCCTGTCCTCGAGGAGCGCCTGGGCGTCGCCGATGCCGGCTCGCAAGCTGCCCAGCTTCTCCGCCGCCTTCCGGCCGGTTGCAGCGTCGAGCTGCCGAGACTGGGCTTCCAGGTCGTTCAGCTGGCTCTCGCGGGACGCAGCCTCTGCCACGAGTCGCTGAAAAGTTAACTTGGTGTCGATTTGGAGAAATTCCCGGTTTCTCATGCTGTGTCATGGAAATTAAATGCGCTAAAAGCTGAGGTGCAGGTCACCCCCGAACGCAAACTACACACAATCGCATGGCACACTAACCACAACCAGGGACGGCGCCAAGGGGATGCGAGGGGTGGCGGGCGCCTCCCCTAAAATTTCTTCTGCCACCCCAAGATGAAGCAGCTTTGTACACAAATAATTGCCTACGACGTCGGCTTGAAGACCCAGTGCAACGAGTGTCCAGACTTTAGAGCCGTTCATGCGTTTTATTTTTTTTTTTCTATTAACTTCCAGCCACTGGAAGTCGTACCGCGGGTAGGGTGCCTTCATGTCTCCCTAATCGCGGGCGAGTAAGCTATCAAGCGCTTTAGAAAAAGCAGCTTCCCTTTGTGGCGCCTGCTGGCTTTTCTCCGTATTCCGCTCTGTGGTGCTTATCTTCAGCGGAGACCGGAGACGTGAACGAAGGGGAGCTTAGTTAAAGTCGAGGTCATGGGGAATTCCGGACTGTCTCAGAAAGGGAAGCAAAACCTGGTTGAGAGGCTGAGCACAGGGGGCAGAGGTCCCTGCTGTGATACCCCCCCCCCGTTTTCCTCCTCGTGTCTCCGCATTTCCCTTTTCAATGAGCACACCGCATAAGCTATCTTGCATAAGCCCGTGGGCGACAGCACCTCAAAGCAACCGCCCCTCCCCCTCTCCCCCCCCCCTTCCCCCCCCCCATTTGGTTCGCCTCCCCACTGCCCCCCATTATGAAAATCCTGGCGCCGTCCCTGACCACAACGTCGTGAAGTCACGTGGTGCGGCGTCACAACGCCACGGGATTTTTTAAAAGTTCACTTATTTCGTACTGCCAGTTATAGACAGGCCAAGGCAGAAGTGGGATACAAATTACAAAGAACACGTGATCATGATACAGGGTTAGACGTGACGTGGCGTGACTTCACAATGTCACATAGTGAGACGTCTCGATGTCATGGGATGTCACGAAACACCGCACAAAATTTACCGGATAAGTTTTCCCACTGAACTTCGCGAAAGCAATCCCGCCAAATGCAGCGCAGAAATGTTCCGTGACGTCGCACGATTTTGCCATGCTAAGGCTTACCGTGAGTCATGCCCCGTGATCCTCTACAAAACTTCACCGATAACAACTGTCGCCTTAAAACGTCAGAGGTGTTTGGGTGACGCAGCCGAACTACGGCAAACTCCGTTGTGCCCAGTTCTTGGTTACAACCAACGGTTACGACAGGCGTTGCTCTGTGTTTAAGATGTCAACGACCGCAGCAATGCGGACAGGATGGACAGCCCGAGAAGCATGCTTCCAACCAATCTTGCCCGGATCACGCACATACCCGCAACTCGTCCAGAAGGTCTCGCAGTAGTGTCGGATCACTGATGGCCTCCAACTGCAGGTTCAGCAGGCGCTGAAGCTCGACCAGCCACACGCTGAAAGACTCCAGTCCCAGCCAGAAGGGAGCATTCGGATCATGCAGCTGCTCCTAAAACAGAAAGCAGATTCATTTAAACTCGGGTCTCCTAAAAACTTGCAAAGTGAGCCAAGCAAGAATAATCCCAATTGCGCTTTTTATAAAAAAAAAAAGTTGTAAAAGTTTTAACATAGGTTATGTTATAGGGAAGGACTAGGCACTTTCCAGTGGTATAAAAAAGCATCACACAAACAGTCGGTGCATACTCATGCACCAATTGTTTGTGAAGTGTACATGTGTTGTCGCGTGGTATCTCTGGTCAGATGATTGTTGACATGGGGTAACAGGCATCACGGTGTCGTGTCATGGTCTCGCAGAACATCACTTCGCATGGTCACGTGACTCGTAGAGACGCCAGTCGCATGACCTTGTCAGTCACCAACATTTGGCGATCCAGAAATGTATTCTATACAATGATTTTGTCAGGTATCTAGGAAGAAACTTTGTTTCTTTGTGTGTTAAAAGCAACAGTGGCAGAGTCCTTTTAATAACAAAATGGCACCAAAGACGGAAAGAAACCATTTGGAAAATAAACATATTAAAAACCAGTGACAAGTCTCTGACAAAACATACATAAACAAAAACAAAACAACAGAATGTTTGTGAAAATATATAGGAAGCATATGCATATCCCTCTCCCACTTCCACCTACCCCTGAAAATACCCAGGTGGGTGTTTTCATCCCAACAAATTTTAAGATAAAACTTCAAATTTAAAAAAAAAAAAAAACTAATTTGGGGTTATTTTTGAAATACAACAGAATGCAGCCGGCTAGTTCGGCAGAACTTTTGTCAGTTTATAAATTGACAAAAGTATTGATCACCGGGGCCAAGGCAAAAACTGGCATTTCTCCGATCCTACTAATATAACATATCCCAATATGAAAAAAACCAGCTGAACTAAGGAAAAGGTAGAGATAGAAAGAAAGACACCCGATCGCTGGACTACCAACTGTTTTTATATATAAACCTCCTCTTCATCCTCTTCCTCTCCTTCTGCATAATTCACTTCGTTCCCCCCTTTTCCCCTTTGTTTTACGTTTTATTTTACAAGATGTTGACCCCCTTGGAGAAATAGTTTTTCGGTGCGCAACAAGGTGATTGAAGGTGCACTAACACACCCATCTCCTTTTTCTTCTATGGCAGCAGCTTCTAACATCTCCCGCGCGAGCTGGCTTTTGTGGCGTGCTACGATGTTAACTTGCGCGAGCTTCGCCGTGCACTTGCATGCTCGGCAATGCGCAGATAGGTGCCCCGGCGCTGTCAGGTTCTTTAGGTTGGCTGCGTGCTCACGTGTACGCTCGTTGATGCAGCGTCCCGTTTGCCCAATGTAGCAGCGCCCACATGTCAGTGGTATGCTGTAAACAACCTCTTTTTCGCACGAGGCGAATTGTGTCTTGTGCCTGGTGTTACATTGACTGATCTGGTTGGTCGATGACTGGTTGATCTTCCGGCACATTGAATACGCTTTGTTGGGTGCCGAGCACACAACTTGCACGTCTTGTCGCCTGGCGATCTTTTTTAACTTGTGGGTAACCCCATGTATATATGGGACCACCACAAAAGGTTTCCGTGCATGTTTCTTTTTTGCTGTGGGGTCGTCTTTCTTCTTGATGGTGCGAATGATTTTTTCGCAAATGGAGGCCAATATGTGCAGAAGAGTGGGGTATGCATCGGATCCCAAGTGGCTCCGTTTTTATGCGAAATTTTTCTCGCTGCCTGTGGAACAACTATCCAAAAAGTCATAAATGATCCACGAATATCAGTCATTTTTCGCTATGTGGATGACTTTCTTATTTTATGCTCCACTGCAATTGAAGAAGAAAATGGATGCCTCGACTCCATAATGACATACTTCCAAAACAGCTGCATGGGGCTCACTTTCACCCATGAGCTTCCCATCAAAAAAACTATTAGGTTCCTTGACCTGGTGCTGGAGTTTCAAAAAGATCATGTTTGTTGGAGGTACCAGGCGCGCTCGAATAAAGGGTTTCTTCCCTTCGAGTCCCAGCATTCCAAAATCGTCAAACAAGGAATAGTCGCCACGGCCCTTCTGGCCAGCCTCAAAAAGACTTGCCCCCACCAAATACAACAAAGCTTCAATACACAAATTTCAAGACTTCAGGACGCCGGTTACCCAGAGTCTTTATTGGCCTCCATTTGCGAAAAAATCATTCGCACCATCAAGAAGAAAGACGACCCCACAGCAAAAAAAAAAAAAAAGAAACATGCACGGAAACCTTTTGTGGTGGTCCCATATATACATGGGGTTACCCACAAGTTAAAAAAGATCGCCAGGCGACAAGACGTGCAAGTTGTGTGCTCGGCACCCAACAAAGCGTATTCAATGTGCCGGAAGATCAACCAGTCATCGACCAACCAGATCAGTCAATGTAACACCAGGCACAAGACACAATTCGCCTCGTGCGAAAAAGAGGTTGTTTACAGCATACCACTGACATGTGGGCGCTGCTACATTGGGCAAACGGGACGCTGCATCAACGAGCGTACACGTGAGCACGCAGCCAACCTAAAGAACCTGACAGCGCCGGGGCACCTATCTGCGCATTGCCGAGCATGCAAGTGCACGGCGAAGCTCGCGCAAGTTAACATCGTAGCACGCCACAAAAGCCAGCTCGCGCGGGAGATGTTAGAAGCTGCTGCCATAGAAGAAAAAGGAGATGGGTGTATTAGTGCACCTTCAATCACCTTGTTGCGCACCGAAAAACTATTTCTCCAAGGGGGTCAACATCTTGTAAAATAAAACGTAAAACAAAGGGGAAAAGGGGGGAACGAAGTGAATTATGCAGAAGGAGAGGAAGAGGATGAAGAGGAGGTTTATATATAAAAACAGTTGGTAGTCCAGCGATCGGGTGTCTTTCTTTCTATCTCTACCTTTTCCTTAGTTCAGCTGGTTTTTTTCATAATGAGTAACCAACTAGCTCAGATTACACCAATCGTAACATATCCCAAGTTTGATCGCTTTCCAGTTTCCCACCTGTTAAACTAGCACACTTGGACGTTTCTGCGAAAATTTCAAAATAAATATTAATCTAAATTAAAATAATTACTGTATTTAAAAAAAAAAAGAAACTTAAGGAAAAAAAAATAAACTATTACTTGACAAGTTCTATTTGACCATCAGAATTAATCCGGACTAAGCTAAAATTATATGACCGTCGCACCTCAAACTCGGGATAGTTAAAATACGTCTATACACTTTTACAAAGTTAAAAAAAAAAAAACACAAAAAACACACACAAAAAAAAAAAAAAAAAAAAAACGCCACACCGAAATTGGAGTATACGGATTCAGCTCCCGCTCTGTCGCTTCTCCGCAGTGCAGCAGTGCACTGCAAGAGAAGCCCTCCGCTCAGGCGCACAAACGCGAGCCGCGCAGTAAGCTAACAAAAACGAAAAATAAAATAAAATGGAAATTTCACGCTTAAATTAACGAAGGGTACCTGGCACGCCGCAACGGAGGACTGACGATTCATTTCGAGCACCTGGAGATTTTTCGAGATCACAACGGCGCCTCTCCCCGCATAAGCATCCGCCAAACGAAACGAAACCAAAACAAAACTAGCTTCGACCACCACATTGCCACCACAAAAAGCTCGCAATGACTGCATCCACGTTCACCTTCGTCGCCACCGTCGTGATCTCGCTGCAGAGTATCACTCTCACACGACTTGCACGTTTTCAGCGTGGCAGATTCCAGCGCGCAACATATAGTTCGTATCGAGCACACGAGCGAACGTTCTGAACTTCACCCATGTTGCAAGAAGACTCCTCACTGGATCTCGGGTTTAACCGCCGGCAAGTTCTTCGCGTGATCGGATCCGGCGATCACGTGAGACCGTTCACCAGCCAACTTTCTGATTGCATCGGACGCATCTTGCCTGACCCTGACTTGGCGTGCATCAGGTCAAGCTCCTTAACGCAAGTGAGCACGTGAGCACACACGTGGTGCAACATCGTCTGCAGCGTCGCGGGCGGTAACCCCATCTTGATTTTGCAGGATGCGTTTCCCGAGTTTGAAACAGGGTTAGAACGTACGGCCGGGAGGTCTTTTGATTGTCCCGCCTCGCGAATACGAAGCTATCAGCACGGGGGGCGAGCACGGGGGGCGAATACGAAGCTATCAGCACCGGAGGGGGGGGGGAGGGGGGGGGGGGGGTTGGGGGGTTATGCACAAGGAAGGCAATTTCTTTTCCCTATGCGGAGGGCGAGTCGTCTGCTTCTTGCACAGGAACAGCCGTGACATCAGAACGACACTGAGCCCCGATTGGCTTTGATAGGAAAGATAGTGAGTAGACCTCAGTGCTAGCTAGATGCCTCAAAATCTACACACTATTTTTTTTTCTTTTTTTTTCAATCGGCCATTAAGAGCTTGTCGTTCTGACATCATTGCAACCCCTGTGCAAGTAGCAGACAAACTTGTGCTCCACATTTACTTCACTCTTTTTCCGCTGCTTTTTATTTCTTTCTTCTGCATGTGGACAGCGATGCGTTCGTGGTGCCCTAAAAAGGTTCTGGAATTTTACATTCAACATGCCACTTTAAACATTTAATGAACACTGTGTAATTTTTTAAAGACAGCACAAAGTAAGGCAAAAAAGCAATGTCAGAAAATATAAGTTACGGTATCAATACTGTGATGGCGCAAGTAATGTGAATAACGAATATATATATTGAACGGGCAAACCTCCCTTCTGTTCCCCCTCATGTCAACGGAAAGAGAAGCCAAGGAGCTTAGCAGTGCGGAGGAGAGGCAACAAAACGGCTCGTGCTCTGATGCCACCGAGCCAGCGCACTCGAAAAAACAACGGTTTCGCGCAAAATAAATATGACGTGTTTTTTTTTCCTTTGTATTTAGTGGAATTTTTCTTTTTTCAGGGGGTGCCCAGATACAAAAGGGGGGGGGGGGGGGGGGGGGGGGAGGTGTACACCCTCTAGGGGGTGGGTAGGGAAATCACTGGCTTGGGCAATCAATTCATTTGCAATGTGATATTTTTTGTGGTTGCACATTACCACAGTTTGAAATTTGTCTGTAAAATTTAACATATATTTTAGGAACCTCTGTCTCTTGATCATCACACGACCAGGAACTCTCCCTGGTCGTGTGATGGAATAAAGCAGCGCAGAAGCCTGCTGCCCTTGTAATCAATAACACACATACCAGGGAGGAGTGTATGAATCTTGATAACTTAGATCTGTTAGAATAGTGCTTGAACTCTGGTTACGGGGCCAGGGGTGGTCAAGAAAATGCGAGAAGCTTAAGAATCCGTCCTTACAGATCATCTCTGGGTTTTAGAAACCCAAGCTCTAGAACGTATACATAGGACATTGAGTAATGTTTTACACCGATGCCACAAAAAATACCATAAACCACAAGTTTATCTGACGACTCTACCGGGTAGCACTCACCCTGCCAGGCTCTGATGACCGCTCCATGGTGTCCGATGTCTTGGCAGACTCCAGATGACTCAGCAGTTGCTGCAGCTTGTCCGACAGCTGTGCGTGATGGTCTGCTGTCTCGGGGAACTCTTGGTTGGACATCTCTAGCTCACGGCACACGTCTTCATCGTACAGCCCCGCGCTGAGTTCGTCGAGTTGCTCCTGTGCGGCCTGCAACGACATTCCAAACCCTCTCCAAGTGTCCTAATGAAGCAGCTTGGCCTTCCACCCAAGCTGAAGTTTATAGATCTGAACAACGACAGTACACAATATTTACTTGAATATAAGACAAGGATGACCTTAACACCTGTGAGTATTCGTTAGCGCTATTATTCTCCTAGAAGGCAAAAAAATATTTTTTTTTACTACTCAAAATGCTGACTAGCTCGAGTTTCACTAACTTCAGCTCCACGGTCCAAAGGTTACATTGTATTAAAAACAAGAAAAAAAAGCTTGCTCAGACAAATGAAGGATGTACAAATACCCTTCTCTGAAGGCATAGCCCTTGTATGGTATCTGTAGTAATAACCTATGACTCAAGAAAGCAAGCCTTAACTTCGGCAACTGTCTTTATAAAATATAGCCAGTCTCAGATTGCAACAAAACCATTACCACTACTATAAATCCCAACAAAGCACTAATTCAAGGCAAGTACCAAACAAATTCTGCAGCAATTGGTAAAATTTGTCTGCTGCAGGGAATCGACCCACCTGCAGCTTTGCTTGTCTTGCCGACCCGTCGAGCCCCGATGCCTCTGCAAGAAGCTTCTCAATGACCCTCAGCTGCGTGAATGTGAAGGTCATCACCAAGGTCAGTCGACTCGGCCATCTTGGGTTATTGAGCCAATCCGGCAAACTGCTGCTGTCAGTGGCGTCTGACTGCCACGGTTCTCTGGAAGCTCCAGTCTCATGGGAAGCCGTTTGTGCAGCACCTTTCTGGCTCGGCAGCAGGTCTGGTGATCCAAAAGAGGTCCACCCAGCTCCCACAGAGGGTTGGCCCGCACCCAGTGGGTATGTTTTCGTGTGCCGATTATCTGGCAAGGTTGTTTGTTGCTCTGAGGTTGGCACATCGATGGCTTTGCCCTTGGATCCAAATGGAAACAGCCAGCTGTACAATGACGTACCTCTAGCAGTTTCATCGTGTCCGGGGACTGCAGATGTTTCTGGCATTCCTGACTTCAAGCCTTCGGTGTCCAGGTTTTGTTCCTTAACTGAAGAACTGCCTCTCCAAGGCCAAGAGTCTGAAGCATGATCATCATGAGGTGGTACTCCAGGGAGCAATCCTTCTGATTGCTTGTTAGCCTGTGTATCACAACCTCTTGCTTGTTGATGACGAGGAACATCTCCAGGAGTGGACAGGTCTCCCGGGCCCACCACCAAGTCCTCTGGGAACTCGAGTGTGACAAACCCGCTGTCCTCGTGTGCGGGTCCTGTGGTATCTCCCCGTAGGTCTTGATCCTTGGAATACGCAGTCCATGGAGAGGGTACACCTACCTCTCTAGCAAAGGAGCTTTCCCCATGCTTTGGTGTTTCCACCCAAGCAAATTCACCCACGTCTTCCAAAGGTGCAGTTGGAGGAACGGCCTGAAGGTGTACATCATCGTGCACTGGTAGAGGGGATGCTGAGTCGGGGATTCTTTGTTGGCTGAACAAAGGTTGAGGAGAGACGCTGTCTTTTGGTGAACTCTGCAAGTAGCCTCGTTGGTCCACACTGTCCTTGCTTGGTGTTCCTCCATGATGCTCTGGAGGTGAAGGAGACTTTGAACTTGATCGCCTCCCCCCATAGCTTGACACTGCCGATGCAACGAGATATGTTTCACCCTTCTTTTTCTGCTTGTGCTTCCTTGATTTGGCCTTGGCACGTTTGTCGATCGGAGCAGTGAAGCTCTCCTCCGAGGACAGCGTTTCTAGTTCGGGACTCTGAGCAGCTTTCATGTTTTCTATTTCATCAAGTTCTGTGGATGGTTGACTTGACAGCTCGTCCGTGAATGAAGGAGCTGAAGATTTTTGATCATCTTCTTTTCCAGGCAGTGACTGTATCAGTGATGATTCCGAAATTGGTGACCTTGCACTAAGTTCCAAAATGCTTTCGTCTTGACCAGAAGACACCAAGCTTCCTTCCGGACTTCTTGGCTCATTCGAAATATCAGGCTTCAAGGAACTCTTTCCTGTCCTAATCTCTTCATCAGCATATTTTGCATCTTTCTCAACTAAAGTATCACTAGCAGTGTCGCCAGTGATCAGGGTCTTGGCAGTAGAGAATATCTTTCCAATCCAACTTGAACTCTGGGTGTTAAACTGGTCCACTGCGGGCATTGAGACAACCTCAAATCCCTCAGGAGATGCTTCCCTGGTCTTTGTGGGAACCTCGTCGATGGCAACACCAAGTGAAACTTCATTGCCTTGAACTTTAGCATTGTCAGACCCTGCAACGACGATGGGGCTCTTTCCTTCACTATCACCCTCTGGCTCAACTGGGGAGTCAGGCTTTCCAAGAACCAAAATTTGGTCACCAATGGAAACATGCTTCACTTCGCCTTGGTCACTTGGAGATGATGTGATAATTTCATAATTTTCAGGTGCACTGCCTTTAGGCTTCTTTGCTTTCTTTCGGGATACTGGCTCTTGAGGCATGCCTAGCGCTTCTCGTTCATTAGTGGCTATGAGAGTTTTGTCAGAAACATCTCCGAGCGAAAATCCAGGGGTAACCACAGGGGTTCCCTCACGGCTTGGCGTCCTGGATTTTTCTGTTCCTGGAGCCTCAAAAGTGCTCGTTCCTTTGAAGACATCCTCTGGTGTGGTAATATAGTCAGGCTTCCCAAAGACATCGGTATCGACCATACAGGGGACTCCCTCAACATCCTTCTTCTCTGTTGACAGCTGTGTCTCACCTTCTTCCTGAGCTGGTGTCTTTCCTTCTGCTTTCTTTGCCTCTTTCTTCTGGGAATCTGGCTCTTCTGATGGTTCCTGTGGCTTGTAAGCCTTGGCATCTTCATCAAGGAATCCAGGAGCTCTGTCAGGAGCCTCCTTTAGCAGCTCCCCAGTGGAAACACCAGGGGTTACCTCACGGCACCGTGTCATGATTTTCTCTGTTCCTGGAGCCTTGAAAGTGCCCATTCCTTTGAAGACATCCTCCGACGCATTGATAAAGTCAGGTTTCCCAAAGATATGGTCATCTTCAACAGAAAGGACTCCCTTAACATGCTTCTCTGTTGGTACCTGTGTCTCAGCTTCTTCCTCAGCTGGAGCCTTTCTTTCTGATTTTTTGGTCTTTTTCTTTTCCTGGGAATCTGGCTCTTCTGATGGTTCCTGTGGCTTGTATGCCTTGGCATCTTCCTCCAGGGATCCAGGAACTCTGTCAGGAACATCTCTGATTAGCTCCCCAGTGGAAACCCCAGGGGTTCCCTCACGGCTTGGCGTCCTGGATTTTTCTATTCCTCGAGCCTCGAAAGTGCCCGTTTCTTTGAAGACATCCTCAGGCGTAGTCACATAGTCAGGCTTCCCAGAGATGTGGGCATCTTCTACAGGGAGGACTGCCTTGAGATCCTCCTCTGTTGGTAGCTGGGTCTCAGCTTCTGTCTCAGCTGGAGCCTTTCCTTTTGGTTTCTTTGCCCTTTTCATCTTTGAATCTGACTCTTCTAATGGTTCCTGTGGCTTGTATGCCTTGGTATCCCGTTCCAGGGATCCAGGAACTCTATTAGGAGTATCTCTGAGTACCTCCTCAGTGGAAGCCCCAGGGGTTCCCTCACGGCTTGGTACCCTGGTTTTCTCTGTTCCTGGAGCCTCGGAAGTGCCCGTTTCTTTAAAGGCATCCTCTTGAGGAGTCAGGTAATCAGGCTTCCTATAGATGTGAGCATCTTCCACAGGGAGGACTCCCTTGACATCCTTCTTCTCTGTTGGTAGCAGTGTCTTAGTTTCTTCCTCAAGTGGAGTCTTTCCTTTTGGTTTCTTTGCCCTTTTCATCTTTGAATCTGACTCTTCTAATGGTCCCTGTGGCTTGTATACCTTGGTATCCTCCTCCAGGGATCCAGGAACTCTGTCAGGAGTATCTCTGAGTACCTCCCCAGTGGAAACCCCAGGGGTTCCCTCACGGCTTGGCACCCTGGTTTTCTCTGTTCCTGGAGCCTCGAAAGTGCTTGTTCCCTTGAAGTCATCCCCTAGTGTAGTCATAAAGCCAGGTTTCCCAAAGATGTGGGCATCTTCCAAAGGGAGGACTCCCTTGACATCCTTCTTCTCTGTTGGTAGCAGTGTCTCAGCTTCCTCCTCAAATAGAGTCTTTCCTTTTGGTTTCTTTGCCTTTTTCTTCTTCTCAAAATCTGGCTCATCTGATGGTTTCTGTGGCTTGTAGGTCTTTGTGTCTTCCTCCAGTGATCTAGGACCTTTTTCAGAAGCATCTCTGAGTAGCTCCCCAGGGGAAACCCCAGGGGTTCCCTCACGGCTTGGCGTCCTTGTTTTCTCTGTTCCTGGAGCCTCGAAAGTGCCCATTTCTTTGAAGACATTCTCTGGTGAAGACATATAGTCAGGCCTCCCAAAAATGTGGGCATCTTCCACAGGAAGGACTTTCTTGACATCCTTCTTCTCTGTTGGTAGCTGTGCCTCAGCTTCTTCCTCAACTGGAGTCTTTCCTTTTGGTTTCTTTGCCCTCTTCATCTTTGAATCTGGATCTTCTAGTAGTTCCTGTGGCTTGTATGCCTCTGTGTCCTCTTCCAGTGATCCAGGAACTCTGTCAGGAGTATACCTAAGTACCTCCCCAGTGGATACACCAGGAGTTCCCTCATGGCTTGGCACTCTGGTTTTCTTTGTGCCTGGAGCCTCGAAAGTGTCCGCTTCTTTGAAGACATCCTCTAGAGAAGTCATGTAATCAGGCTTCCCATAGATATGAGCATCTTCCACGGGGAGGACTCCCATGACATCCTTCTTCTCTGTTGGTAGCTGTGTCTCAGCTTCTACCTCAGCTGGAGTTTTTCCTTTTGTTTTTTTTGCCTTTTTCTTCTTCTGGGAATATGGCTCTTCTGATAGTTCCTGTGGCTTGTATGCCTCTGCATCTTCCTCCAGTGATCCAGGACCTCTATCAGGGGTATCTCTGAGTAGCTCCCCAGCGGAAACCCCAGGAGTTCCCTCACGGCTCGGCGTCCTTGTTTTTTCTGTTCCTGGAGCCCCAAAAGTGCCCGTTTCTTTGAAGACATCTTCAGGTGAAGTCATATAGTCAGGCTTCCCAAAGATGCAGGCATCTTCCACAGGGAGAACTTTCTTGACATCCTTCTTCTTTGTTGGTAGCTGTGTCTCGGCTTCTTCCTCAACTGGAGTCTTTCCTTTTGGTTTCTTTGCCTTTTTCTTCTTCTCGAAATCTGGCTCTTCTGGTGGTTTCTGTGACTTGTATGCCTTGGCTTCTTCCTCCAGGGATCCAGGACCTCTTTCAGAAGCATCTCTGAGTAGCTCCCCAGGGGAAACCCCAGGGGTTCCCTCACGGCTTGGCGTCCTTGTTTTCTCTGTTCCTGGAGCCTCGAAAGTGCCCATTTCTTTGAAGACATCCTCTGGTGAAGACATATAGTCAGGCCTCCCAAAGATGTGGGCATCTTCCACAGGAAGGACGTTCTTGACATCCTTCTTCTCTGTTGGTAGCTGTGCCTCAGCTTCTTCCTCAACTGGAGTCTTTCCTTTTGGTTTCTTTGCCTTTCCCTTCTTCTCGAAATCTGGCTCTTCTGGTGGTTTCTGTGACTTGTATGCCTTGGCTTCTTCCTCCAGGGATCCAGGACCTCTTTCAGAAGCATCTCTGAGTAGCTCCCCAGGGGAAACCCCAGGGGTTCCCTCACGGCTTGGCGTCCTTGTTTTCTCTGTTCCTGGAGCCCCGAAAGTGCCCGTTTCTTTGAAGACATCCCCTGGTGTAGTTATATAACCGGGCTTCCCAAAGATGTGGGAATCTTCCACAGGAAAGACTTTTTTGACATCCTTCTTCTCTGTTGGTAGCTGTGCCTCAGCTTCTTCCTCAACTGGAGCCTTTCCTTTTGGTTTCTTTGCCCTCTTCATCTTTGAATCTGGCTCTTCTAATGGTTCCTGTGGCTTGTATGCCTTGGTATCCTCTTCCAGAGATCCAGGAACTCTGTCAGGAGTATATGTGAGTACCTCCCCAGTGGAAGCCCCAGGGGTTCCCTCACGGCTTGGCACCCTGGTTTTCTCTGTTCCTGGAGCCTCGAAAGTGCCGGTTTCTTTGAAAACATCCTCTGGAGAAGTCATGTAATCAGGCTTCCCGAAGATGTGAGCATCTTCTACAGGGAGGACTCCCATGACATCGGTCTTCTCTCTTGGTAGCTGTGTCTCAGCTTCTTTCTCAGGTAGAGTCTTTCCTTTTGCTTTCTTTGCCTTTTTCTTCTGGGAATCTGGCTGTTCTGATGGTTTCTGTGGCTTGTATGCCTTGGCATCTTCTTCTTCCAGGGATCCAAGAACTCTGTCATGAACATCTCTGAGTAGCTCGCCGGTGGAAACCCCAGGGGTTCCCTCACGGCTTGGCACCCTGGTTTTCTCTGTTCCTGGAGCCTCGAAAGTGCTGGTCTCTTTGAAGACATCCTCTGGAGAAGTCATATAATAAGGCTTCCCGATGATGTGAGCATCTTCTACAGGGAAGACTCCCATGACATCGGTCTTCTCTCTTGGTAGCTGTGTCTCAGCTTCTTCCTCAGGTAGAGTCATTCCCTTTGCTTTCTTTGCCTTTTTCTTCTGGGAATCTGGCTCTTCTGATGGTTTCTCTGGCTTATATGCCTTGGCATCTTCTTCTTCAAGGGATTCAGGAACTCTGTCAGGAACATCTCTGAGTAGCTCCCCGGTGGAAACCCCAGGGGTTCCCTCACGGCTTGGCACCCTGGTTTTCTCTGTTCCTGAAGCCTCGAAAGTGCCGGTCTGTTTGAAGACATCCTCTGGAGAAGTCATATAATCAGGCTTCCCGAAGATGTGAGCATCTTCTACAGGGAGGACTCCCATGACATCGGTCTTCTCTCTTGGTAGCTGTGTCTCAGCTTCTTCCTCAGGTAGAGTCTTTCCTTTTGCTTTCTTTGCCTTTTTCTTCTGGGAATCTGGCTCTTCTGATGGTTTCTGTGGCTTGTGTGCATTGGCTTCTTCTTCTTCCAGGGATCCAGGATCTCTGTCATGAACATCTCTGAGTAGCTCCCCAGTGGAAACCCCAGGGGTTCCCTCACGGCTTGGCACCTTGGTTTTCTCTGTTCCTGGAGCCTCGAAAGTGCCGGTCTCTTTGAAGACATCCTCTGGAGCAGTCATATAATCAGGCTTCCCGAAGATGTGAGCATCTTCTACAGGGAGGACTCCCATGACATCGGTCTTCTCTCTTGGTAGCTGTGTCTCAGCTTCTTTCTCAGGTAGAGTCTTTCCTTTTGCTTTCTTTGCCTTTTTCTTCTGGGAATCTGGCTGTTCTGATGGTTTCTGTGGCTTGTGTGCCTTGGCATCTTCTTCTTCCAGGGATCCAGGATCTCTGTCATGAACATCTCTGAGTAGCTCCCCAGTGGAAACCCCAGGGGTTCCCTCACGGCTTGGCACCTTGGTTTTCTCTGTTCCTGGAGCCTCGAAAGTGCCGGTCTCTTTGAAGACATCCTCTGGAGAAGTCATATAATCAGGCTTCCCGAAGATGTGAGCATCTTCTACAGGGAGGACTCCCATGACATCGGTCTTCTCTCTTGGTAGCTGTGTCTCAGCTTCTTTCTCAGGTAGAGTCTTTCCTTTTGCTTTTTTTACCTTTTTCTTCTTCTGGAAATCTGGCTGTTCTGATGGTTCCTGTGGCTTGTATGTCTTTGCATCTTCCTCCAGTGATTCAGGAACTCTTTCAGGAGCATCTCTGAGCAGCTCCCCAGCGGAAACCCCAGGGGTTCTCTCACGGCTTGGCGTCCTAGTTTTCTCTGTTCCTGGTGCCTCGAAAGTGCCCGTTTCTTTGAAGACATCCTCAGGTGAAGTCATATAGTCAGGCTTCCCAAAGATGTGGGCATCTTCCACAGAGAGGACTTTCTTGACATTCTCCTTCTCTGTTTTTAGCTGTGTCTCAGCATCTATATCAGCTGGAGTCTTTTCTTTTGGTTTCTTTGCCGGTTTCTTCTCGAAATCTGGCTTTTCTGATGGCTCCTGTGGTTGGCATGCCTTGGCATCTTCCTCCAGGGATCTGAGAACTCTATCAGGAGCATGTCTGAGTCGCTCCCCGGTAGAAACACCAGGGGTTCCCTCACGGCTTGGCGTATTCATTTCCTCAGTTTCTGGAGCCTTGAAAGTGCCCATTCCTTTGAAGACATACTCTGGTGAAGTCTTATCATCAGGCTTCCCAAGGATGTAGCCATCTTCCACAGAGTGGACTCCCTTGGCATCCTTCTTCTCTGTTGGTAAATGTGACTCAGCTTTTTCCTCAGCTGGAGCCTTTCTTTTTGGCTTTCTTATTTTTCTATTCTCAGAATCAGGCTCCTCTGATGGTTCCTGTGTTTTGACTGTCTTGTGTCCTTCATCAAGGAATTCAGAAGTTCCACCAGAGATATCCTCAAGAAGATTGTGGATGGCAACACCCGGAAGGTTACTAGAACTTGTTTCCTTCCATTGGTTTTCAAGTGGACTCATACTATGAGAATCCTCCTTAGTTTCTTCAGGGAAAGCCCATGTAATGGAATCACTTTGAGAATCTCCAGAAAGCATGCTCTTTGCAGTTGAGATAATTTTTCCTATCCAACTTGAACTCTGTTCATCACCTTTGTCAGTATCAGTAGAAGGAACTACTCGAGGTTCCTCAGAAGATGCTAGCAGTATATTCTCAAACGACTCATTATTTGTACTTCGAGCTGTTTCAGCACTCTTGGATTCGTCCTCGTCAGCCGGAAGAGAAGTAAGAGGCACCTGGTCGTCTAGAGTCTTTCCCTTTTGCTTAATCGTCTTCTTTTTCTTGTGTAATTCAGGCTTTTCTGGTTTTGTCACCTTGTCATCTGTAACCAAGAGGATGGGAGTACCTTCTCGGCTTGGCGTATTTGCCTTGTCAGAGAGAGGTAAATCAAAAGGACTGGCTGGCTTGCCTGCATCCTCTGCTACAGCAGTGAAATCTGCTTTCTCAATGACCTGGACATGGTCCAAGATGACAGTACCAGTAATTCTGTCTTCATCTGTGGAAAGCAGAGCCACTGCTTCCCGGTAATCTGGAGCCTTTCCCTTTGGTTTTTTGGTCTTCTTTTTCTTGTGTGATTCTGGCTCTTCAGATGGCTCTTCTGCTTTTGTCAACTTATCGTCTGTAACCAAGATGATGGGAGTACCTTCTCGGCTTGGGGTCTTGGCCTTGTCTAAGACAGGTAAATCAAAAGGACCGTCTGGCTTGCCCACATCTTCTGGGTTAGGTGCAATGTCCGCTTTCTCAATGATATGGACTTGGTCAAGGACTACTGCATCCTTGATCTTGTCTTCATCTGTAAGAAGAGGAGCCACTGCCTCCTGGTCATCTGGAGTTATTCCCTTTGGTTTTTTGGTCTTCTTTCTCTTGTGTGATTCTGGCTCTTCAGATGACTCTTCCGTTTTTGTCACCTTTTCTTCTGCAACCAAGGTGTTGGTGATGGGAGTACCTTCTCGGCTTGAGGTCTTGACCTTCTCCGAGACAGGTAAATCAAAAGGAGTGACTGGCTTGGCCACATCTTCTGTGACATGTGTGATGTCCGATTTCTCAATGGTCTGGACATGGTCCAAGATTACTGCACCCTTGATCTTGTCTTCATCTGTGGGAAGAGAAGCCAGTGCTTCATAGTCATCTGGAGCCCTTCCCTTTGGTTTTTTCGTCTTCTTTCTCTTGTTTAACTCTGGCTCTTCAGCTTTCGTCAGATTGTCTTCTGTAACCAATGTGATAGGAGTACCTTCTCGGTTTGGGGTCTTGGCCTCGTCTGAGACAGGTAAATCAAAAGGACTGGCTGGCTTGCCCACATCTTCTGTGACAGGTGCAATGTCCAATTTCTCAAAGGTCTGGATATGGTCCAAGATTACTGCACCCTCGATTTTGTCTTCATCTGTGGGAAGAGGAGCCACTGCCTCCTGGTCATCTGAAGTCTTTCTTTTTGGTTTTTTGATCTTCTTTCTCTTGTGTAATTCTAGCTCTTCCGATGGCTCTTCTGGTTTTGTCACCTCGTCATCTATAACCAAGGTGATGGGACTACCTTCCTGGCTTGGGGTTTTTGCCTTGTCTGAGAGAGATAAATCAAAAGGACTGTCTGGCTTGTCCACATCTTCAGGGACAGGTGTGACATCCACTTTCTCAATTAGCTGGACATGGTCCAAGATGACTGCCCCCTTGATCTTGTCTTCATCTGTGAGTAGAGGAGCCACTGCCTCCTGGTCACCTGGTGTCCTTCCCTTTGGCTTTTTTGTTTCCTTTCTCTTGTGTAATTCTGGCTTTTCAGGTCTTGTCACCTTGTCATCTGTAACCGAGGTAATGGGGGTACCTTCTTGAATTGGGATCTTTGCCTTGTCAGAGACCAGTAAATCGGAAGGACTGGGAGGCTTGCCCACTTCTTCTGGAACAAATGTGACGTCCGTTTTCTCAATGACCTGGATATAGTCCAACGTGATTGCCCCCTTGATTTGATCTTTATCCATGGGAAGAGGAGCCACTTCCTCCTGGTCGTCTGGAGTTTTTCCCTTTGGTTTTTTAGTCTTTCTTTTCTTGTGTAATTTTGGCTCTTCCGATGGCTCTTCTGGTTTTGTCTCCTTGTCATCTGTAACCAAGGTGATAGGACTACCTTCTCGGCTTGGGGTTTTTGCCTTGTCTGAGACAGGTGAATCAAAAGGACTTGCTGGCTTGCTCACGTCTTCTGGGACAGGTGTGATGTCCGATTTCTCAATTATGTGGATACGGTCCAACATGACTGCCTCCTTGATCTTGTTTTCATCTGTGAGTAGAGGAGGTACTGCCTCCTGGTCATCCGGGGTCCTTCCTTTTGGCTTTTTTGTCTTCTTTCTCTTGTTCAATTCCAACTCTTCTGATGGCTCTACTGGTTTAGTCGCATTGTCTTCTGTATCCAATGTGATTGGAGTACCTTCTCGGCTTGGTGTCTTGGCCTTGTCTGGGACCGGTAAACCAAAAGGACTGGCTGGCTCGCCCACATCTTCTGGAAGAAATGTGATGTCCGTTTTCTCAGTGATCTGGACATGGTCCAAGATTACTGTGCCTTTCACCTTGTCTTCATCTGAGGGAAGAGGAGCCTCAGTCTCCTGGTCATCTGGAGTCTTTCCCTTTAGTTTTTTCATCTTCCTTTTCTTGTACAATTCTGGTTCCGATGGCTCTTCTGGTTTCGTTACCATGTGTTCTGTAACCAAGGTGATGGCAGTACCTTCTTCCCTTGAAGCCCTGAGATTGTCTGAGATTGGTGAATCGAAAGGACTGGCTAGCTTGCCGACATCTTCCGGAACAGGTGTAATGTCTATCTTCTCAATGATCTGCACATGGTCAAAGATGACTGAGCACTTGACCTTGTCTTCATCTGTGGGAAGCGGAGCCACTGCCTCCTTGTCATCTGGAGTCCTTCCCTTTGGTTGTTTTGTCTTCTTTTTCTTGTGCAACCCAGGTTCTTCCCACAGATCTTCTGGTTTTGTCACCTTGCCTTCTGTAACCAAGGTGGTGGGAGAACCTTCTCGGCTTGGGGTCGTGGCCTTGCCCGAGACCGGTGAATCGAAAGATCTGGCTGGCTTGTTCACATCTTCTAGAAAGTCTGTATTGTCCGTTTCCTCAAGGACCTGAACATGGTCCAAGATTTTGGCACCCTTGATCTTGTCTTCATCTGTGGGAAGAGGAGCCACTGCTTCCTGGTCATCTGGAGTTTTTTTCTTTCGATGTTTTGTCTTCTCTTTTTTGTGAAATTTAGGTTCTTCCCACTGTTCTGGTTTTGTCACCTTGCCTTCTGTAACCAAGGTGGTGGGAGAACCTTCTTGGCTGGTGGCCTTAACTTTGTCTGAGACAAGTGAATCGAAAGGACTGGCTGGCTTGCCCACATCTTCTGGGACAGGTGTGATGTCCGTTTTCTCAGTGATCTCGATATGGTCCGAGATGATTGCACCCTTGATTTTGGCTTCATCTGTGGGAAGAGGAGCCACGGCATCCTGGTCATCTGGAGTCCTTCCCTTTGGTTTTTTTGCCTTCTTTCTCTTGTGTAATTCTGGCTCTTCAGATGGCTCTTCTGCTTTCGTCACCTTGTTTTCTGTAACCCAGGTTATGGGAGTACCCTCTCGGCTTGGGGTCTTGGCCTCGTCTGAGACAGGTAAATCAAAAGGACTGGCTGGCCTGTCCACATCTTCTGTGACAGGTACAATGTCCAATTTCTCAAAGGTCTGGATATGGTCCAAGATTACTGCACCCTCGATTTTGTCTTCATCTGTGGGAAGAGGAGCCACTGCCTCCTGGTCATCTGAAGTCTTTCTCTTTGGTTTTTTGGTCTTCTTTTTCTTGTGCAATTCTAGCTCTTCCGATGGCTCTTCTGGTTTTGTCACCTTGTCATCTGTAACCAAGGTGATGGGGCTGCTTTCTTGGCTTGAGGTTTTTGCCTTGTCTGAGACAGGTAAAACAAAAGGACTGCCTGGCTTGCCCACATCTTCTGGGACAGGTATCACGTCAGCTTTCTCAATTAGCTGGACATGGTCCAAGATGACTGCCCCTTTGATCTTGTCTTCATCTGTGAGGGGAGGAGCCACTGCCTTCTGGTCATCTGGAGTCTTTCCCTTTGGCTTTTTTGTCTTTTTTCTCTTGTGTAATTCTGGTTCTTCAGGTCTTGTCACCCTGTCATCTGTAACCGAGGTGAGGGGAATACCTTCTTGAATTGGGATCTTTGCCTTGTCAGAGACTGGTAAATCGGAAGGACTGGCAGGCTTGCCTACTTCTTCTGGAACAAATATGACGTCCGTTTTCTCAATGATCGGGACATGGTCCAAGATTACTGTGCCCTTCACCTTGTCTTCATCTGAGGAAAGAGGAGCCTGGGCCTCCTGGTCATCTGGAGTATTTGCCTTTAGTTTTTTCATTTTCCTTTTTTTGTGCAATTCTGGTTCCGATGGCTCACCTGGTTTTGTCACCATGCATTCTGTAACTAAGCTGATGGGACTACCTTCTTCGTTTGAAGCCCTGAGATTGTCCGAGATTGGTGAATCGAAAGGGCTGGCTGGCTTGCCCACATTTTCCAGAACAGGTGTAATGTCCATCTTCTCAATGATCTGGACGTCGTCAAAGATGACTGCGCCCGTGATCTTTTCTTCATCTGTGGGAAGAGGGGCCAGTGACTCCTTGTCATCTGGAGTCCTTCCCTTTGGTTGTTTTGTCTCCTTTTTCTTGAGCAACTCAGGTTCTTCCCACAGATCTTCTGGTTTTGTCACCTTGCCTTCTGTGACCAAGGTGGTGGGAGAACCTTCTCGACTTGGGATCTTGGCCTTGCCTGACACCAGTGAATCGAAAGGACGGGCAGGCTTGCCCACATCTTCTGGGACAGGTGTAATGTCCGTCTTCTCGATGATCTGGACATGGTCCAAGGTGACTACACTCTTGATTTTGTTTTCATCTGTGGGAAGAGGAGCCACTGCTTCCTTGTCATCTGGAGTTTTTTCCTTTCGTTGTTTTGTCTTCTCTTTCTTGTGCAATTCAGGTCCTTCCCACAGTTCTAATGGTTTTGTCACCTTGCCTTCTGTAACCAAGGTGGTGGGAGTACCTTCTCGGCTTGGAATCTTGGCCTTATCTGAGACCAATGAAGCGAAAGGACTGGCTGGCTTGTCCACATCTTCTGGGACATATGTGATGTCCTCTTTCTCAATGATCTGGACATGGTCCAAGATGACTGCCTCCTTGATCTCGTCTTCATCTGTGGGAAGAGGAGCCACTGCCTCCTGATCATCTGGAGCCTTCTCCTTTGGTCTTTTGGTCTTCTTTTTCTTGTGTAATTCTGGCTCTTCACATGGCTCTTCTGCTTTTGTCATCTTGTCTTCTGTAACCAAGGTGACGGGAGTACCTTCTCGGCTTTTGGTCTGGGCCTTGTCTGAGACAACTAAATCAGAAAGACTGGCTGGCTTGCATACATTTTCTGGGACAGGTGTGATGTCTGATTTCTCAACGATCTGGACATGGTCCAAGGTTACTGCATCCTTGATCTTGTCTTTATCTGTGCAAAGATGAGCCACTTCCTCCTGGTCATCTGGAGTCTCCCCCTTTTGTTTTTTTGTCTTCATTTTCTTGTGTAATTCTTCCTCTTCTGATGGCTCTTCTGGTTTTGTCATCTTGTCATCTGTAACCAAGGTGATGGGAGTACCCTCTCGGCTTGGGGTCTTTGCCCTGTCGGAGACAGGTAAATCAAAAGGACTGGCTGACTTGCCCACATCTTCTGGGACAGGTGTGATGTTTGCTTTCTCAATGATCTGGACATGGTCCAAGATGACTGCCCCCTTGTTCTTGTCTTCATCTGTGGGAAGAGGAGCCACTGCCTCCTGGTCATCTGGAGACTTTCCTTTTGGTTTTTTGGTTTTCTTTGTTTTGTGTAATTTTTCCTCTTCAAATGGCTCTTCTGGTTTTGTCTCCTTGTCATCCGTAACCAAGGTGGTGGGAGCACCTTCTCGACTTGGGGTCTCGGCCTTGTCTGAGACAAGTAAATCAAAAGGACCAGCTGCCTTGCCCACATCTTCTGAGACAGGTGTAACGTCTATCTTCTCAATGATCTGGACATTGTCCAAAATTACTGCATCCTTGGTCTTGTCTTCATCTGTGGGAAGACGAGCCACTTCCTCTTGGTTTTCTCGAGTCTTTCCCTTTGTTCTTTTTGTCTTCTTTCTGTTGAGTAATTCTGGCTCTTCTGATGACTCTACTGGTTTTGTCACCTTGTCTTCTGCATCCAAGGTGGATGGAGCACCTTCTCGGCTTGGGGTCTTGGCTTTGTCCGAGACAGGTGAATCAAAAGGACTGGCTGGCTTGCTCACATCATCTGGGACAGGTGTGATGTCTGATTTCTCAACAGTCTGGGCATAGCCCAAGATTATTGCATCGTTGAGCTTGTCTTGATCAGTGGGAAGAGGAGCCAGTTCCTCCTGGTCATCTGAAGTTTTTCCCTTTGGTTTTTTTGTTTTCTTTTTCTTGTGTATTTCTGACTCTTCTGGTTTTGTCACCTTGCCATCTGTAACCAAGGAAATGGGAGTACCTTCCCGGCTTGGGGTCTTTGCCTTGTCCGAGACAGGTAAATCAAAAGGACTGACTGGCTTGCCCACAATTTCTGGGACAGGTGTGACGTTAACTTTCTCAATGATCTGGACATGGTCGAAAAAGACCGTCCCCTTGATCTTGTTTTCATCTGTGGGAAGAGAAGCCACTGCCAAGTGGATATCTGGAGTCTCTCCCTGTGGTTTTTTTATCTTCTTTCTCTTGTGTAATTCCAGCTCTTCAGATGGCTCTTCTGGTTTTGTCACCTTGTCATCTGTAACCAAGGTAGTGGGAGTACCTTCTCGGCTTGAGATCTCGGCCTTGTCTGATACAGGTAAAGCAAAAGGACTGGTTGGCTTGTCCACATCTTCTGGGATAGGAGTAATGTCCATCTTTTGATTGATCTGCACATGGTCCAAGATGACTGCACCCTTGACCTTGTCTTCATCAGTGGGAAGAGGAGCCACCACTTCCTGATCATCTGGAGTCCTTGGCTTTGGTTTTTTTTTCTTTTTCTTGTGCAATTCTGGCTCTTCAGATGGCTCTTCTGGTTTTGTCACCTTGTCACCCGTAACCAAGGTGGTGGGTGTACCTTCTCGACTTGGGGTCTTGGCCTTGTCTGAGACAAGTAAGTCAAAAGAACTAGCTGCCTTGCCCACATCTTCTGGGACAGGTATAATGTCCATCCTCTCACTGATCTGGACATGGTCCAAGATTACCGGATCCTTGGTCTTGTCTTCATCTGTGGGAAGATGAGCCCCTTCCTCCTGGTCATCTGGAGTCTTTCCCCTTGCTTTTTTTGTCTTCTTTCCCTTGTGTAATTCTGGCTCTTCTGATGGCTCTACTGGTTTTGTCACCTTGTCTTTTGCACCCAAGGTAATGGAAGCATCTTCTCGGCTTGGGGCCTTGGCTTTGTCCGAGACCAATGAATCGAAAGGGGTGGCTGGCTTGCTCACATCCTCTGGGACCTGTGTGATGTCTGCTTTCTCAATAATCTGGACATGGTCCAAGATGACTGCCTTTTTGATCTTGTCTTCATCTGTGGGAAGAGGAGCCACCACCTCCTGGTCATCTGGAGTTCTTCCTTTTAGTTTTTTCATCTTCTTTCTTTTGTGCGATTCTGGCTCTACTGAAGACTCTTCAGGTTTTGTCATCTTGTCTTCTGTAACCAACGTGACGGGGGAACCTTCTCGGCTTAGGGTCTGGGCCTTGTCTGAAGCAAGTAAATTAAAAGGACAAGCTGGCTTGCTCACATCTTCGGGGACAAGTGTGATATCTGATTTATCAACAGTCTGGACATGGTCTAAAATTACTGCACCCTTGATCTTGTCTTCATCTGTGGGGAGAGAAGCCAGTTCCCCCTGGTCATCCAGAGTCTTTCCCTTTGGTTTTTTTGTCTTCTTTCTCTTGTGTATTTCTGACTCTTCTGGCTTTGCCACCTTGTCATCTGTAACCAAGGTGATGGGAGTACCTTCTCGGTTTGGGGTCTTGGCCTTGTCTGAGACAGGTAAATCAAAAGGACTGGCTAGCTTGCTCAGATCTTCTGGGACAGGTGTAATGTTCATCTTCTCAATGATCTGGACATGGTCCAAGATGACTGCACCCTTGAGCTTGTCTTCATCTGTGGGAAGAGAAGCCACTGCCTCTTGGTCATCTGCAGTCTTTTTCTTTGGTTTCTTCGTCTTCTTTCTCTTGTGCAATTCTGGTTCTTCCAAGGGCTTTTCAGGTTTTGTCACCTTGTCTTCTGTATCCACCAAGGTGATGGGAGTACCTTCTCGGCTTGGGGTCTTGGCCTTGTCTGAGACAGGTAAATCAAAAGGACTGACTGGCTTGCCCACATCTTCTGGGACAGGTGAAATGTCCGTCTTCTCAGTGATCTGGACATGATCCAACACGATTGCACCCTTGATCTTGTCTTTATCTGTGGGAAGAGGAGCCACTCTTTCCTGGTCATCTGGAGTTTTTTCCTTTGGTTTTTTCGTCCTCTTTTTATTCAACAATTCGGGTTCTTCCCTCAACTCTTCTGGTTTTGTCACCTTCTCTTCTGTGACCAAGGTGGTGGGAATACCTTCTCGGCTTGGGGTCTTGACCTTGTCTGAAACCAGTAAATCGAAAGAAGAGGCTGGTTTGCCCACATTCATTGGGACAGGTGTGATGTCTGCTTTCTCATGTGGTGGTTCACTCTTTTCAACAGGCTGTGTCATGGACTTTTGTTTTTTAGACTTCTTTGATTTCTTTTTTGAAGATGGTTCCTTGTATGGAGCATCCTGTTTATTGTCGTTTCCAGTCCTGTCTTCAGTGATTAGTGTTGAGGATTCAGTAGAATCCCCAGAAATGATGTGCTTCGCTGTGGAGATGATTTTTCCTAACCAGGTTGCCTTCTCCTTTTTGCCTTTGTCTTGTTCAGGCTCGTCGTTCTGGAGAGTCGTTTCTTTTTGCTTTTTTGATTTCTTCTTTTTCTTCAATGCAGGGTCATCAGGTTGTAGTTGCATTTGCTCCTTGCTTTCTTTCAAGCTCACAGGAGTACCCTCATGTGTATTTCTGAGTATTTCACCAGTTGACACACCAGGGCTGCTTTCTCTGGCTGAGGTGTCAACCATCTCGGATACGAGTTTGTCATCTTCCTGAGGTTTAGTTGTCGCCCTTGCCATTATCTGAGCCTTCTGAAATTCAGGCTCTTTGAGTGGACCTTGTGGCTTGTCCGTTAGATTCACGGTCACAGATATACCTTCATAGACATCTCTAAGTGGTTCACCAGCAGAAACACCCGGGCTAGTCTCTCTACTTGGGGTCTTTACCACCTCAGAAACAAACTTGTCGAAAGGACTGGTGCCTTTGGAAGTATCCTGTGGCAAATCGTTTCTATCAGGCCTTCCAAGTAGTTGGACATCTTCAAGAATGTAGACAGTTCCTGCCTGGTCTTGGTTGCTTGGAAAAGACCTGGCAGAATCAACATTGTCTAGATTTTTTCTTTTAGATTTTTCTGGTTCCTTGTTCTCCTGGGATTCAGGCTCCTTAGACAGCTCTTGTGGTTTGTCTGACTTGTCATTTCCAGTCAATGGAATATCTTCACAGAAATCTCTAAGTGGTTCGCCAGCAGAAATGCCAGGGCTACTCTCTCCGCTTGGGGTCTTTACCATCCCAGAAACAAGTTTGTTGAAAGGCCTGGTGTCTTTGCCTGGATCCTGCTGCAGGCTTTTGCCATCAGGCCCTTCAAGCACTTGAACATGGTCTAAAATGTGGAAAGTCCAAATATGGTCTTGGTCAGCAAGGTGAGGCGTAGCAGTCTCAACATCTTTTGGGGTTTTTCTTGTTTGCTCCTCTGCCATCTTTTTATTTTGGATTTCAGGATCCTTAGATGGCTCCTGTGGTTTGACTGCATCTTTCTCTGTCACAGTGATAGGGGTGCCCTCATGGAAACCTCCAAGAGGCTCATCAGCAGAAGCACCCGGGCTAGCCTCTCTGCTTGGGGTCCTTACCAACTCAGCAACAAGTTGGTCTAATGGACTGACTGCTTTGCCTCCATCATCTGGGATACCTTTGTCATCAGAACTTTCAAGTGCTTGGACATGGTCAGAAACATATGTAGTCTTGATTTGATCTTGATCAGTTAGAAGAGGTAAATCAGCCTGAACATCCTTTTTCTGCTTTGTTTTCTTTTTCTTCTTGGATCCCGACTTCTCAAGTGGTTCTTGTGGTTCGACGGTCTTTTTATCTTCAGTGACAATCGGAGGAGTACTTTCGCAAACATCTTGAAGTGGTTCACCAGCAGAAACTCCTGGACTAACCTCTCTACTTGGGATTGTCACCGACTCAGAAACAGGTTTGTTGGAAGGACTGGCTCGTTTGTCTGTGTCCTGTGGCAGGCCATTATCAACAGGATTTTCAAACATTTCAACATGATCACCAAAGTGAACAGCCATAGTTTTGTCTTTGTCATGTGGAAAAGAGATTGTAGTATTGACATCCCCTTGAGTCTTCCCCTTTGGCTTCTTTATCTTCTGGGGTTCAGGCTTCTCTGGTGGCTCTTGTAGTTTCTCTACCTCCTCAGGCTCAGTAAGAGGAATACCCTCATAGACAGGTGGTTCACCAGCAAAAGCACCAGGGCTATCCTCTCTGCTTGGGGTTTTCTGAGCCCCAGAAATGAGTGGGTCAGAAGGACGGACTGCTTTGCTCACATCTTGTGGCACACCCTTCCTATCAGGCGTTTCAAGCTCTGGGAAATGCGCAGAAGTGGGTTGGTCAAGGTCTGTCAGAAGAGGTGCTGCTGTTTCAACGTCATCTCGAGTCTTTCCCTTTTGTTTTCTGGTTTTCTTTTTTTTCTGAGATTTAGAGACATCAGATAGGCGTTGTGTTTTATCCTCCTTGGTTCTAGTTCCATCATCATCGGTTGTCATTGTGTGTTCGCTGGAAGAATCCCCAGAAAGGATGCTTTTGGCAGTGGAAATGATTTTTCCTAGCCAAGAAGGCTTCTCCTTATCACTTTTGTCTTGGTCTTCATGGGAAGGAAGGGACATGGAACTTTCAGCATCTTCCAAACTCTTGCCTTTCTGCTTTTTTGTTTTCTTTTTCTTCTTTGATTCAGGCTGTTCCTGTTGCTTATCTTTTTCAGTCACAGTTAGGGGGGTACCCTCTCGTACATCTCTAGGCAGCTCACCACTGGCAACACCAGGGCTAGTCTCTCTGTCTGGTGTCTTGGCACTGTCAAACACAAGCAGGTTTACAGGACTGGCCCCTTCTTCCATGTTCTTTGGCATATCTTTGTTATCTGTTTTTTTAAGAACTTGGACATGGTCCACAACGTGAATCGTCCTGGTGTGATCTGCTGGAGAAGATAGAGGATCTTCAAACTCATCTACCGCCATACCCTTCTTTGCTTTCGTCTTCTGGATTCCAGGATCACCGGATGACACATCTGGTTTGTCTACTTTGTCTTCTTCCATCAGAGTCACAGGGGCACCTTCACTAACATCTCCAAGTTTTTCTCCAGCTGAAACACCAGGGCTACCCTCCCTGCTTGGGGCTTTGACCATTTCAGAAACAAGCTGGCTGAAAGGACTGATACCCTGGCCTGCATCCCGTGCAAAGTCTTTGCCATCAGGTATTTCGGTCATTCGTATGTGGTCGACAATGAGGGTGTGCCTAGTCACTACCTGGTCAGTTGAGGGAGGTGTGACAGCCCTATCACTCGGAGTCGCGGCTTCTGGTTCCTTTCCCTTCTTTGGAGGTTCGGATTCTAGAGATGGCTCTTTGGCCTTGTCGGTTCTGTTACTGTCAAGTCTGCATATTGGAGTTACTTTGTCAGTATCTGTTGGCAACTTAGTGGCAGGGATGGTGAGAGTTTCTTCACGACTCAGTAGCTTTGGCGTGCGTGTCACATCTTCGTCTACTGAACCCTTGCCTTTGCTGATATCCTCAGGTAGACGTGTGGTGTCAGGCTTCTCAAGGAGGGGGACCACAAAGGAGGTATGCTTGTCTGCCACCTGATCAGTTGGAAGAGATGTGATGGTTTCTGCATCATCTGGAATCTTTCCTTTGGGTTTCTTTACCTTCATCTTCAGGAACACAGGTTCAGGCTCATCTTTTTCATCATCTTCCACCTTGCTGCCTGGAGTATGTTCTTGGATATCTGAAACCTGCACAGTGGAAGGTATGGTGGGAGTTCCTTGATGGCTTGGTACCTTTGACCCTCCTGCCAGAACTTCGTCGAATGGGCTGTTGTCACTGACAATCTCCTCAGGCACCTCAGGGTGCTGAACAGGGTCCTGAATAAGAATGTGCTTGGCAACCACCATATCAGTTGTGACAGGTGTGCCTCCCTCACCCCCTGGACTCTTTGCTTTGGGTTTCTTTATCTTCATCTTCAGGAATATGGGTTCCTGAGATAACTCTTCGGGCTTGTCCTTTACGATGCTGTCGGGAACGATTACTGGAGTCTCTCCTTGGGTATCTGTAGGCAGTGCAGCGGAGGGGGCACTGGAAGTTTTTTCATGGCTTGGTGCCTTTGATTTGCCTGCCAGAACTCGGTCAACTGGACTCTTTTCTGTGTCTATGTCCTCAGACAAATCCTTCATATCTAGTTTTTCAAGCACCAAGACTGAGTCCGTGATGTGAGTGTGCCTGGTGACCCCTTCACCAGTTTGAAGAGGTGTAAAGGCTTCCTCTACACCTGGAGCCTTTCCTTTTGGTTTCTTTCCCTTTTTCTTGAGAGATTCAGGTTTCTGAGAAGGTTCTTGGGGTTTCTTTGTTTTGTCAGAGTAAGCTGTGCTAACTGGAACTCCTACACGCATATTTGTGGGCAGCTCAGTGGCAGGAATAGTGGGAGTTTCCTTATGACCTGGTGCACTTGGCTCTTCCGACATAACTTGACCGAATGTGCTCCTTTCTTTAAAAACACTCTCAGGCTTTTCGAGCACCTGAACCGAGTCTTCGATGATTGTGTGCTTGGTGACAACCTTGTCGGTTGGCTCATCACCAGGAGTCTTTCCTTTTGGCTTCTTTTTATTTTTCTTGAGGGAGTCAGGTCTTTGAGATGGATCTTGGGGATTGCCCTTTGGATCTCTTTCAAACACGGTTACAGCAGTTGCTTCTAGCTCATCAACAGGCTGCTCACTAAGTGGTTCGTCAGAGCTCAGTACCTTTGGCTCTCCAGCCATAACTTGGTTTAGTGGACTTTTCTCTTGGTTACTACTCTCAGGTAGAGCCTTGACGTCAGGCTTTTCAAGCACCTGAATGGAGTCTACAATGAGTGTGTGCTTGGTAACAACCTGGTCAACTGAAAGAGGTGCAACTGATTCCACACTGTCCACACCCTTTCCTTTTGGCTTTTTTGTCTTTATCTTCAGGAATACGGGCTCTTCCGGGGACTCTTCAGGTTTGTCCATCACATGCTCTACTCGGTCTCTCAGATAGGTGGTCTTCTTGACAACATCCTGAAGGACCATACGATCGTACACTGGATGCGTGTCTTTCACATCCTGGGGTTCAGATGCCAGAGGTACAAGTGCTTCATCGTCACTGATAGGCATTGTCTTGCTTTTCCCGGGCTTCTGTTTCTTTTTCTCTGTCGGTGCCTCTTGGCTCACTACTTGGTCTTCCTCAGTGCGAGGACTTGGAGTTGCTTGTGGAGAGACTCCAGGCTGCTCGGGTCCTAGCTCCCAGTCCTCGAGTAGTTCCAGGGTAACAACCCTAGAATCTTTCAGAGGCACTGCCCTCTCAACCTGAAGAAGGGGGTGAAGATTGTTTGTGCCCGAAGCAGCCCCTGGCACATCAGAAGTCAGAGAACTGCTCACAAGAGTGGGGGCGTCCCTCTCAAGAGCAACCTCCTCATCCGCCTTTTTGGGTAGCATAGTCCCTTGAACCTCCTGTAACCCTGGTTCTGTTGGCTGTCCATGGTCTTTTTCTGGTTCTAAGCTAAACGACGTAACTTCGGTAGGTTCTTTATCACCTGCAAAGATTGTCTTGCGAGTTTCCTCAATAGAAGCCACTGTTGAAACTGTGTGCTTCGTGACTGGCCCTTCCCAAGATGGGAAGTTTACACCAGCTGACATGCTTGGAGTGGGCTCATCCACCTTGAAATGCCAAAGCAGACTGCTTTGATCAGTTACTGACAAGTCGACGTGATCTGCTGCGTCACCTTGTTCGAGTTCGCTCTTTGGTGTCTGCTCTGTTGTCGTCCCCAGAGGCAGAGCCTGAGGAGACATACTGTGTGGGTACCCCTTCCTACTAGGCTTCTCCAGGAGCTCTGGTGTGGAAGGGTCCTTGTTTGGTGTTTCTTGGGCAGTCAACTGAACCGTGGTCTCTTCTGGCAGCTTTCCTGACCCTTCGAAGAATTCCATGCTATAAGGAACAGTTGCACCAACTGGTGTAGCCATAGTAAGGTCCTGCGGAGTCTTTCTGGTCTTGTCGTCCGGAAACAGGTCTGTTGTAACCGTGCTAATCACAGTTCTGGAAAGATGCCACCCTGTTTCACTGTCTGCCAGCTTTTTCTCGCCTGGGACTGACCCATTTTCATGCTCTCCGGGAAAGAGCTGCTTGGGGTACTCTTTTGAAACAGACGCAAGATCGGGATCTTCGTCGGTCTCTCCTTCGACAGACGTGACAAGATGTGGTCCTTCCTTCACATGCTTCTTTTTCTTCTTCTTTTTCTTCAGTTTCCCGGCAACATCTTTTGATGCTGCACTGGGATGAGGAGCTTGTTCTTGGCCTTCCACGTCAGGATGGCCCTCGCTCTCGCTCGTCCTGGGGTGCCTGTCTGTGTCGCGGTTGCTGGTATGAAGGAGCTGCACCGCAATCTTCTTTCCTTTTTTAACGGCAGTCTTGATGCCTTTAAGGAAGCCACCGGTTTTTTCTTTGTCCAGTTTCTCTGTTCCGGACCCTGGGGTTGTCTCGCGGCTTGGCTCCTTAGTGTCCACTGAGAGCGTTGCTGGATCAGCCATCTGATCCGCCTGGTCTTCCAATTTCTTCTCTCCTTCTTGCTTGCAAATGGTTTCTTCCGGGGCGGCCCGAATGGGATCAACGTCTTTTTTGCCCTTCTTTTTCTTGCGTTCCGACGCTTTCCCTGGCTCTGTACTTTCTTGCAGACTGCTAGGCAAAAGGTCTTTCTCATGGCGTAGCCTGTCAAGGTCACGATCTTGACGCTGATGCTCTCCAGAAACCGGTTTACCCTCAGACTGTTTAGTCAGTGTTTCAGCAGGTGAAGAAGGCTCGAGCTTGCCAGTAAAGAAACTGGAATCGTCTGCTGACCGTAGGAAATCCAGACGTGAAACTTGCACGTCAACAAAGGCATCGTCGGGAACGGTTTGCGAATCGGAACTGGTAGACGTTATCTTATAGACAATGGTGGTGGCTACAGATTCGCCGTCCAGTTCTGATTCAGGTTGCATGCCCTGCTGCATCTCTGGGGTTGTTTCAGGCCTTTCGCCAACTCCCGTTTTTTGTTCAGGAGTTCCCGCAAGACCTTTAGCAAAGAGCAAACTGACATCGTACTGTTTTTCTGATGGACCGCTAACAAAGTGTTCGACATCTTCTTTAGACATGGTCTTCCCTCCCAAAGGTAATGCAAACTGCCGTTCGATTTGTTCGAAGACATCATCTGTGCCGTGGCCCGCATGTTTGTGTTTATGTTTCCGTACTGGCAATGCTGGCGGGGTGTCCACTGCTGTGAGGCGACCCGAGAAGGTTTCGAAAGAAGGCTCCCTCGGACTAGAGCCAATCGAGCCGAACACGCCACTCTCCTTGTCATCCGTCCCTTTCTTCTTCTTGCCCCGGGGAGGAGGCTCGACGGTTTCAAGGTCAGCGAGAGCCTTTGTATCGACTTCCTCCCCAGCCGGCACCTTCTCCCTGGTCGCTTCTTCCGTCTCTTGAACGTTTAATCTCTGTGCACCGTCTTTTTGACTAGTCTTTCCAATTCCGAAACCTCTGACTACCAATTCGTCATCGACGCCTTGGCGCCACGTCGAAACGTCGTTCCCAAACCTGTCTGCAACGGATGTAGAGGCCCCCCTCAGCCATTCCTGACCGACACCGATGGTGCCGGCACCGGCCCGGCCGATCGTCGCTTCTTCCTTTGAGAAGCTCTCTGCCTCCTCAAACTCCCCGGGAGATTCCTGGCCAAACTCCGCGAAGGAGGGGAGCTCGAACGAGTAGTGCACCACCTGGACCTTCTCCTGGAACTTGAGCTCGATGGTCTTGCTGACGTCCGAATCCTCCACGACTCTTGAAGAGACCAGGCTTAGTGGCTCGACGGCTGTTAGCGCCTCGTGTTCCACCACCTGAACCTCGGGTGGCTCCTCGCCGGACGGAGACAGTGTCCTCAGCTGCTGGTCGATGGTGGCATCCGACAGCATGCCAAGGTCCCCCGGAACCACTCCGTGGAGCTCCCCAACAGTGACAGGCACCTCGCGTACGGTGCCAACGATCTCTCTGGCACCTTCGAGCGAGGAGTCCCCCTCCGCAACCCCCCGTGCCGCCAGCACCGAGGGCGGTAGGGGCGACGGGCTACGTTCCTGCCGCCTCACCGTCCACATTGTCTCTAAACGGTCTTGTGGGCCGGTACCTTGATCAATTAATCCCTGATAGAACGGTGACTGCGACGCGGTTGGTTCCGTGGAGGGGCTCCCGCTCTCGGAGGACCGCCACTGCCAGGAAGCCCACGTGCGCGTACCGAGCAACCGCTCCACGTTTTCCATCGCGGACGCCAGTACGGCGTCTGTGCTGCTGTGCTCCCGTACCGACGTGACGACTCGCGTGCTTTCGGGAAGCCGCGAGGTGAACGTTTCCGCGAGCTGCCAGGGCTGTCCGTCCCGCAACCCCTGCCCCTCCTGCCGGCGCTCCACTGACCCTTTGCTGACCGTGGAGACGAGAACTGCCGACGTGCGTGCCACCTGCGAGGGAGCGACGCCGTCTGTCGCCTGGTGCCCCTCGACGCCCCGTGGACGAGACCGGTAGCCCGCGAAGTCCTGGGTGGCACCGTCCGTAAGGTCTGCTGGCCGGCCCGTTTCGCTTGCGTCGCCTTGCCCCTGAAAGTCAAAACACTAAGGCGTTAGAGAAACGCCCGCGCGTGCCGGCCACGCGCTGTGCGCTGTTGAGAGTGTGGCACGAGCGCCGAAGGAAGGGCAGAGAGGTGCCAGAGAGAGAGAGGGGCAGGTGGAAAGAAGAGACAGAAAGACCAGAAGGATGGTTTGGTGGTGCAGGTGCACAACTTTTGTATTGACACAGAAACGACGACAGTGACAGGTACACCGAGAGACGGACAGGTGGGACAGAAACAAAGTCATGCGGTAGTTCTCTCTCTCGCAAGAGGGCCGCTCATACATAGATTACAATAGAAATTTGAGGGGACCCTTCAGGGGTCCCCTTAAGGCCGTGGAACGGTCGCGTATGTCCAGTAAAGGCACCCTCATCAGCGCAAATGCGTCGGAAAAAAAAACATCACCATCTAAAAACATCAACCCAACGAGCAAAGAAACAAATGATTTGCCCAATAGCCAGGCCATTCCATGCTATTTCTACGGGTAAATCTGCACGCGGTGACTGCCTCCCCGGCGGGACCGCAGAGTCACGGTCCGCCGGGGTCACATCAAAGCCATTCTGGTCGACGACGCTACGAGCAGGTTATGCAAAAAACACGCACACACACTCGCCAAGAAAAAAAAGGACAACATGGCAGTTTCTCGGGACGAAAAATGGTAGTGTAGTCTAAAGCCAAGTCTTGAGATCTGCGGGTCTCGAAAAACACGCCCAAAAACAAGCGTTAGTTGCAACGAGCCCGACGATTAGGAGGGGAATGGGGGTGGGAAGGGGGTACGTCGGGCGGACTAGAGGGTCGGTTAGTGTCTGTCTCGAAACATCAGGCAGGACCGTTCGGCGGGCTCTTGGTTCAAACCGCTACGGCTGCAAACATGCGGAGGCGTTGTTCGAATCAAACCTTGGAGGTCGGGTCATTGCCACCCCCTTGCGCACTCGCCTCTTCGGGCAGCCCCCTTCGTTTTTTCTTTGCCTTTCGTCTGCCGCCCACCTCGTCGGCGGGGGGCTGCTCCGAGGAGCTACACTGCTGCCCTGCGCTCGCGTCGGGCGAACTCACTGCACCTCTCTCGCGACTCTCCGCACCATTCCCGGAAACAATGCCTTCCGCGCGCTCCGAGCACGGGGCGGGGCTACTCATGCGCGCCACTTGAGCGTAAGTCAGTCGCTTCGAGTCCGTCGTTGCCGTGGGAGACAACAGTTCCCCACTCGAACCGTTCAGCTGTCCGTCTTGGCAGCTGGGAGGCCGGTGGTCCTCCGCTTCCGTCGATGCACTCTCTTCGACTTCGACTTGGGACATAGTCTTCTCTTGTTGTGGTGGCCTGACAGGGCTCTGTTGCGTGGGTGGGCTTTCGCGGCTTGTCGACTCGACGGACCCACTGGGTTGGGGACTTGCCCTGCCGGACAGAATTTCGGCGTAGGTAGGTCTTGCAGCCGACCCTGACGTCTGCTCCAGAACCTCCCGTTTCTCCGCATTAGCAGGATGAGACCTCTTTTCGTCTGTCTTGGGCCGCTTCTGCTTGCTCGACCCAGCTTCTGACTGCGTCTCTGTCGCGACGCTTTCTTCGGCGGTGTGTCGGGCCGGCGGCGTCCCGACGGTCAACAGGACTTCTTCGGTGCCGTCTTGCTCCGAAGGCAGGACCTTGACAGAGCCCTTGGGCAGCTGGAGGAACGGTGAACCCTTCAGCGCCTGCTCGAGGTCTTGCCCCGGGCCGTATGGGGAAGAGGACGTCTGGCCTGGTTCGGGAGTGGCTTCTCTGGACGGGCGGGCACTGCCTCGGGGTGTTCGCACGTACGGCCGGTACGAGCCGTCCACCGTGAGGCGTACGGGGTGTTCGTCGGGCGACTGTCGCTGTCCGAGCTTGTGTATGCGGTCCTGCAGCTGTGCCATTTGCTGCCGGTACTTTTTGACCTCATCCTTAAGAGCCTAGGGGGGTGGGAGGAGAGTTCGATACCGGGGAAGAGAGAAACACCAGAGCTCGGTTATGCAACGCTGGCTACCACCTCTGGGCCTAGCGGGAATGCAAAAAAAAAAAAAAAGGAAAACGAGCGCTAGACTATGTCTACGACTGCAGCAAAAGGGAAGTTGGGAAGCGGGATTTTATTTTTCCACTAGCGGGGACTACTTGGCTTCTACAGGTTTCTAAAGGCTGGCCTTTACTAGCATGGCTTAAGGGCCTCGATTCACAGGGGCTGCCTGTGTGCACTGCGCTGAATATTTCCCAACGGCAGTCCTTAGGAAAACGAGCCGTGCGTACGATCATAACCGCGGCGCAGCCGGGCTATCGATCATGTTTCTGATAACCGATTTACGTACAGGTGCAACAATACTCTGGTTATAGCTGTTATAGACACGCCCGATCCACAACTCTCGTAGTGACCGTAACCCGAGCGCATGGTATCTGTAAATTGTCAAACTTGCATACAGCTGCTTTTAGAGACTCATTTTTTAGACCCTAATAGTAGGAGTAAAGATTTTTTTGTTTTTTTTTACAAAAACATTTTAATGAACAGCCGCTTTCGTCTACGTGGTGCATTGCGTGGACGCAGCACAACCACCTGCCACAAACCGCGAGGCTCGTTCTGCCTAGGAACGCCGTTCGGTGACATGTGGCATGTGCCGAACTGTGCAAATGTTTCCAGTGCATCCACAATTTCCCCCCCCCAAACCGACCGGGCGAAGGCACCCCTGAGCGAAGGCCTCCCCCCGCCCACAGAGAGCCGAGCACACACCTCTTGGAGCTTGAGGTTCTGCGCCCTCTCTTCGGGGGTGGTGCCGAGAGCACCCAGTGCCAGCTTGAGCCTGTGCTCCGACTGGGACAGGAGCTGGCGAAGGTGGAGCAAGTCCTGGCTGTACTGCTCTTCCTGCACAAACAGGCACACCAGGGAACAGTGAGCAAGGGTGAAAAGAAAGTTGCATAGACAGCCATCGCAGAAACAATGTACAGTATAGACCACTTACAACGTAACCGCTTATAGTGCAGGACCGGGTATAGCGCGGCCTTTTTAAACCACCGGTTCGCCTCCCATAGAACTCCATGTAATTACATACCGCTTAAAATGCAGGCGCGCGAAGGGAAATACCGGTTATAGTGCGGTTTCTGGAACAGCGCGCCGAGCGTGACGATTGCGCCGATTGACCGGCCAGCCAGCATGCTTCCCTGTGCGACACTAGATAACGGCGGTAGCCTGGCTAGCCGCAAGCGGCACTCGCGGGGCAAAGAGGTTGCTCGAAGTCGTGGCTCCAAGAAGCGGAGGGAAGTGAAGAGAGAGGCTTCAGTTGCCATACCAACGGAGGGACGCACGCACGTGTCGTTCACGTGCGTGCGTCCCTCCGCTGCGTTGGCGTTGAAAACAACCGCAATGACAGACCAATCGCAGGTCGAGGAGAAGTGTTAGCGCGCGTTGCATGCCGGTCGCGGGCCGGCTTCTATCCGCAAACATGGCGTCGGTTGCGATCGTTCCGCGTAAAAGCGCTATCCTTGACTGTGAATTTTCGTTGTGTGCCGCTATGATAACCCAGCACGTACTAGAAGGGAAGATCCACCTACTCGTGCGGCGATGTCGTGGCGGCACTCTCAAGACGGCAGAAACGCCCGTGTCGACGTGTTTGTTTACTTCGACTACACTGGTGCTTTCTAAGCATTTGTGTTTTCGAACATCGCCCGGATTTCTTATTTGGAGCATTTCACGCCTGTGCTAAAGCTGAAGGTATTACTGGCGCGTACCGTATAAAGGATGCGAATCTTCACGCGTCTTCATCACCGGAGAAAAGTGATTATGGTTAGCAATCCTGAACGCTCGCAACGTCCGTCCGCAACCAGCGGCGCCGTTAAAAGGCTGCGCCAGGCAAAAGTCGCTCATTTCTTTCAAAATTGACACACTTAAAAAAGAAGTGTACTAGTCTGGTGAAATAAAGACTCCTCTTCGTCTAACATAAAATAAAGTGTTTTACAAAGGTAAGTTGTCTCATGGCATGTATTTTGGCCTGAAAAATTGATGTTTCGATTATTACGCGGTACCGCTTATAATGCGGACTCTCGCGACTCCCGCGACATACGTTATATGCGGTCTACACTGCACAATATATTAGTAGTATTAATATATTAGTATTGCCGCTAATAACTTTTTAAACAATATATTGATCACGTATGGTCATGTCTCAATAATATGTGCGGCGACTCGGTGTCGTGAGTGGCAACATTGTCGAGAACAACGAAAAAAGGCGGTGGCGACGACAGCCGCAGCAGCACCTCCAACGATCGCCACACTGTGTTTGCGTGTGGTGAAATTGCGTAACCACCACAGTAACCACCCTAAGGCCGAAAGACTTGCGGAACATTAAAAGCATCTCAATATAATGTTTGTATTTCAAAACACCTTTTGCTTATGATGGCCATACAAAGCTACTGCATTTAAACATGTTTGGCAGAATGACCAAGCATGCAGCCAATTTTTTTTGTCTATACAGTCCCTGACCGATTTTTAGACTCCACAAATTTGGACTTGCTCGTTACTTCGGACATCAACAAGGAACCGTGACTTACCCAATTGAAATGGTACATATTAACATCAGCCTTTTGGACAGTTTGAAGTCCGAAAGTTAGATTTTTCTAAGTAAAATAGCTACAAGTGGCGGCCGCCAAGAGGCTGCCATCTTGGATTTTTCGCTGGCTTGACCGCGGGGTTGGCTCGATGCTTCAAATGAATTGGATAGGTTTGGCAGCACTATTTTAGCACTGCTGAACCAGGCGCTAGGCCTGCTATGCAATGCATTTTGTTTCTGCTACACATCATCATCATCATCGTCTTGGTTTCTTTGTTTGGTAGATTTTCCATCTCCTTTTGTTCTGTTCTCGTGCCAGTCACCATCCATGAAGTGTGGAGTGCACTGTTAACAGCTTCTAAACTTTGCATCTAAATGCGTCACAGTTTCGTCAAAAATAAATGTACTAAACCAAAGTTGCTCGTCAGCTGTTTTGTCCCGTTCCGAGCTTCGCCATCACAAGCTTCTATTGAAAAAGCGCTGGCCACAAAGGCTCTATTGTGGGAGCCGCTGGAGAGCGGAGCTAGCCTGACCTGTGCAAGGCACGCGGACAGCTCCTGGCAGCGGGTGTCCAGGCCGGCCTGCAGAGTGGACAGCTGCTGGGAGAGCTCTTGGCAGCTGCGCACCATGGCGTTCTGGTCGGGCACCCACGAGGACCACCCCCGCAGGTGCACCCTCAGCTTCTCCAGGGACATGGCCATCTTGGTCTGCTGACTGGACAGGTCCGCCAGCATTTTCTGCGAGGAACCGAGCCGTCACCTTGGGCCGCTTCTTGGCGCGACGGCGGGTTGGAACCGGAAGGGCGACTTCATAAGGGTGGCGAGAATTACATGAAGGTAAAATGTTGTGGTTTCTTTACTTGCCGAGCCAACAAAAGGAACCTAGGATGCTCCAGCGGAGGACAGAGGAATCATTTTGACCACCTGGGGATCTTTTGACATGCAACGAAAATCTCGGTTGCAATAAGCCTTCGTGAGATTGCGGGCATCTCGGCTGGGATTCGAATTCGAGAACCGTTGGCCGGTGCTTTGCCTCGGAGCCATCGAGGCTGCTAACAAGAGCTACACACAGAAATACAATATAATAAAGTTAAAAAAGATAGTTGAGATAACAGCTACACATCTAAAATGGTTATATAATAGAATTTTTCAGTTTTCTCAATACTGTTGTTAGTGAATTGCACTGTACATAATGGATATTCACTCTATGGCAAACTCGGCTCATTCCCAAGGTTATATTAGTCTACAGCTTTTCGTTTGTCACAGGGAACCACTGCCACAAACTGAACACTGTAACGTCATCGGCGTGGTGACGCCACGCTGATGACGTTCGGTGTTTACCTGATGTTATCACCGTGACAGTCGTCATGCGACACCATGACGTGATGATGTCACGTGACACCTTGATATTGTGACGTCATGTCAGAGGACCACAGGATGTCACATGACATTACATGAGCACATTATGTCATGCGATACTGTGACATCATGTGACATTGCTCTGTCGCACGACACCACACATCGTGTGACATGGTGATGTTAGGTAAGACCATGAGGGGATCTATAAATGCTACGCGTTTAGAGTGCCTCTGGAATATATCAAAGAGACAGGCAAATCTTTTTATGCCACCCTGTGTGGTTCAAGAGGCGTGGAAACGTCAAATGGTCTACAATGCAAGGCCCAGCGACAGATACTAGGAGAAACGGAAAGGGAAAGGTGTCGTGCCCACCTCTCTGAGTGCGAGCTGGTCCCTGAGGCTCTTCCTGCGCAGCTGGGGGGCCTCTAGGGAGGAGCGTGCCCTCTCCAGCCAGGCCTGGCAGTCCCTGGCCTTGCGCTCGCACTGTTCCCACTCCTCGACAAGCTCCATGAGTAGGGCCTGTTCCTGGACCAGGCGTCCCTCCAGGCCCCGCTGGCCCTCTTCTGCCTGGTCCAGCCTCTCCAACAGGGGCCCCACGTGGCAGGACTGGCCGATGCGCTGAACCAGGGCACCCATCTCCGTCAGCTGGCCCTGGCCGCTGGGCAGGTCTCGGGTCGCCTCCTGCGAGCGGGGATCCGGGCGTGTGAGAAGAATCGGTGGTTTCTCACCACGTTCCGCCGATGAACTGCGGCGACGGCCGCGGCGCTGCGCACCGAGCTGCACACGCACGATTACACTGCCATTTATCGGACAGTGTTGACGTGATATTGTAATGTCATGCGACACAATGCCGTCACATGACATGATCACGTGATGTTAGGCAACACTAAAATCCCACTGAATCTAGCGGAGAAACTTTGCGAAAATCACGGGACCATGCATGAGGACGGAGTAAGCACACCAGCCAGAGACATTATAGACGTCATAGACACGATTATATTGAGAAAAAACTAAACAACGAAGGTCAACGGTTAACCCACACAAAAAAGAGAGGGGGGCACAAAGAAATGGCGACGCACCTGACATTGAGACAAGCACTGCCTTGCCACGGCCAGCGTGTTCAGGGGTTGTCGCTTTGCCAGCACCGCCTCCTTGCGTTCTAGCCAGGCCTTGTGAGCTTCGTGTAGCTCGAGGAACCGTGCCCAGGCTTCCAAGGAGTCCTCCACCTCGGAGAGGCGCTCCTGGATCCACGAGTCAACCTGCATCCGACGGAGGAGAAAGGGGCCCTCTTTAAATTGCGTGTCGCACCAATTGTAAGGACCACGACACAGTTGGCTCGGACACAGAAGTACACGGTGTCCCCCCAAAATATTTACAGTGTTTTTTTCAACGCAAAATTAAACCATGCATCGACAAACTCTCGCTCTCCACTGAAATGTAGCACTGGCAGTTTGAACCAGATGCCAAAGTTTCAGAAATAACTGTTATTTATTCAAAAGTTATAAGAGATTTTCTTAAATTTTCAATGGGAAAATGGCGGCAGACTGGGCTTTAAATACATGGAGCTGAATGGTGCCAGTTATCAAAAACTCTACATTTTTTCATTGAAATTTTTAGAAAAAACTTACAACCTTTGAATGAAAAATTGGCTGGAGAAACCACTATTGATATGAACTCAAAATCAACCACTTCCAGATACAACTGCTTTCAACCCCTTGTAACTGCTGCCGTGAGTGGCTGGTACAGTTTCGGTTGCACATTTTACCTAAGACAATTAGAAACGATTTGATAGAACACGAAACAATTTTTTCCCCAAGTAACGTAACTGCTCACTGTAAAAGCTTCGCGATAATCTAAAATAAAGCCGAGTCTCAGAAATTCTGTCGAAATGTACAAAACAACTTCACCAGTTGCCTGCCCACCATCAGCTGCTCCGCACGGCAGCCACCTCTAGATCGTGCTGCATGACGTGCACCTCGTGGCTTCAAAAACCCGTCCAAACCTTCCCACAAGCCGTGCAATGCCGCCTCACCTGCTGAAGTTGATCTCCGAGGGAAGCCACGGTGACACGGACTCCCTGAGCTTGTTCGCTGTCGCCCAGGCATTCCGCCAGCAGCTGCCCGCTCTGCACCACCCGGCGATCGGCGTCGCGACGCACCGCTGGCAACTCGGACGACAGGGCCTGGTGACCGAGAGAAATATGTCCGACCCTCAGACCACTCGTCGGAAGCAGTTACGAATCTAGGGAGGGTGCAAAAGCATATAAAGTAAATCTTTCCGAAAGACAGAATGTTATCCCGTTTTAATTGTGCCTCGTTCGTGATGCCAAAGACAAATGTGCCTTCTGAAGTTTACGAGTGCTTTCGCCGCACACATTCACTTATTTACTTAAGCGGCCGTCTGCTTCGCATGTCGGCAGAACATACCAGCAAAAGAGTGGGAAAGACAACTGGAAACGTGCACTGAGTGACGTACACGGGAAACAAAAAACGGGTGGCAACATGTCACAATGCCACGCGGAAAAGATGACAGTCTCAACAAGCGATTATATCAGAGGAACTTCGGTGGACCAGACCAAATTGCTCCACTCATCAAAACGCAAGAAGACCACCATGAAAATGGGGAAAACGAAACAAATACTCCGCAAATTTCTGCACGTTTGTAAATTTCGACCTCGTTGAGCCCGACTAAAAAGATTCCTCGGGGCGTGTTCGAAGCAAACTAGGACCGTCAAATTCCGTGAATGGCTTCCACTATCTCCACGTAACTTTGTCACGTAAGTGGGGCGGCACCAACTTGGCAATTGGACTCGAGCCTGACGCAGCAGTACATTCTCCGATTTGTTGACTGAACGCGGGGACCAGCCAGATGCCAGTGCAGCAATCTTTGTCTGCATAGTCTTTCTAGCTGCGACAACATCGGAATTCTAGCGCACAAGCTTTGATTATTCTACAGTCTGTTGCAGGTTAAGAACAGCTCTTTTCCTAATTGGTGGTTTTCTCCTCCCTGGCGTTTGCCTCACTAAAGTAGAATGGGTAGAGCGCTTGTCCTGCTTTTCTTAACCTCCAACGGACTATTTACTCCTTCCCGTGCAAGGTGAAATACGGTGGCACCAGTGTGCAAACAGTCCGCTTTTGGTTCTGAACTACTGTAAAATGCCGGGGGACCCCACTTTTCCTGAAAACCGGATTAGTCTAGACATGGTTGCTTGTCCGGTCAAATTGGGTACCTAATGCATAATTTGAAAAATTTCCAAGTTTGGAAATGGGTGCTTCGGCGGTATTATACGGTAGGTTGTTAGTTTCGCCGTATTTGGGAGAGCAAGTATATCCGGTATCTCCGGGAAATGGCCACTTATAGCACCGTCGGACGTAATTCACTCAGAGACACTGACACCACCCAAAACCTTTTTTTTAATGTTTTGCCAGCCAATTTATTATGGTGTCGGAACACTACCCAATCAATATTTTGCTACAGTGTCACATATATTTTTAATAAAATCAAGAAATGTAACTGCTCAGAACTGAAACTGGACTGGTGAGGAAGGAATATAGAGGCGGGGAAAGTTTTAAAAACCGCGTAACTGTGCAACTTCTTTTTTTTTTTTTTTTTTTTTTTTTTCAGTCCACGTATTTGCAGTTTTTTAGAAGCCACAAAAATCAATATATTTTTTTTTTCTATCTTTAATATTGAGTGTGTGCCTTCAATGACCCACGACTTTGATTATCTTTGGTGGTTCTGTCTAAGCCATAGAACAGGCGTTCTCAAACTTTCTAGGGGCGAAGCTCCTTAGGGTCTAGCCTTGTCCGTACAGCGTCCATGCTCACATCGATCCTGCTGGTGCTCCTGCTCGTAATCGTGCTCGTGAGCTCACGTGCTCGTGTAGAGCAAAAAAAAAAAAAAGAAAAGAAAAAAAAAATGTTTTGTGCAGTCGACAGGATTTGAACCTGTGCGGGGGAGTCCCCAATGGATTTCTAGTCCATCGCCTTAACCACTCGGCCACAACTGCAGGACAAGTAGGGGGCTCTGAGATATGGTAGTAACTCAAGAGCTGGGGATGTCATGGATGAAACGTTGCATGTAGCCGCTCAACATCTATACAGGAGAGGGCGCTGCGGTCAAATGCGTATATAATCGCGTTAAACTTTGCATGCATTGGCTCAACGTTTATAGACGAGAGTGCGCTGCGGTCAAATGCTCCAATGCATATATAACCCATGTTCCATACCACACATTCTCTTTCTGACATGGATGAAAATGAACGAAAGGCTCGGCATGCTGCGGCTCAGCGTCTACGCAGACAAGCACCACCAGAGCTTCGCCCCAATCAACATCATTCACCACGTGGAGATGCGGTCAATTTTATTTTATTTTTTTTTTGTCTCGTGTTTGGCTGATATTGTGCAAGTGTATATTCACCTGTGAGCTTGTGTTTTCGCTTATTTGTACATTGTGTACGCAAGTACCATGTCATCTTATACGCAAATGTACTGTCCCCCCCCCTCTGTCGCTGCGGGGTAAACTGAAATAAATAAATAAATAGAAAAAAAACACGATTTGACTGGACAGTCCCTTTTAAGGAATAGCTTGGCACGCAGAATATGTAAGTTTCATACATCAGTTTATTTACTTAAGTGTAAGTTTTAAATGCAAGAAGAACGGTGCTCTGTGAACCAGCCTTTATGGCAAAAGAATAATGCGTAAAAAACTAGGAAATATACGCGGATCGGAAGTGTGCCGGGGCTACCCAACAGATGGTGTCAGCGAGCTTGTTGCCAAGCAAAAAAGGGAGAATAGGTAGTGGTGGTGCATGCTGGCACAAGGATAACAGCAAGGACTGAGGTGACAAACCAACATTGTTCACTCACCATTAAGGACTCCTTGGTGTGTTCCGGGGACGACCCTTTCCTCTGCAGCACGTCCTGTGCCTTGCGCAGCCACTCCACCAGGGCCTTAACCCCGAGGCAGTAGTCCGAGCGTGCCGTCCGCGCCTTCTTGTACTCCCGTTCCTTGCCCTCCAGGGCCGCCAGCACGCTCTCCGACAGGAGTTCCACCGAGGCCAGGGCCTGCCCGACTGCCTCGGGAACTCCGTGCGGCTTGTCTCCATAGCGCTCGTGGGCCGAGCGAGAGGTTGCCTGGAGCTCGCGGTCCAGCCCGCTCAGGCGATCCCGCAGCTCCTACGTGAATCGATGACCAGTTTGCTAATCCGGAAACCCTTCCACCGCTGTTGTTTTTTTAATTTTTAACGTGAAACTTTTTTTGGCTAGGCGTTCAGCATTTCCTGACGTGCCAAAAGTGAAGCCTAGATAAAAGCGTGGCCGCGAGGCACGGCACTGATTGGCTGACGAGCGGGACAGGAGTAAGGTGCCCGGCGTCAATGGGTTAACGGGGAGGTCATGTGACCAGAGAGGCAGGTAGGCGAGGAGGAGCTAACCACCTGTGTGCACTAAAGAGAAGAGCTCTAGAGTATAGAAGGCTCTGAAAGATTGCCAGGTTTATCAGCCGGATAAGCCGTAGTATTGTTTCACTCTTGGAAAAATGGTAAGCGTTAAACTATCTGATGAAAAGCGCTGTGAACGTAGGCATCTAGAAACTCAGAGTACCACTAAACGTTTGTGATGCTAGAAGGTTTCATGTATGTCACACAATTGCCTAGCAATTTGCCATACATTTTTTATGCACAAATGCTGCAGGCAGCAGTGCTGCCCAAGCAGGGGAGGACTATACTACAATAGGCGAGATAGAAAAAGGTTTTAAAATTTTTCGGCATTCAGGCATTCAACGAGCACTGATGGTGAGTGGTTCTACTGTTCGAAGGCATTAAAAAAAAATTATTTTTGGGACAACTTACTTTGTGCAAAGTATGGCCACATAACTTTACAGTGATTTAATCTTGGTGATCTATGCGGCGCAGTAAATAGGTACATATAACTTGGAAGGCCAAATGTGTTGTGAAAGAGTAAGTAAAAGAACTTCAGCTTGGCGATTTGCTGGCGAAGTTGGAGCGACTCCAGTTCCATCCGCTTTAACATATTAGTTACTGACGATGAAGAGCGATAGGCTGACGAGATGGACCTAGCAAAGGCAATAGATCCGCCCAGCTCTGCAATACCTTTGGTAAAATAAGGATCCCGCCATCTTTTGTTCTTCGAGTCACGAGTCGAGCGTGTCACTTAGAAACAACAGTTTCTACTGGAATTCGTTATTTGAAACACCAAAAATATATTGACTCCTCTTTTACTCTACCCAGTATGTGGGTGTATGCACACAGAGGGACTTTTAAGAAATTGCGCACTTAAAGTATTGGGTCTAGGGAGAAAAAAAAAAACACACTTCATTTACCGCAGAAATAAACCTTGCATCGTAAAACACTCAGTCTCCACCCAAACATAGCATTAGCGGTCTAGACCAGATGCCAAAGTTTTGAACAAACCTTCATCAACTCGAGTGCTATCAACAATTTTCTAAACTTTTCTATGAGAAAATGGGGTGCGTTCCTGAGAGTGCTCGCCAGTCGTTTTCGCGTGTTTTCGGTCGCCATTTCCTCGTCGAAAATTTCAGAAAATCATTTATAACTTTTGATTTAGATAACGATAAGCCTCGAAACTTTGGCCTCTAGTCCAAACAGCTAGCACCACATTTGGGCTGAGACTGAGCGTTTGGCGATGCGCAGTTTATTTTTGCGACGAGCATAAAACACTGTTCTCATTTCTCCCAGACACCAATTATATTTCAAGCCTGTACTGCAATATATACAAGCTGGGTGGGGAGACACTAGCCAATTTAAGATGACCAATTCATTAAATGCTAACTGATATTAAAAAAAAAAATTTTTTCTAATGTTGTACGGTTTTTAAGAAAATTTTTTAGTAGCACGTCATTGTGAGTGAAAAAACGGCGGATAAACTGTCTCCGCGGGATCGTGACCAGATCCCTTCATGTTTGAAGAGTGAAAACATACTGTCCTAGTGCAGCGGTGGTGGCGGCACGCTCACGCTTGACATGCTACCCTTCATACGAACACGATTCGAAATCGGTACAAAAAAAAATTAACGACAGCTGTGTCGATCGCAGAAGGTAGAGGAATGCAACAATGCTGTGTTGGGAAACGCTCCCCTTGATTTTCTTTGCAGGACAATGATTGATGACATGTATTGCTACGCCTGCAACGCCTGGTTAACAATGTGGGCAGATACAGAGAAATTCAGCGTACTACAGCAATTATTCCCACGAACATCCGAACGGAGCACCTCTCACTTTGTGTAAATCTATTCCTTTGTAATAACATTATAGCCATATAAAATCAGATTGCGACTTCCCATCCACCGTATATAGTACTTTCAATATCTGAAGTATATACTTTAAGTTTTAGGGTACCTTTTTGTTCTGGTAGTGCACTGCATGCGCATGTGAGCTCCTCTACTGCCAATGACCCAGCCTAGCCATTGGGGTATACACTCAACAAGTATACCTTGAATAGTATGCTACATTAGTAAACTTGAAATATATGTATGTTAGATATAACATTCCAAAGTATTCTTTTTTTTGTTTCATAAACAGGCACAATCAGTATGCTTTTAGTGTGTTGATTTTTTACTATTTGAATACTTCCGAGCCCCTTGAAGATCAACGAAAGTGCAGTGCCACAAAAAAAGAGCACCCTAAAAAAATAAATACTGAAATGTAACAAAACGTCAGGGACCATAATGAAACAAGACTACTAATCTAAACTAGAGACAAAGTTATATATATTCAAATAAAGCTTCTGAGAGTCCATTTAAATCCAAAATTATAAAAAAAAATTTTTTTTTTTTTTTTGAAAGCACACTTTTTTTTGGTCTAAAGTTGAGGCCTGGCAAGTATGTTTGTCACTTGAAGGAAAAAGGCAAGTCTTGTGCATAACACTTCATAGGCTGTGCAAAGTAATTCTTACAAAATATGGTTGTTACAATAAACAACATTCTTTTGCATTTGGAATGTGTATGCTTGGACAGAATAACTGATCTTAAATGCAAAGACAAGTATCTTATTAATTCACCACATAATGGTTCTCGAGGAAAAAAAAAAGTATGCTTTGCTGATCAGTTATTGTGAACAGAAAACACAGTAACGTCTTTGAACACCGCACCAAAGATACCCTGCAAGCCAGCAAAGAGCGAAAATTTATTTAGTTCTTCCGAACATCATGCCATTTGTCAGTACATGCAGGCATCGAATACCGACACACCTGCTGGGACAGCCTGTGCTCCTCTACTCTTTGTTAAAAATTGTTTACTTTTGCACTTCTACACTTTTTGTGACAGCCAGATGGTGAAGCTTCCAATGAATGTATCCCATTATTTCTAAAAACACAGAATCAAAATGAAGTAACCGAGTACCACATTGCAAAGGCTACACTTGTGTGTCGTCAACGTTTCCACCCCTACTGTAATTGTTTATTAAAACTTTGGAGATGGTAAAATTTGCTCTAAGCATATTAAAAATAGTTATAACCCTGATTTTATGCAGCAATTCACAGATGCGTTTTGGAATATTTTCTCTATTTACATTAGTAGACAAACCTAAATGAGATATTAATGGTGTCAACATACAGAGACCAGCAACAAGATTAACAAGATAACAAGTAAAAAATATAAGTAAATGCACAAAAAAAAGTTATATTTTTTTAAGTTATTACTATGTAATAAATATGTAGGTATGAATGAGATGACATGAAAATCTTTGCAAATGGGCCACAAAGGCCAATTTCAGTCATTTTTGTTTGTTCATATAACTGCAACAGTGTAATGTACCTGTGTAAAACTCTATGAATGTATGCTAGTTTGAATGTTCAAACATCAAAAGGAAGAACAAGCGTACAGACGCAGAATGGTGCTGGCTGAAGTGCAGATAACAACTACTTAAAGTACAAAGCAAATAGTAGATTGGGAACTTCAAGTAAAGTAGAAAGTGCATTGATTAAAACAAACTTCAAGTAACATTACCCGGATAAAAAGTTTAAATTGAAATACAAATATAATTATCAGAAATACCCTCTAATTTCTGCCAAACATCAACGCAATAAAAATTGATGGCATAACCTGGCAAAAAAGCAAAACATCACGAACGGTTCCTTTGGCACAGTTAATAATTTAAATCTATACTCGGGAAGCTGACCGCCATACCTTGCTTGGAAAGCACCAGAAACATGCACTCAAAGTAAGCATCCTAGAACAATACTTAGAAGTACGCTACAACTGCTCGAAGCATAATCAAACTTAAAATACTGAGCATCCACTGATTCCACAATAAGCGCCTGCCCCTCAATTTTGTAACATTCGGGAAAATACACAAAAGACATATCTTCATATATTGTTAACATAAGAAGCATCTATCTTCCAGTTCAACATGATTATCTCCAAATTTTGAGTGATGCGCTTGCTCAAGATTTTACGGTAAGTCCACTACTTTGGCCACTACAGCCACAGACAGAACGAGAACAACAGGGAGGAGTTTCAGTTGTCCCGCCTCCAGCGTGCGCTCCCTACCATCGGTGGTGCTTCGGCGTCTAATAAGCCTGGAGCGTGCACATGCAGCCAAAGCACGGTGAAAGGCAAGGAGCGCGTGCTGGGGGCCGAGCACTCAAAAGAGATGCCCCGTCGACCTCACGCCGTCAGTGACTATACTTCACAAGAACGCCGTGTGGGCGTCGTTTGCACACCCTCTACCCTCACAAAGGAACGTACGGCGCGTCTCTCCACGGCAGCGGCACCACGCAGATATGTGACCCACCTGCAGGTTCCTCTCCACCTCTTCTTCATCGTCTGCACACGTGGGCGCAGAGGCGATGTCCCTGTTCATCTTGAGCAGGGCATCCCTCAGGGAGGCGACCTTCTCCTCAAGGGCAGCCTGGGCTGCCCTCTCTTCTCGCACTCCCTCGAGCTGCTGCTCCACCGACTTCTTCAACCTGCACAGACAGACAGGCACGTGGCATTACTCGCGTTGTCTTAGAATGTGCCGTAGCGCGGCACGGACCAATGACTGAACCAAGCTAGTATTGGGAAGGTAGGACAGACAGACAAAAGTACAGACACACGGGTGAATTCTAACAGAAATTGCTCGCCTTGGTTCACACCTAAGCTGCCAGAGTAGTTAAAGGCAATGGCTCATTGCATTACAGTAATATCTCGAGAGATAGCCCACCTAAAATCGAGAGCAAATCGGGTGAAAATGAGGAGTGGGCCGCTTTTAATGTAGAAAACAAGTAAAAAAAAAAAAAAAACACACTATTTCTAGGTTATGTTTCTCTCACAAGCTTGTGATCACAACGAGTAATAATAAAGTGTAGAGGACTGTAACTCCCAGTCAGCAATGTTCGTTCATATCCTGCCATAGCTAACTAGCCGCATTTACGCCGAGGTCGTCATTGGTTCGAACACTATGACCACTAGGGGTGGGCTATCTTTCGGTGTTTAAAAGAAAATAGCAAATCAAGCCGAAAATAGGGGTGGGCTATCTTTCGAGGGTGGGGCATCTCTTAGGATATTACGATAGTTATACGTCCATCTTTTGCCCAAGGTCGAGCTCCAGCCCAGACCCACACACAGAGGGCGGCGTCGGGCGATGGAAAGGAGGTGCTTGATTGGCTCGGTGAGCGTTGAGAGCCACTATATAGCCTACACTTCAGAGTAATGACACTTTAGCCATCTTTGTGCCTAAAATCATTGTTGCCAGTCGTCCGAAGCTTTACCCGAGGTTGCAGAGAACACTTTTCCGTCCTCCAGAATTGCTGGAGATATCCGCGATGAAGCGAAACGTCAATGCCCGAGCTTTCCGATGCCGTACCTAAAGCTCAAAGAGATGCGTTTTCGAATCGTAATGACGACCAATCGCAACCGCTCTGCGCTAGGCACCAAAATGGCGGCTCAAATGCGAGAAAACTGGGGAACGAGGGGCAGATTCTCCAAGCGCAGCTCGACTAGGGGCTCTAGCTCTCGCCACCTTGTCGGCTCGGGGGTGTGCGAAGTTTAGCGAGACTGGTTTGTTGGAACTACAGAATGTACCAAAACAAAAGCTCCAGTGTTTTTTTTTATTGCAAAAATAAACTACACATTGCCGAAAGTTGTAGAGCTAACAGTTATCGTATTCGCAAATGATCAGTGATCTTGTGAAATTTTCCTTGAGAAAATGGCGGCCGACGGAGCTCTCGAACACATGGACAAAAGAGGGCAAAAACGGGCCACATTTTCTTAATAAAAATGTTCAGAAAGTCAATAATAACTTTTGAGTGGGATAACAGTTAGGTTTGCAACTTTGACATCTGGTTAGACTGCTAGCACTATATTAGGGCACAGAATGAGCAATCGGCAATGCATAGTTTACTTTTGCGGTGACAAAACATAAATTCTTTTGGGACATGCTGTATACGTTACAAGTAGAATATACGGCGAAAAACAACCTCTAAGTGCCTGGTTGCACGCCACAAAATAAACCTTCCAAGACAAGGTTTTTCGTGCAATATAATGCCGCGAGAAACGTTCTGAGTTGGGAGGTCGAGTTTATGTTGTTTCATTCATTGTAAAATATTTTTCTCGGTGCTCTTTTTCTAAGTGAAATACCAAATAGTCCATGTTTCAACCTTAAATGTAACATACAAAAAGCTTAGGAATACCACTTTAAGGGCCTAAACCAAGAATTTATATTTTAAAAGATTCTTTTACAACAAACATACAGCAAAAAAATCCAAACAAGACAAAATGTTTTCAAGCACTTGAAAGGAAAAATGACAAACTACACCAAAGGGAAAATCAGAAACAAATCAATCGACACAATGTTGTCTCTAATTTGGCTATACGCCCAATTAGACAGACGGATGACAATCCACCACGCGATTGCCACATTCAATTGCCCTTTGAAAGAATGGCAGGAAGAGGATGTCGCATATGTAAGCGGTGTTGTAATAAACATGCGGAGCTGACGACGTCAAAGAGAGAAAAAAAAGCGTCTAGACAATGTCAAAATTACGAGCATTCATGAATCGTGAGCTAAAAAGACGTGTTCAGACATACTCCCAGTGTTTGCGAAATAGAAACGTGGTGTCTAGGCACCTGCTACGCTAAGGTATTTGCCGACACAAAGATATTATATCATACTGAGGTATAAAGTTGAATCATCAGCTTAAATATGAAGCACCTAGAGATAGAGAAATACTAATAAAACTGAACGAACATGAACGTTTTCGTCCAGATCATCAGGCTACAGATTATCGCTATAGCACTACAAATCATTATCAGAGCTGCATGCCTCCCAGTCATAGATTCAATGCATTGCATCGCAATATATGGACAGGGGTGGAACTCACGAAATGTACTTTGGAGCAGCCACGGGAGCAGCTGAAACAGCTGTTTTGGAGCAGGTTGGGAGCAGCTAAAACTACATTTCGGAGCAGGTTAGGAGCAGCTCAGATTAGTTTTCATTGCATTTCAGCTGGAGTTTTAGTCAAGCACGGGAGCAATTTCAATTGTGCTTAGCAGCACATATGAACACGAGTGCACGGTTAGGGACCTCGTTAGATCGGATGACATTGTGAAGGATGCGAAAACTTGAAACTGTGTGAGCCTTAATGAGAACCAACAGGGAATAACCACATGTTTCTGAAGATAGCGCCCTTGATATCTTCTGACTGGCTTTCAGCAGCTCAGAATGCAAAGCAGCATTGCTTATCGCAAAACCCACACGTGCTCGACATAGTAATTATACGTGTGAACCACGTGACGTGCTTAAGCAACGGGCGTGCAGGTGCGCGAAGGAACAGGTAAACAAATTTTGAGTTTATCCTATTGGGCAACTCAATATCGAAGCAGCAGACTACGATTAACGGAGTTATCGTATTCGAAGCAATAAGGAACAAGGTTAAAGTACGCCGAGCAGATCTACCGCTTGCGTGAGAGCTGCTGGCCGGCAAGGTTTCGGATTGGGCCGCGTTTCAGAAGTTATCAAATCACGATTTTTCTTGCGGGAATGCGGTTCCAGTGTCTGACAATGAAGTACTAAAAGGAATCTTTTGCCCATTTGTTTTTAACTGGCTGACGTCCGGATCCCGGGCCGCAGAGCCCGAGGCAATCTGACGCTTAACGGCTCGACCTCACTTCGGCCGACTTGCTTAGCCGCTTATGGTTGAAGAGTAGTAGCAGGTGATGTAGTGCTTGAAATCAGACCTCCGATTTCTTTCGCGCGCTTCAAGTTTCGGGGTACACAGGGAGAATAAAGAGATAAAATTATTGCAAGGTCGACCCAGCTAAACGCGCTCATTGTTGCCAATCGAGTCGATAGAAACCGAAACCAAAACAAAATACTATTTTTTTTTTTTTGGCGCACGTTTTGCGATTTGGTGCATAATGGCGCCAGGTATTGGTTGTGGCGCAATTTCCGCAACATGGCGCAGGATGGCGCAGACAAATGCGTATGGCGCAAAATGGCGCAAATGGCGCAGCCGTTCCACCCCTGATGGAGTACCAGGTTAAATCTTGTTTTTATCATCATATCTCCCACAGCAGCACTTGACTGGCATGTATTGTGCTTTAATCAAAAGATAACAACCGGTTTTTGCAAGTCTTGACCATCCTGAAGAATGCAACTTTAATATACAATAATTTCTTATTCGGGCCACCTAATAGTAGAATGGTCACACAGTTGAGTCATAAATGAGTGTGGTAGTACATATTTAACTAAATGTAATGAAGCAAATTTTCAATTTACAGAAAACCCCAAGGAATTCTAAAAGAAAGCAATATTAAATAGCGTAAATCTCAAGTAGTCAGAGATTTAAATCTCCCAAGTCATGAAATTAGAAGTGTCAACAGTAAAAAAAGAAAGAGCTGATCACAGACAAGAAAAACAGCATCAAAAAGTCAGACTTCAAAATAAACACATTAAATGTGGGTGAAACCTCGACCAGTACTATTTGGCTCGCAAATAATGGGAACTGCAAAGGCTTTTCTAAAGAACCTCCTTCAGTTTTGACCAAAAAGGCCATATCCTACACCAGTGCTGCATAACACCACATGTTATGACAGCAGTAGAGAAATCGTGATGCCACTATTCAACTCAAAATAGTATGAAAATCAGCTGGCGTTCTGTTCAGATGGTTTAGGAGGTGCATTTTTTTTTTTAAAGCAGGAAATGATTTCCCAGACATTTGTCCATCTGTTTGTGCACACCCTATGGCAGGGCATGTCAGCACAGATGGCTCAGCTGGCAAGGCAACATAAGCGAAACAATGCACACAATCAATTACTCAGAATTAAACCAACGTAAACACATCACCCACCACGAATTGAACCCAGAACCTCTCTTTATACCGCCCAATTTTCTACCTCTATGCCGGCTAAGGTGCACGCCCTATGACTCCTACCGCAGTTACCACTTGCCAGGGCTGGGCAGAGATACTAGAAAAAGTATCTGGGAATATGAATATTGAGATACATGAATTTTAAGGCCCAAAATACAGATACTATAGAGACATTTGTATTTTATGCAACGGGATACTCCTCAGATACTTCTGCAAAAACGTCTAAAAAGTATTCCGGAATACAGATACACATACTTATAGAGATACATTTGTTCCCGAATGGTGTTACGCGGGGAGTGTGTAGTTCGTGGCGAAGGCAAATGGTAATTTATGCTTGTGCTTCTCTTTCTGTGTCATTTTTTGCCCTCCCCATTACCTAAAACTTTTTATTTATCATTATTGCCACTAAGAAAACATGTAGTAACTGAACACTAAAGACTGCGTGCCATGCTTGACAAAAGGCGTCTACACAAAATGAACCCTGTTTTTCCGTGAGTGTGCATCTCAAACTGTTGTCTTACATTTTCCTCAGGCACCCATAATGTTGGGAAATTTGGTGACAGAACCGTACCTTTCCTCCACTAAACTTCTTTACAGCGTTTACCCTGCTAAGAAAG